GATTAGAACATGAGCATTAGACCACTTTATGCGCGTTCATATGTAGGACAAAATGAGATACAAACATTTCTTATCCATTATACACATAATGAACTTCTTGTATATCAAGTCAGTAGCTCTTCAATTGTGACGTGCCGTTATGGCGTAGTAGAAGTCTTCGTGATAAACTCGGGGCTGTGAAGACAAAGATTAGATCCGACTAGAGTCGAAGCAAGATCTTCAGTCAGTAAGGAAAGACTATATTGCAGCAACGAACTGTACCTAGAGTCGAAGCAAGACTACAAAGGTTAAGTAAGTAACTACAAGTTAGAGGTAGATGTAATGAAGTACTCACTCTTCAGTCAGTAAGGAAAGACTGAAGAGGGAGGACGCAATCTGAAGTCCTTATATACTACAGAGAAGTGTCCATGACTAATCGAAGAGTGGTTAGTCACATGTACCATAGTGCGATGAATAATACAATGACAAAAGAATTGCGACGTATCGCACCATAGGATGAGTAAGAGATGAGTAAGGCATAGACCTGTCTAGACCGTTCTGGAGTGGTACGGATTGTCCTAGACAGTACCAGAAGAGTCCGGAAGCATAGCTATAGTACCCGAGCAGAGAGTCCCAAATATGGTAACATACTACATAAGCGACTACAGCTAAGCGCTAGGAGACGCATAGCCTCGTGTAGTCCGGACCGGATAAGTCCAAGTTCAACACTTCGTGACCGTAATGTGGCTTACTTAGGCAGGTCGCCTAGCGTAGACGCCGGAGAGAAAAAAATCAGCGCGTTCACGGACTTATGCAAGGCGCTGTAAGCTTCCAGCATATCACTGGGTCATCTCGGCCTTGCTTGCGGCGACGACCCCGCTTTGACCTGACGAGGTTCGGAACCTGGGCTTGTTATGCCAATGGATGCGGTGGACGAAGAGCAGTCGCGCCGCCTACTTCAACCGACCTCGGAGAACCTCGCTAATGTCAAGGTCTTCCCTCTCATACCAAGTCTGAAGAAGGATGTCGCTGTAAGTCGTGATGTTCAGGAATTGTGCTTGATGTCAAATTGCGAGGTGTTCGACAGAGAGATGTCGGTACGTGCGGTCATAGCCCGAATCAGGAACCCAGGTTGTTGACAAATACCAAATATATATAGATACTGCTTTGACATGGGAGTACGTGTCTTCCCGCTTGACATTCGGACTGTGGACTTTAACATCAGCCCTCCAGTCAATTGACGGCGTCGGACATCAACTTCGCAATCGTCCGCCCCCTAGTCTTCAAATATGCAAAGCTCGACAACATGGCCGTCGTGTACGCCTGCTTCGTCGTACGCTCGCATTTCCTATCTGAAGCAGAGGACAATCTTGCCTTCTCCGGCGTGCTCCTCTCCCGCGCCGCCCTCTGTGAGATCCTAGCCATGAAGCTACTCGGCACCTTCGCATCCAGCCCGCTTCGCGTCGCAACCGTCCTCACCGCAAGCTGGAACCCACTTGCTGGAGCTCCAGAAGCTGTCATACAGGACGTCAGGAATATGGTGGGAGAAGATGGCTCCTACGACCCACAGTGTGCCCTCGAAGTGCGTGCCAGTCAGGTGTATACACAGGTAATCTAACGTACATTTCCGGCTGTATAATAGATGGCCATCGCTTCCGAATCGAAGGCGTTCTTGGCATCACCATTGGTTCAGACGGTTGTGAACGACATCTACTCGGGGCGCATGGTCTTCACGATGACGTCCAAGCGTTCCGTGCTCGCTGACAACTACAAGCCACGCAGCATTGAGGTGTACGATGTACGGAAGGCGCCGTTTCTGGACCACTACCGTTTGCGCGTTCCCCGCTATGGGGCGATTCTCGAGTTCCTCAACTTTGCCCTGCTCTTGACAACCTTCTTGCTATGCCTGTCGAGTGAGTGACGTCATCACGTTAGGAATCGAGTGCAGCATTGACCGCTCCGATAGCCAAGGATCTGGATGCGATGAATGGATTTGAGAAACTGTTCATAGTTTTCGCCGCCGCTTTCGCGTTAGAAGAGTATACCGCTTCGAAGGAACACGGATGGACCAGTAAGTCCCCGGTCGCCCATGAATCATTCTGCACGGTTCTCACTGTTGTGCAGTTTACATTGCGAATGTGAGCTGTGCGTGCACAACTCTGCACTCCCCACTAAAACACCACAGCTTTGGAACGTATTTGACACGTCGTTCATTGTCATATTCCTCATCTACCTCGGGTACAGGATCAAGGGATTACATGACGGTGACAGTAAGTAATAGTATATTCCCTTGATAACATCAACACTCATATATTCTGGCATATAGCGGCTGCTTCCGACTTTTCGTTCGACGTCCTCGCCTGCGGAGCTTGCATATTATTCCCAAGGTGCGTTTGCCGCCCGTATCGGAGGTCGACGTTGTACTGACTGACTTTATGCAGACTAGCATTCTTCGCAGTCTCGAACAACGTCGTGGTTTTGTGCGTCTCATACCCCTACTCACCTAATTTTCGCTAACGGCACGGCTAGGGCTTTGCGCTCCATGATGTCTGAGTTCCTCTTCTTCATTGGCATCGCCGCGATCTGCTTCTCTGGCCTGCTGTTCACCCTACACAACCTGTGTGCGTTTCTCTTCCTCTGCGGCCCACCGACACAAGCTGACTGGGTATGCCACCCCTTCTTCCGTTGCCACAGCCGCGGATTCCGGCAGGTGGACCCTGAAGAGCATCGCGTGGCTAATGGTGCAGATCTGGTTTGGGAACACGTACCTCAGTTTCGCGCAGGCTGAGAGTTTCCATCCGCTCTTTGGGCCTGTACTCATGACCATGTTCGCCGCATTGTCGAACACGCTCCTGTTGACCAGTAAGTACCAGACAAATCATCGTCACTCGATGCTCTGACACCGCCTAGTTCTCATCTCCATCCTGTCCAATACGTTTGCGAGGATCGACGCAGTAAGTTACACCGATGCTCATGTAGAAATGATCTCTGATCCATGAGCGTAGAATGCTAAGCAAGAGTACCTCTTCCAATACGCCATTTCCACGATCGAAGGGTGAGGAATCACGTCCTGCCTCTCGTCGCGCTCTCGACGTTGACACTCCTGTCTCAGAGTCAAGGACGCGCTGTTTAGCTACCAGCCACCCTTCAACATGCTGGCCTTCGTGGTACTTTGGCCCCTCAGCTTCGTCCTCTCGCCACGGGCGCTGCACTCGGCCAACGTCTTCCTTATAAAGCTGACAGTGAGTCGACTCGCCTTAGATCGTCAGCCTTTCTGCCGAAGTTGTTGATACCTCGTGTTTGCAGTCGTTCCCGCAGCTCATCGTAATCGCCATCTACGAACGCTACCTCGCCCGCGGGCAAAAGTGGCGCGAAGTCGGCTCCGAGCGTGCGCACCATCTCTACGCGAGCCTCAGCCGCAGCGTCAAGCACATGCCCATCCTCGACTTTCTTGGCTCCTCTTCCATGGACGTCCACGAGGCCATCTTTGACGTCGACCTGCACGGCGAAGAGGAGAATCTATTCCCCGATGAAGACGACGAAGACGATTTCGATCAGTTGCACGACTTCCCGCTGTCCGCGCCTGCAGACACTGACACCACCATGCGTGCGTCGAAGTCGCACGAGTCGCTCCGGCTACGCAATAGGAACCTGTCTCCGTTCGCCCCGTCGCGCTCCCGTCCGGGCACACTAACCCCGCCAGAGCAGATTCGCCGCACGACGAGCCTCTCGCTCTCCCCACGTCATTCGCAGCGGACTCGGACGCGGAGCGCGGTTGACCCTGGGTCCCCTTCGTTGTCCCCCCGCCCTCGGAACAGCCGACTGCCGTCGATCAATCCCCCGAGCACGAGCGAGGTACCGACGCTTGGGCCGCGGAGCCCGCTTGGGGCGCTGTTCAGCTCGAGGAGAGAGCGGGTAGTGTCGACGGCTGGGGTGGAGGCAGGCGTGAAGAAGATGGAGGCGTTGGTCGAGGACATCAAGCGGATGCCGGTGAACAAGCTCAAAGAGGAGATGAAAGAGTTGCAGGTGCGTTCGTTCCGCTCTCAGGCTTTGTGTGGCTTATTTTCTCACTGGGGACTGCGTGATTTTGCAGGACCGACAGGCGAGGATCGAGAATTTGTTGTTGATGCTGACGAGGGGTATGCGGAACGACACTGGACACCATTCAACGATTCGACATGATTCATTGTAACTCTGCACGACATGGACATCACCATTACGCATCGCTTGGTATCTATCGGGCATAATTTCCATCTGAAGTTCTAGCCTCCCCTAGCTTGCGCTTCGAAAGTGACGTCGACAGTAAGCCGCTTTCTCAATTTGGAATGTCGCGAGGCGCGATGTACTGCTTTCCGTGACTACATGCCGTAGGGAGCTAAGCCGCGGTCAAACCGTAAGTCGAACGGAGAAGCTGACGGTTGCCAACTCACAACTATGCGGAGCAATCCCTGCGACATCTCAGGTAGTGGCGGTCTTCTCTACCTCGCGGTGAGCTCGGCGTTCGGGTCTTCTGTGTCAATCTCAATCGTAACAGTATCGAATGGTGGGAAGTCCCCCTCGGAACCACGGACTGTCAATCTTCGGCAGGCAGGCCGGAGCGTTATATCGGGCAATGTAGGCGACTGGGCACCCTGTCTGCTTAGTGCTCATCGAATCACATGTTGAGAGTTCGGACGTTGGTCGGCGCCAGGGTGAGGACGAACACGAAGATCGCAACTTGCGGCTGGTGCGGGATCGTGACTTCGCAAAAGGTGAGATATCCTACGCGCTGATCTGTGTCAGCTCCTGGTGGCATGAAGAGTGGACATACGAACGCACGAGATCCAGCTCCTTCGTATATTAGCTCGCAGAAGTATATGTCCAGGACGCAATGCGGCGAACCGGAGACTAGACTGCGCAGTGTCAGCAGGTGCGTCGTATATTTTCAGAGTCCTCAACTCGTGGGTGGACAGGATGGCTTTGCGAACCAGGAGATTCCCCAGTTCGGCAGAGCTATAGGTACTATTGGGTACAGCGTCGACTATCCCTCGCCGAACAGTTTGGCAAGGTGGATCGGGTTCACGACATGCGGCCGGCACAACAAGTTGACATATCTTTGTCCGTCAACCTAACCAGTAGTAAGCTAGTGCTGAGCGATGACCAGTGTTCAGAACGTTTCCTGTCCAGTATCTTGGACGTATTCCTCCACATGAGGTGGTTATTTAGTAGAATCCAATGTGCTCTATCTCACGTAGATGGAGCGGAGGTTCGGTGCTCTGTCTGGCAAATTTCGACCTCGAATGTTTGACACCCTGACCCAAACTTCCGACCATGTAGCGGGTGCCAATTGATCTCGCTACTGCTTACTCTTGAATGATCTGCCGACAACCTAATCACCTCGATGCATTCCCCCTCCACGTTGTGGGACGAAAGTTCAGCCACTTTACTTGGCGGCCCCTCCACCATCTGGATTTGCAGGCCTGCCTCAGGCTCCGGCTCCTTGTACCTGGCATCGCTCTCAGAATTCTCGACTTCGGGCTTCGACGGCACGCCTTGTCCAGCGAACGTTATCATCCCTTCTCCGCGCGCGTTCTATCTCCTCCGCTCTCCACGATCCGATTTAGGCAAGACACTTGTACTCCTCCATCTGCCCGATATAGCAAGCGTTGTTATTCGCATTCGATGTTCCCACCCAGCGCGGACCGCTTTTACATCTAGTCGACTCGTGGCCCGTCCTCCGTCGCAGTGTGTCTGCTTCCATTGATACTGGTTCCGGAGGAGAGAGACGTTTGTTTTCCGGAACATCGCCACAAGCGCTCGATCCTAAGAAGGAAACCAGTAGTGGCACAGGGCGCCACCAGCGCCGCTCTGGCTTCCACCTGCTGGCATCTGGCATCTGACTGCTAACGTAGGCACGAGGCGGGGTGGGTCTCAAGTACCTGAGCTAGTAGAAGGCACGCCAAAAGTGTACTGGACGGGCCTCGTGCTGGCTACATACACGGTGGAGTTGGCTGCTGGCAGAGAAGACCGAGAACCATGCAGGTAGGGTACGTGGTACGTGGTACGAGTACAACATGCAATGATGGGGACAATATATGGTAGTAATTAGAGTAAAAACCGTGCGGCGCGCATAGGTATACGACTCGGAGAACAAAGAGCAGTGAAATGGTGGCGAAGGGGGAATGCGACTGAATATGGACAGACGAAGGAGCAATAAGAGATCCAGGAGCAGAACCAGCGAGTCCGATATCACCAAGCACAGCGAGGATGTTAGCGGCGTGTGAAGGCGAGAAGAGGGATGGGGGTGGGAAATTGAATGGAGATCGTGGTACAATATTAGCGATAAGTAGGGATAATGCTTGCAATGCCGAGTGAACGGGTGATCGTATGAGGATGAGATGGTGAGATGGACATGAGGGAAGGTCAGTGTGCCAGGGTCCACAATGCAAATCATGATGACCGAAGCCAGGTGGGGGTACATATCCAGACCCAGCAGAGTCCAGACGAACGAAAGGGAAAATAATCATAGGGCAGCAACGGTAAGAGCGCGTCATGACGTTGACCCGCTTGAGCGTTCTCCGCCATGCGAGACATCGTCGCCATCATCGCCATGTCCGCTGAGAGACGGTAGAGGCGGGTGGGTATGGATGTACTGATGCGCATCATCCTCGTTCAACGGCGACCCAGGACGCGATCGATCGACCATAGTAGACGTAGGAACCAGAGTATTCGTCGTCGACTGAATGACCTCCGATCCTTCCGACTCGTCGTGATGGACACCGTTTGTGATGGGTTGATTATGGGGGTAGTAGGACATCCTCCTGTTCTGGAAGAAATCGTAGACCGTGAACCTGTGCACGCGTAGTGAGTAACAACCACGGACATAACGACAAACAGAAAACGTACTGTTCCTCCAACTGGCGTAGTTCGGGCTTCATCTTCTCGAGATCGGGGTGTAGCTTCCGTTTCGAATGTGTCAGCGGCTTCTCAACCATCAAGAACTCATCAAGTTCATGGGAGACGTCAAAGTTCGCCTTTTTCATCTGCAGTAGGCGCAAGATGATCAGTGATGGGGAAGATGCCAACTCAGTTCGCTACTTACATCAGGCACGAAAGGCGGCTGCGACTCCTTATTCTCGAGAGTGTCCCAGTCGATACTCGCCATCCACGGATGAGTGCGAATGTCATCAATGCCGAGCCCTTCGTGGCAACCAAGGCGAGTCTTAGGGTTGCGGTCAAGGAGCTGGGATGAATGATGTCAGAGAATATCGTCAAGGAAGCTGGTGCAATGCAGAACTCACACTGAGAATGAATTGCTGGCCCTCCTTGCTGCACTTGTCCTTCACGCTCGACGGAAAGCGGATACTATCCTTCAATATTGAGTGCTTCATTTTCTCGGCGGACCGGCCGTCGAACGGCCGGCGGTGGAAGAGGAGTTCAAAGACGACGACGCCCAAGGACCACCAATCGCAGGACCATGTGTAGCCTAACCGGCCGATGACCTCGGGAGCCATGTACGCCATGCTTCCTGCGACGCTCGTATGCAGCCTGCGTTCTGAGTAGTGAATAGCGACATTGAAGTCTGTGATGTGCGCGTGGCCCATCGCATCGAGGAGGATGTTGTCGGGTTTCATGTCGCTATAGGGGATGATCAGGAGGAACCGGCTAAATGAGGCTGTGAGGGCTCGGCATACCGGTGAATGATCCGCTGTTTATGCAAATATTCGAGTGCAGAGGAAAGCTCTGCGGTCCAAAATCGCACGACATTCTCTGGGATATATCTGAGGCGCTCTAGATGGACTGCGGCATTGTTAGCTCGATTGCTCCCCATGTCAGAATCTAAAGAGCTTACATCGCAGATCCCCTCCGAGCATAAGATCAAGAACGAAGAAACAATTCTCGTCGTCTTGGAAGGCATAACGCATATTAACGATGAATGGGTGATCAATCTGAAAAAGCGAGCGTCAGATCATTCCGCAAGACAGGCGCACATGGTGGTGGCTTGATGGTGATACGGGGAATGTGCAGATAGCACGAACGCGACATGTAGCCCTTCCAACGACGCGGACAACCGGAAGAACGTGAGAAAGGGAATTGAGCCTGTACACAGCTGCGACGTAGCATAGGCACGGACTCAATAGTGGCTGGGAAGTGAAAAACACTTCATGGTACGCAAGAAGCTGCCACATAGAATGAAAAGCAAGCTTTCCATGGACAGATAGGTGTCAGAGCATGCGTGCCCGGGACTTTGGACGTGGCGTGCCACCGGTGAGTTCGCAACAGTTGTCAGTGAAATGGCGAGGCGCCATGCGACCGACGGTTCGGAGATGGCGGTGGTGCGAGCGCCGCAGGATAGCGTACTCAGGTGGGAAGAGCGCCTTCCAAGACGCAGAAAAAGAGAGGGATACATGCAAGGAGTCTCCCCGTGCCCTGAGGAAGAGGTAGCAGGAGGGGGAAGGAGGGGGACGGTGAGAGATGAAGGGGGAAGGGAACACACCTCCTCCAGTAATCTGCGCTCTTGAATAATGTTGGCCACAGCCTTCTGCTTGATGCATTTGGCTTTGTCAATGTACTTGAGAGCATAGAGCTTCTTGCTCTTCTTGTGCTCGACGACTCGGACCTGAACGATAGTGGCAGAAAGTAAGTGAGTATGCTGGGTGCGGGGAAATGGGTAGCAAGGCATACCTTGCCGAAGGCGCCCTTGCCTACTGCACGATGGAGGTCGAAATGATAGAGATCGACCTCTGCATCGAAGTTTGTGGGGTCAGAGCAACAATTACCCATCAGACAGCGATACTGGAGGAGACGGAAGAGAGGAGGGGTTATTAGAGAGGAAGTACAAGAGAGACCAAATACACTCACCCCGGCCCACACAAGGCTATAGGCGCCGAGTCGGATACGCTGCCGGCGGCGGTGCCCCGCCTTCCTCATTCGGCAGCACCGGCCGACGGCTCGCACGAACTCCTGCTCAATCCATCTTGTCTTCCCTCGCTTAGCCCCAACACAGCCGACCCTGACCAGATTCATTAATTCTATCATCCGCCATGCACGTCGCTCTTTCCACAATCCCGACCATTAGGGAGCTGTATAAATCAGGCGTCCTCAAGGGCAGCGCAGTCACGCCCAGAGTGCGATATCCACCCAAGTCGGCGCTGCTCTATAGAGTCTCGCTGTAGTGAGTGGCGGGTATCATGGATCAGTATGTGACGGCCTCATAAACCTGCCCAACAACGGCGTTGTCCCAAATCTGTCACACTCGTGCATGTGTTTCGCACATGACATTCAATTGACGGGCGTGCATCCTCCCCCCAAAGCCAGGGAGATATCACCAGATTAGATGTAGATTGCATCATTAACGCCGCCAACAGGGGCCTCCTTGGTGAGTCCTGTCATTGTCTCCTGCTTTTTCGGGTACATGAGCTTCGGGTTACTGTTATACAGGGGGTGGCGGCGGTGCGTCGCGACATTGTCTAGTGTTTCTCATATCTGCGTGTCAATTCATCTATCCTTGTATTGAACAGTCGACGGTGCAATTCATGCAGCTGCCGGGCCGTCACTGCTCGAAGAATGTGAGTAAAGATCGTCCGATCTCGGACGGGTCATCACAATAGATGGACTAGGTCGTAAACTCAACGGCTGCGATACTGGTGATGCAAAGATCACTAAGGGCTACAACCTACCATCGTGCGCGCCACCTCATTTGAATCACCTCTCTGCTCTATTGACGTCCGATGCCGCATTTCCAGTCGCCATGTCATTCATACTGTTGGGCCGATATACTCGTCTGCCAAGGCCGAAGAGAAGGCCCAGCAACTAGCGTCATGCTACAAGAGAAGCCTCCAACTCGCCGTTGCGAACTCACTGAAGCACATTGTTCGTCCTGTGCTACCACGCCCCGCGCGTGAAATAGGCTCTGAACCTTAACGGTCTTCATGTATAGGCCTTCCCTTCCATTTCCACGGGTATATATGGATATCCCATTGAAGCCGCTACACATATCGCTCTCAACGTTGTTAGGGAGTTCTTGGATACCAACGACGGTGACAAGGTGCGTTGTTCAGAAGATCCTCATGTTGTACGGGCAGAAGCTCATGTGCCCGCCGTCTGGGCTACTTCAGCTTGAGCGAACCATCTTCGTTGTTTGGAGCGATGCCGACAAGGCAGTATACGAGTGCGTTTGATGCAGAACTTCTCTTGATCTGCTTGTGACCCAGATTCTTAAGGTCTCTTCTACCACTCTACTTCCCACTGGATGATAGCGAGACCGAGACCACCTAGGGTGAGTATTAGCAGAGCGTTATGTGGCATTCTCGCTCAAGGCTTCCTTCGCGTCCCACGCTTCGAGTTGAAGGGCAATCTCCGGGAGCGATGTCGGCTGGGATTCTATGATAGTACGCAGTCTGTACGCTAGCGCTACGTTATGTGTGCTTCTACTTGTGCGTCGTGAGTTTTTGTCATCATTATACCGCTACCATCGGGACGAATCGCGTTGGCGTCCTCACAGTCACCACGCCGCCATTTGCTAGACGTGAGATTGGCTTAGTCGGAGGATCCTCCGAGCTTACGAAATGGCCTGCGCTTCGGAGGGAACCCTACACCGGTGATGTTTCCCACTGCCTCCCTCCATGTTGATCAGGCTTCCATGAATTGCGAGTGTTACAACGCCCAGATCAGGTAACTATTCTACATGCAATCCTTCTATCTCCATCTGCCTCCACTCAGTAGTTGTTGTAGTTATCGACGGTGACCACCTCGTCGACCTTCTGCTGAGAGTGGTGCTTGGCCTTCTGCTTGTCGACGTAGTCAAGCTGCGGGAGACGCTGAATGAGCACCAACGCATATGCAGGTGCAAGGGTCCCTGACGTACGCCCTTGGTCTCGACTATGCGGTCGATGAAAGCGCCAGCAAAGCCCGCGAGAAGCTCCTTCGCCTTGGCGTGGCTGGGGGGCTGGCCGCTCGCAGCGACGTGCTTCTCGTACGCCTTGGCAGCCTGGGATGTGGAGACATGAGTCCGATGCTGATAGATGGCCGAGGAGAAGACGGACCTCGTAGGACGCGGCTGCGGCAATCAGTTCATGGGAGAGCTCGGCTTTGTGGGGGGCATTGACGACCTCAATAGTTCATGAAGGTCAGATTTGTGGCGATGGTAAGAGATGGGTTGCCAAGAGCCTACCTGGTCGTATGCCTGGGCTTCGTCGGACTCGTGGTGGAAGAAACCCATTGTGTCGTGAGTGGTAGTATAGGAGGTGGATGTGGCTTGAGTGCGGATGCGAGCTGTGCAGCTTAAGTAGACTCGGACGTCAACGATCGGGCTCGGCGCGGCGATGCTGCTATTAATAGCGTTATTCGAGTGGGCAGTACTAACGTGACGACGCTCTCGTGATAGAATGTAAAAATGAGCAGAGTTGCCGAACGCGTACCAAGATCATCTAGAGCGTCGGCGTTTCCTTACGGATAGTGAAAGCACCGGCTTATCGATCGCAGGCGATACAGGAAGAAGCATCTTCAGTTCTGGAAGTGCATCCTTCTGACTGGGAGGGTCCCAAACAGCCCTCATCACGTCGAAGAGCATGCATCGTGGAAGCCGCAGCCTGAGGTTCCCCTCCTTTGGCAGGAAACCCACCCCTTGGGCCTCAACGACGAATGCAGTCCTCTCTGAGCATGCAAGCATGATGGTCCCTCTGTTCGGCTTGCACGTTGCTGACATTTCCCCTCTAGAGTGTTTGGGGGAGTCGACAGGTAACTGGTATACAATGCTCAATCGAGTCGCTACTTTACATACACATATCTGCTTCGACTATGCTGCACTCAGTAGTTGTCGACGGTGACGACCTCGTCGATCTGCTGCGTGGACTGGCGCTTGGCGCGCTCCTTGTCGATGAAATCGAGCTGTAGGGTGAGCGGAATTAACCACATTTGCCTCGTAGAGTCGAAGAGGATCGCGACGTACGCCCTTGGTCTCGACGATGCGATCGATGAAGGCGCCGGCAAGGGAGGCGGCGATCTCCTTCGCCTTCGCGTGGCTGTCGGGCTGGCCGTTCTCAGCGATGTGGTTCTCGTATGCCTTAGAGGCCTGGACAGAAAGGGAGCGATGAGCACGATGTGGCCGATTCGGCGGATCTACGACGGACCTCGTAGGAAGCAGCGGCAGCGAGGAGCTCGTGGGAGAGCTCAGCCTTGTGAGGGGCGTTGACGACCTGAATCGTCGGACGAGGTTAACTCCAGGTCAAGGAGGCGAGATAAGGAGTAGGCTAACCTGGTCGTAGGCGGCAGCCTGGTCAGAGGAGCTATCGAACCAACCCATTGTGTTGAGAGTAGTAGTGGTTGTGTGAGAGGTAGAAGATACGATGCGGGGTGAGTGCAGGGACTGGGGAATCGATGGATGTAGCAGGGCAGTTTATATAGAGGAAAGGGATGCGTGACGTCTAGCCGCTATTAATAGAATGGACAACGATAGCTTGGATAGGTCGTTCGTCGCAACGAGCGGTGCCTAGTCATTGACATAGGGAACTTTGTTCTGTTTCGCTCCAGTCGCGAGTCGTGAAGCATGTGCCCTTGCTCTTCAACGCGCGGACGACTTTTCTGCATGTTTCCCAGATACATATGTCTGACTCTGGGAGCATTGAGGTCGCTCTCGATGGCGTTGCTGCCGTCGATCATCGCGCGTGCGAGTGGTGAACGCCACTCCATTTGATCAAGTCGTGACCTGAGGAAATCCATCCGATCAGAATCCATTTATCCACAATCAGGGCTCCAAAGGCACTGCGGATGTCGAGCGTGGAAGCTCATACTCAGCTGGGAAGATGTCGTCACAGTTTGCAAGATTCAACTCCGGCCGGTGGTGGTGGCGGTCAACGTTGTTGTTGTGCTTAGCGCCGGACGTGCTGTGCGATGTGCGGGCCGGTGGCGAGACTTAAACCCGACCAACATTCGGTCCGGTCCGTGTCGAGCGTAAGAAGCTACTTCCATTGATGTTCATGACCTGTGTACTGACGATTATTTCGAAGCCTTTGGTACCAGTGACCGTCTCAGCTTCCTGCGCTCCGAATCTCTGAGCGAACTCACAATGCATCTTTGCCGCGTTGTCCAATGTCTCAGGGCACTGGCAGTTTGAGCTTGTGCTATCGGCGTCGCTGAAGAGCAGCTCCAACGTCGACTTCTCGATTACTGTTCAAAATCGAAACAGCGGCAGATTGCTTGAGCGGCATCGACACAGGCACGATATCGATAGTTCCCAAACGTACCACGCAGGGCCGAGATTCGCGTTAAGGAAGCTCATGACGCACGGTAAGGAGTAGGAGAATTGCTTCATAGGAGCTACATCTTACATTGATAGATGTATCCCTCAAGCCTCTGGTTTGGAGTTACACCTGACAAGCATAACGCCTCTGAGCCTACTGCTTCTTCGCAAACGCTTCAACCTCAGGCTTGATACTCGCAAGCAAATCCTGGGTAGTGTACTTCGGCTTCCAGCCCAGCGCCCGCCCACGGTCGGCACGGCAACGGCAGTTCGAGCCAAAGCTCCATCCGAATCCCTCGCTCCCAAAGTACTTCGGCAACTCCTCGACGGCGAACGACGTCGGTTCCGCGTTGTCTGTGATCCCGAGCTCCACCAAGGCCTTACCGACGGCCCTGGAAATGTCGATCCAGTGGTGCTCGCCGTTCTCGCCGTAGTACCAGCCCTCCCAGCCGTGGCCTGTCATATCTGGGCTGCTGATGCTGCTGTCGAAGAGCACTATGTAGAGCTCTGCAACTACGAGTCGAAGAATGGGTCAGCCAATGTGACGTAGACAGATTTGAGTGTACGGAGCTTACTGTCGTCAATGTGCACATTAGGCCACCAAGCCAAGCCCTTGCCGACAACTCCAGCACGCTTGCGGTCGAGAGAGGCACGGGTGATGGCCGGTATCTGCAGCGAGTGCGGGTTGGAGACGCCAGCCTTGGCCAGCGGGTGGGCAGCGATGCCATAAATCGTCGAGGGCAGAACGATGTGGGTACGCGCGAAGCCCTTCTCGTCGGCATCTACTACCGCCAAGTCGACGTCGCGATGGAAGGACGTCGGAGAGATGGACTTAAGTTGTTCGATGTTGATGTCGCTGTGGATGGTGTCCGTGGCATACTCGCCGCGTGCGTCATCGATGAGAACACCAGTTCCGGACTAAGAAGCAAGTCGATCAGAAACGCAACATTCAGTCGGCAGAGCGTGCACTGAACGTACAGTGTGAATGAGGATAGGCAAGTCGCCAATCTTGCTGTGCCTCTTCTTGAGACCGTTCAAGATGGCATGGAGGAGTGCTTCATCCCCTGCATCGGCCTAGTAGCACCATAGTCAGTCAACGACGCGCTTGATCCCTCCAGACCTGAACACGTACAAGATGAAATACAACATGGCTGTTCTCGGCAAGGCTCTCGATCTTGTCGTGCTCAGCGTGGGTCCCAACTATGGCGTTGACGCCGAATTTTTCCTTGAGTATCTTGGCCTTCTCTGCACTGCGCACGATGGTAGTAATCTCAAAAGTGTTGGCGCTTGGATGGCTGAGGAGACGGGCTAGAACGGCGCCTCCAATGTAGCCTGCGGATGGAGGTCAGGAGCTGCAAGGGAAGCTGACGTCAGCGCCGCCTTCGTACCTGTAGCGCCAGTCAGAAAGATGGGCGTCTTGGACGTTGACATTTGCGATGATGACGAATATGATGTTTTGAGCTGTTCGAAGTACGTGGAGAGACAATGCAGATGCTCGAGTTGGTTGCTGAAGATTTATAGCATTCCTTGCTGCTTTGTCATCTAGCAGAACTTACCAAGCGGTCTCTCCAATCATCAGTGCAACCGGGAGACGTACTACTAATGCAACGAGATCGACGAAGAGACAAATGCTCTAGCCATATGGAATAATCATCACTTCCGGACGTGGTGCATGTCTCAGGTACATGCTGTCGCATATCCTGGATGATCACGAGACATCCATGGCTCTTGTGATGGTACAAGGTTTACCCCAGTTGGCTGATAATGTCGACTTTGTGTCCAGCTGTGACACCATTGAGGTATGTATGGACTTCTGTACCAACTATCTCGAGTCTGGCGCTGATGAATCACTGAGTACCCTCAAATTTATCTAGGAACGCGATTATGTACTCCTTCGAGCCCGAAATAGCGCCTGATGGTGTAAAACATGCAGAGCCAATCTGAAGTCGTTCTTGAAGTGCTGATCAATCGGATCCGGTCTTCGTACGGCGTGCATGAGGGTATTTGTTATATCGAACATCCTTACTTACTGGACTCGGTAAGAGTTCCAGATAGCGTGCTTTTGCTTGGCGCATACACTTTGATCCCAGAGGTATTTGCCACTAGGCTCTCTGATCCTGTACATACAGGGCAATACGGTCAATCTGCCTGATTAGGGAAGGAGACGCCCTTCCGTCTCTGGCGCATAACAAGCGTCGTGGCAGGTCTGACCATCCCTCCTCCGTGCGGTCCCTTTCATGCACCTTCATGCGGATGCTGAATCTGCTCATACCGCGCTTCCTAGCTCCGGAGCTCATGCCGTGTATGGGCCACTACCATGCACCTGTATCTTGTCTAGAATCAAGTGTGAAGGACAGTATAGTGGATGCAATCGCCCCAGCGGGATGCGGCGCGCGACGGGACTAAGGGCCGTTGTCTACTGGTCCTACGCCTGCTATCTACTCTGTCAAGCTTGTGCGCGTCGCTAGTATTGTGTACCCCGGTACCGCCCACATCGTGCCCCGTTGTTATCCATGGGCATACATAGTATGCCTATTGTTTCTTATTGAGTTCTCCTTGAGTGGTCGAGTGTACGTGATATTCATCCCGAAAATCGTGGGGGTTTCAGCTGAGTAGGATCGCTGCTGCCTTCCTGTCGGCCCTGGCTCACTGTCAAGCATAGTGATGGAAGCAGATATCCGGACTTTAAGTGCGCACTGCGAAGACCGGGTACAACGCGCTCGGCCTGTGACGCGTGCCTAAGTTCGACAGGTTCGATGAGTCCGAAAATCAGAGTAGCCTACAATGAGGTTTGCAAACCTCTGGGATATCGGGCTAGGGAGGTATGAGACCTCCCAATCGCGCATGAGTATCTATCGAAAAGGAAGGTAGCGGCACTCAGTCCCAGGATTACAGTCGACAAGGCTTGACTTCCCAGTCCCGAACACCAATGTCAGTGAGGACAAATATGAAGAGGTCGACTCTGGCCGTCATGCACGCCCTGACGGACCTTTGCACGTTTGCAGAAGCTGCGCGGGGCAATACACCATTCAGCATTCACGACCCCCGAGACTGCCGATGCGAGTCGCATCATGAGAAGATTTGTCCTTGCAAGAACGACCAAAGTCTGCGCTGATTATCTGGTCCATGCATTCAATGACAGGCGGCAAGCGTCTTGAAGCTGCGATGGGAGCCACCTTGTCCTCGTCGACTGCCTGTCCAGTCGCCGCTCAGCGCTGACCGTTTCGGGCTTCATCGCGACTTCGCTACCGTGAGTGAAGTACTTAGGGTGGTATACTATATACATCGTCTTCTCGCGCGCTCGGCTTGGCCCTCCTTATAGCTTCTCTGCAGCGCTATGAAGACGCTCGACGCCGATGCTTTGCGTCGTGAAGATGGCTGTGCGTTGAGAGTGTCCGACGCCTGCATCACCTAGATCTCATTCAAAAGCAAGATGGGAACTGGCAGGACTGCTATGTAGTGGGTGCTATGTGATGGAATCCCTTGGTTTCGCTATACAATCAGCCGCACTTCCTTCATTCTCATCTAAATCCCAGAACTGTGCATACGCCGTCCATTTACTGAATGCGGGGAGCGGGTTCAAGTTGTATTTGTACCAAAGATTGCACGCTGGAGGATCGACCAACCATGTGAATATTGCGCACGGGCAGCGGCCGACTTCTGGTCGTATGGATTGAATCGCTTCAGCGTCGGATGTTGAGTCACGGGCGTGCTGCTCAGGAGCAAGCATGCTCGAGCGGACAACCTTCTGCAACCTGAAAGATCGAGATTGTCGGAGATCAGTCGACCGTGGGCTACTGGCATCGTACAGCAGCATACGCACAGAGCAAGGAGCTCTTCGTCCGTCCACGACGGAATTTCCCAGCAGTTGGCTCTGCGGATCTGCGCCTTGCGCACAAACCATGCGCTGTCCGGTCCTTGGACAGCGGGGGCGGCGACGAAGAACTGCCAGTGGGGTACGTCGTAAGTGATGTGAGAGGCCGGGCGTTTCTCGCGGCCGAATCGATCCACCAATGACCATACCCAGGGGGCCTCGTCCGCGAGCTCTGGGATCCGCGTCTGATCCCATAAGTTGAAATGGTCCACGTTCGGGTCCAATCGCGCAACGCCGTCTTTATTGAACAGGTAAACGTCGCCGTCCGCGGGAGTGAAGAGCACAGTCTCTTCGCGGGTCAGGCATTCTATCAACAGGTAGAAGAGGAAGTGGCTTTTGCCTTGGTGTGCCTGTCAGCGAACGGGCGGCGGAGGAGTGCCCGCTGACTGTGCCCTACCTATTCCAACATGACCGAGAAGCAGGCAGCCGGCCATTGCCCTGAGGCCCTTCTGTTTGCGTGCATCCCGCAGGCGCTCTATGAAACGCCGGTACTCGTCGCGCACGAATACATCGGCGTCGAAGGTGTCGAGATGGAAGATGTGGCAAGCAGTGCGCATGGGCACATGAATGAATCGCTTATGAGATGGTTTCGCGAGTATGTTGTCGAGCAGAGCTTTTCCAGGCTGACCCTACCAGGTCTGATAGAACTCGAGCAAGACCTCAGGACTATTTTCCGTCCACAGGTCGACGTAGAATCGTAAGTCGTCGGTTAGGGGCTCACGCGCGGCAACTGTGTTAGTTGAGGAGGACACTCACTCTGCGTCTCTTTCCGTGGGGAGGCGGACTGAGATCTTCACGACGTTTTGTAGACGTTTAAATGGCAGTGTAGGTGGCAAGGGTCTAGAGTTGTCGTGAAGTAATGGCCAAGATTAGTGTGTGCGCGAAGTGGTTCACGCTAAGGGGCAAGCGCTGGTCCTACGATTGTTATGGAGCCCGTCTCCTCTCGATCGGAAGGAAGTACTTGAGCTGGGATACATTTGTACCCGTGCTCTACCATCCGACTGGCCCATCTCCACTTCTCAAGGCGACGCATGAGGAGTTCCCGTTTGGCATCTGATAACCACCGTTACTAGTACCCACACGTTCAGAAAAACATAGCCCTACAAAGAAAGGAGCTGAGCGGATAAGGATGAGCATCGTCTCGTGGAATAGGCCATAGAGTGGTAAGCCAGCTAGTGTATTTATGCAGCCTGCATGCGCCATCGCGCGAGCTTGTTCCGTCGTTCCATCAGCGCTGCCAGAGGTCCTGTGGAAACAACCAACGAAGCCGCTCGTCTTCGCAAGTACCAACCATAGCCAAAGTGTTGTGCGCTTCTCAGGTATCTTGGAAGCCAGCGTTATCGGTGGATCCGGAGGCCCTGCACAGATCGACGATAGTAAGTAATAGCGGCATGGGTCCGCGTGCGCGGCAAGGGTCATAAGTATAAGCAAGGTATACATAGCGACAGAGATTCGCAGAGCAGAGCAAAACGCAGTCCGTAAGAGGGAGCATCCTCCGTCAGACCGACGACCCCCTACCACCCATCCCCCATTCGAACCTCACAGCTCCCGCATCCGCAGCCCGATATTCGTCGCCAGCGCCGCGACGAGCAGGACGGAGAGCACAGTCGGCCCGTACATGTCGAAGTACATGCCCTCCGCGCGGCGCTCGCGCAGGTGGTACGCGCGGTAGACGAAGACGACCGCAGAGTACAGTATCGCGACGAGCGCGACGCCCGTGAAGCACCACGCGCTGATCAGCCCGACCGCGTCGTCCGGCGGGACGAAGTTGAGCAGCGTCGTCGCGATCGTCCCGATGAAGATGCCGAGGTGCAGCCATTTCTGCAACAAAGCGCATTGCGAGTCAGCTTCATTCTGCCCTCACAGGGGAGACGGAATGTAGCACAAGGGCAGCGAGAGCCACTCACGAAGAACGTCCGCTCCGCCGCAAAGTACACCTTCGGCTCGATCCGCACGGGCACCGCGATCCGCTTGCCCGCCGGCGCCCTCCAGCTCCGCTCCAAGAGCCTATCCTCGCCGTTAGTCGACGGGCCCTCGCCCCTCGCCCGCTGCGCTCTCGCCCCCGCCCCGGTCTCCTCATCGTCCGCATCGTCGTCCTCATCCTCAACGGCCTCGCCTCCGACCCTCCGCCTCTGCGCGTCATCCCGCAAGCGATCGCGCAGCGTCTCGTCAAACGCAGACGACGGCGCGAGAGGGTCGATCGACATCGCCCGCGCCTGCGCTGTATGATCCAGCGCGGACGCGATCGCGTTCGCCGTCGCCGCCTCGCGCTCCTGCTGGCGGCCGCGCCGCCGTAGGAACGGCGTCGTCTCCTCCCCCGCGTCGGACTTCCCGTCTGCGTCTGCGTCTGCGTCGTGCGCGGCGTCCTCCCGCCGCTGCTGGAGCTGCGCGCGCTCGCGTTCCTTGAGGTTCTTCTCGCGGATCGCGACCGCGGCGGCGACCTGCTGGTTTGAGAGGCCCGTGCGCTTGTCTTCGTCTTTGGCGGGCGCGAGGTCCATCTCCTCTTCTTCGCCCTCGGAGACGGGCTCGGTGTAGTGCATGCGCTCGGGGGTCGTCTTCCCAGACGTCCCGGCGCCGGAGGAGGTCCCCTTGGACGAGGACGTGTGCAGGGGGCGCTCGATGGTGACTACGCCGGTGTCGGGCTTGAGGATGTCGACCTCCACTGAAGATGGGGAGAGAGCGGGGGTCAGCAACATGTCTGAAGAGGCAGTCGGTAGCGGCACACACTCTGTGGCAGCCAGAAGGGCACGAGGTCGACGCGGTTGGGCAGGAGCGTAGCACATCCATGAATGAACTTGCTGAACTGTCCGCAACTCAGTATATCGCCTCTAGCATATTGTGCTGACTCCCAGTTACCTTCGGGACGGCTTCGACGAGGTGCGACGAGACGAGATCGGTAACCCACTCGGGTGGTTCTTGCCCGTACTGGGTCTGAAGCTTCACTTCCAGCACACCGTACCTGACATGAAAGACATGCGTCAGGGGCTCAAAGAGTGTGTACAACGCGGCACGCACTTGAACAGCTCCTTATCCTCGGGCGGCAGCTGCTCGAAGGGAAAGTCGATACCGATGTCCATCCGGCGCCAGTTGTCGCCCGAGCGTATGCGGCCGTCCCAATTGTCCTCGCGGATCATCGTCAGCTCCGTGTCCAGCGATATACGCACGCGGGCGTCGCCGGGAAGCTGGAACGCCGTCCGGTTGTAAAACGTCCGCATCACTGTCGCCGCATGGTCAGCACTTCCCACTTTTGCATGCGCGCTGTGCCGTGCAACCAAGCACGTACCGGGCACGAGCTTCTTCGTCAGGATGCTGTACTGCACCTCGTTCGCGAGCTGGATCATGCTGTCGACCTCCGCCTGCGTCTTCTTGCCCTTCTTCACGAGCTCCTGGAACTCCTCGTCCATCGTGTACTCGCCCCGCAGGAACGCGTTGACGAGGTGCTCCTTGATGGGGAAACGCGCCTTCACCGACTTCTCCCCCGTCCAGTCCTCCCTGTGCGTTTTCCGCTCGACGAATATCTATGCACGCAACAGTCAGCAGGTGGCGATCATCTCGTACTCGAGGCGGCCGTACCGTCTTCTGGTCCATGTCGCCGTACCAGCGCAGCCGGACGGCCTCCGCGCCCTCCGTCTTCTCGAGCCGTCCGAGATACAGCTCCAGATCCTCGTTGTCGAAGTATACTGACGAGATGGCTGCGCGCTTCCGTCAGCCACGCGTGTGCTGTTCCACGAACGAACGACACACCTGCATCCTTGGGCTCGAACTCCTTGTCAGGGTTGAACACTGCCTACACATGAGTCTCCGGTTCCACCATCGCGATGCAGCAGACACACACCGAGCACGGGGAGATGCTTCAGAATAGCCAGTTTGAGGTGGACCAGGTTGTCGGGGTGGACCTGCGATACTCAACGCTCAGCGTCATCGGCCCGCTGGATGCGAATGACGTCATTTGATATCTACGCACCCAGTACTTGGTCGTCTGTCGGACGAACGCGCTCTGGTTCCCCCCAGCGCTCGAGTCCCCTTGCACGGGGTGGCCGCGAGTGCGGACCAGGTCGTACAACCTCGAGAGCTTGACGATCAGGCTGTCCCAGTTGTACTTGTAGAACGGACGCTTCTCCAGGTATTCTTGAATGAACGTGGGTTTCAGCGGGCGGTTCGTTTGTTTCTGCACCCGTCGACGGTGAGCTAGAGGGACGTCATGGGCGGAGCAGGGGAGCGACATCACATACGTCGTGTTTCTGTTGTGGTCGAGAGCGCGCATATCAGTCTGTGGACCGAGGGAATACGACGATGAGACGTACCTTGAGTATCTTCATGAACCCGGTGATGTTGAGCTTGGTGTACAGCGCGAGGTCGTGGACGTCGGCGACGAGGGTGGCGACCTCCTCCTCGAGGAGGGCGAACTGGTCCTCGAGGGCGTCGATGGACATCGCGTCGTCGCCCTCGTCGTCGGTATCGTCGTCGTCGGAGCCCGCATCCTGGGTGACGCCCTCGCGGCGCTGCTGGGCCTCGCTGTCGGTCGTCGCGGTGCTCGGCTCGGCGTGGTGGCCGTTATGGAGCTCGACATCGGAAACGAGGCGCTTGACGGCCTTCTCGGAATCGTTGATGCGGCGCGAGAGCTCGTAGGTCTGCGCGCGTGGGGCAGGGAGGAGGAAGTCGGACGGGTGCAGGCGGGGCAAGGCGCGGAAGACTCATGGCACGCACCTTGGTTTTCTGGAAGTTGTGGATCTTGTCGAGCTCTGCCTCGAGCATGCGCGTGAACTCGACCTCGTCCTGGTCGTTCCAGTTGCGAGAGATGGTCCGGTCCTGCAGAGGGGGACTGTGTGAGCGGGAGGGGTGGTCGTGTGCCGGTGATTGCGAACCTTGAGCTCTCGCTTGAGACCGTTATAGTCGATGTAGAAGGGTCTCCATTCGTTGTAGAGGTCGTTCTGCCGAGGGCGTGTGAGAGCGGGTGCGGGTGAACGGGGTGCGGCGGGGAACTCACGCTTATCTTGCGGCCGAACTTCATGGGGGGCGGAGGGAGGGACGGGGAACGGCGGGGAGAGGTGGGCGACTAAGAAGGGAACCCAATTGAGGCCGGACGAATGCAAACACTTTGCAGGCAGCGACAGGCAGACGCTGCGAACGTGCGTCGGCTACGTCCATCCGCATCCGGCTAAACCCTCGCCTGCCTCCCCGCGTCACCGACGCGTTCTGGTCTCGTGCTCGTCGCGTCCCCCTCTCAAACACCCCCGCTGCCGCCCTGTTTCCTGCGCTCCCCGCTCTCCTCTTTACCCAGCACATTGCCTACCGCCTAATGTCTCGCGCATCGGCTCAAAGACAGCAACCCAGTTCATCAAGGCCAACAGGCGCAAATGGCGCGAAGCCCGCAGACAACGTCATCCGCACCAAGATCCTGCTCCTCGGCATGCGCAGGTGCGTCCTCACAGTCGTGCGACGGACATTGGCATCCTCAGTCTGTCCACGTTCCCTGCAGGAGTGGAAAGACATCCATCCAGGAGGTCCTCTTCGGCAACTGTGTCCCGCGAGAAACCCTCTACCTTGAGACCACCACCCGAATCACAAAGCACTACTTCGAGTGCGTCTCTGCTGCACGACACTATCCTCCATCCTTGCCTGACTCTCGGCATTCCTCTCGCTCTCCCCTAGCACCATCATACCTCTCGAAGTTTGGGACTGCCCTGGCGACATCACCTTGGAAGCACTCGACACCCCCTTGACCCAGTTCTCCACCATGATCTTCGTTATAGATATCCAAGTGAGCCATTTCACCTCGACGTTGCTTCTTTCGCTCCGGTCCCGTGCGCGTCCGGGTGGATTCGCGTTCATAGGAGCTCATGCCGTCAACCACGCCGTCTGCCAGCCTCGTTGAGGGGTGGGAGATCATGTCTTCCGCTTGTCTCTGCTCGTGCACGTTCGCATCCCGCGCACATGGCAGAGGTAGTCTGGCGCCGTCCCATCCAATCCTCGCCTCTGCCGAGGAACGCGACGCGCCCTTGATTCAGTTACGCTTCCCCTGTTCGCGATGCTGACGTAGGTGGCTCAAACTGCAGGACCTGTACCAACAACCGATCAAGAAACTTGTAGACTTCGTTATCGCGGCGTACCAGGAAAACCAGGAACTCCCCAATATGAACCTCGAGGTCTTCGTCCATAAGGCGGATGTCCTGACCGAAGAGTATAAGATCGGTGCGTCAGGTAGACTTTCCACAATAGCTCGGCGCGCTGAGAAGCTTGCCGCTTCGGTGTTGAAAGAGAACTTCCGTCATATCCAAGCAAGGGTTCTCTCCGACTTGAGCTATGATGGCGCAGAGTACGAAACGATCCCGATCAACTTTCAGCTCACGTCGATTTTCGACCATTCACTACACGACGCCTTTTCGCGCGTCCTGCACAAGTTGATCGACTCTCTTCCATACCTTGAGGATCTGCTCAACGTCTTCTGCGCTGTAGGTGCCTTGCTAACGGCGTTTAGACTACTGGCTAACATGCAAACCCAGAACTCCCAAGCAACCAAGGCGTTTCTCTTCGACACGAAGTCGAGGCTATACGTCGCCACGGACGCGTCCCCTGTAGATCCTCCCACACATAACCTATGCAGCGACTACCTGCAAACCCTCAACAACTTCGGACCGCTGTACAAGTGAGCCTCCACGCCCCCACACCCCACCCTTCTTCCCCAGAAGCTGAAGCTGATCTCGCCGCAGGTCAATATCGGCCTCCCCATTCCGAATGCGAACCGTCCCCCCAGAACCCATCGACCCCCCATCCCCCGACTCCGCCCCGACGTCCCCACAGTCGCAGTCGCAGCCTCAATCCGGACTCGCAGCCCCGCCCACCGACGTCTCCTACCCCCACTCCCGCCTCGCCTCCCCTCTCGCCTCCCCGCACACCCCCGCGCGCTCCGCGCAGCAGTCCCCCGCGGTGACCCAGCAGCCCCTCCCGAGCCCCGGCATGCCGCACCCCAGCGCCCGGTCCTCGCCCGCGCAGCCGAGCTCGAGCCTCGCCCCCAACCCCTCGAACGGCCACCCGCACCCGAATCCGAACAACAGCGCCACCAGCACTACCAGACCGGGCGCGGACGGGGCGGACGGGGGCGGGAAGCCCGTGTTCTGGCCGTGCGCGGCGGCGTCGCTCGCGCCGACCGCGGCGGGCGCGGGGACGACGCTCACGTACCACCTCATCACGGCGCAGCTCGCGCTGCTCGCGATTATCCCCACTGGGGTGTTCGCGGCGCGGCGCGGGCTCGTGGAGTACAACGTCGTGTTCTTTCGGGAGGGCGTGCAGGAGATATGCGATGTGGAGGCGGAGGCGCGGAAGGTGACGGCTTGAGGGGGTGCGGGGGTGAGAGCATCCATCATCCGTTTAAGTTGGCAGGACGGACTATCAGGGTTTGGATCGTTTCGTAGATGTTTCGCTAGATTTGACGGGTGTTGTTCTTGTTATGCTGATAGTCGCAGCGTCACTGTGTAAGGGCGGCGGTCGCCCTTGGCACGCTACAGCCCGGCAATGTGCACATGCACTCGCCGCAATTGATGGTGCACACGGGGAAAGCGCAAAAGGTCCAAGTGAGAATATGTCTGCGACACTGTTGTGTCACGCAACGTGCCATTAGTGATTCTCAAATTTCTCTACTTGAACCAAAGCCCACTTTTCTATCCTGTTTGTTGGCGGGCGCCGGGGCAACATTAGAGGCTCGGTCTCTACCCCCTGTTCTCTGCCCAGCCATCCATCCATCCTTTTAATGAATGGTACATGTAATTACTATTCCAAACAACCTCTCGAGACCAAGAAGCGGAGGAATAAGTTGGAAGGGAGCTTGGTATGGAGAAGTTATTTACCCGACAGCAGTTAATCTGAGATCCATCCTTTGGCGCCCGATAACATGGTTTGTAGCAGCACAGCTTTATCTGTGTTCCAGGTCAGCTTGCTACGGCCACCTCAGTACGCGTCCTTCTTGGGTGTAACGCTAGTACCACACGTCCTTAAGCCCAGGAAGAAGCCCAGAATGGCTCTATATACGCCTTACAGATCCACGGGAGCCGGGCCATCGTCGGCGGCGGCCAGCGCCACGTCGGAGTTTGACATCCTGAAGAACTCGCACAAGTGAGGACACCGGCGACGAGTTGCACCTTCCAATCAGACCTTTGGCACTTACTATTTTGCGAGCAGGTTTCTGAGAGAAGACGAGGACGTGGACGAACGTCGGCTGTCTTGGGAGGATCGGCTTGCGAAGAAATTCTACTCGTCGCTGTATCGCGAGTACGCGGTCTGTGATTTGAAGCATTACAAGTCCGGAAACGTAAGCTAATCACCTTGTTTGTCTGTGGAAGGCGGATTGAGGCTGATGGCTCTCAGTTCGCTCTCAGGTGGCGCACAGAGGAAGAAGTCCTATCTGGCGCCGGAGAAACCACCTGCGGAAACACGAGGTGTCCGCTGCACAGAGAGTTCCCAGATGGGGAGGACGATAACGTGCGGCCGGCGCTGACGGTGCTCGAGCTCCCGTTCTCGTACACTGAGCGCGGGGAGAGCAAGTTCGCGCTGGTCAAAGTGGTGCTTTGCGCCAAGTGCTGCAAGAAGCTGATGTGGAAGCGCAACAAAGAGAAGAAAGAGCAGAACAAGCAGGAAGAAGAAGAGCTCGCGAAGGAAGGAAGCCACGAGGCAGCTGAGAACGACGGAGGCGAGGAGCGACGAAGGCGGCGACGGCGATCGTACTCTTCGAGCGACGAAGATAGGGACCCGGGTGAGCAAGCACGGAAACGGAGGGTTTCGGATGACGACGCGCGAGAGCGCAGTAGGAGACGCAGCTCACGTTCGCGCTCGCCACATCGCCGAAAGGAGGGCCGTTCTCGTCGTTCGCCATGATAGGCGGGAGCACCACCTCTCTCATCGTAAACCCAACATTCGCTTAGGTATGCCATTTGTCATTATAATATTGCTTCTGTCATGAACTAATGTCACAGGCGCTGTATGACAGACCACCTCGGCTTGATCGTTTTCCCATCCTCCGTGTTCTTCAAAAGTTGTCGTTGCAAACTGCCCGTATAGGAGAATTCCCGCATCCAGCTTTCCAGCGTGTGACAGTTCGGATGCACGCTCCTTACCCATGCCATGTCCCTCCGGACCATATCATCTCGCCACAATGCCCACCATCCCGAGAAGTTCTCCCGCCACGTAGTCGATCCGTCGTTGTCGCGTTCGTTAGCCACGGGGTCATCCACGCCCTCGAAGTTCTCGTACCATTCGTCCAGAGTCTGGTATATCACCTCTGCCCTCTGTCCCGTCACCTTCTCGAAAGTTCGTGCGAGGTAGTCCCACCCCACAACGTCGCTGGCAATCTTCATCTCGACGCCTGACGTCTCTTGGCGGTGATCGAACGTATATCGCGCAAAGAATCCGAGGTCCGCAAGTGCGATCATGGGCACATGTCCGTTTCCCACCGGTGTCGCGAACACGGCCGTCCCGTCTTCTCGCCGTTGTAGCGGTCCGAACATCATCTACCACGGCTCGATCAGAAACATATCCGGACGCGTGCTTCTAGAACTCACGTACGTTGCATAGCATGTCCATGTACGGTCCGGAGGTGACGATGCTCCACGACATGCCATCGACACCGATGTCCGACGGTTGCGAACGCATCCAGTCCGCAACACGGGCCTTGCCGTCGTAGTGCTCGCAACGATATTTGGGGTCGTAGTTGCCGATCTGCAAGATTACAGTGGCTCGTCATTCAGACCTTTCTGTCCCATAACGCATTCGTATCGCACTCACCCTGAACGCATAATCCAAGCTGCTCCAAACGTAGTGTCTGACGGCACCATTTTGCTTCGCGAGCTCGAAGATCCTGAGTCCAGCCCATACTTCCTTCTCTTCTCCCACCGTGAACCCGTCCGTGTTGACCCACGCGCCGTACACGCCTTCGAGAGCCTGTGCGACGGACTGCAAGTCGTCGAATGCCCCTGTCGTCGCGGAGAAGTATCAATACCGCTGGCTATCAGAACGAGAAGCCCTCGCTTATGAACTAGCCGTGGACTTACCTTTTACGCACTGTATACCTCGGTTGGTGAGCTCCTGCGCTCGCCTACTGTTGAGGTCTCGCGTGAAAGCACGGACGGCGTACGGTGACGGTGTACCATCCGCACTGGGCTCGAGTAGCTTGTCAATGACTGCTAGACCCTGGGCTCCCGTGGCCCCGATGACGAGGACGAGCTTCTTGCCGTAGCTGGTGGCTGTAGGCTCCATAAGGAATATTGATAGCACAACTTAAAGATATTTGGAGGGAGGACTTTTATCTACAGTCCCATCTCTCGATGCTTCTTTTATACTCGGCTCACTGCCCTTCTCGAACTTTGGGCTTCTTGTGGCCACGTATCACGCAAGTCTGTCTTTGTCAAGATGTGCCTGCTCAGATCCCGCGGCGACGTTTATCTAGCCATTCCAAGGTATATGCCGGTCTCAAACCTTGCATCTGAAAGAGGTCGTGATGTCCTCGTGTCCGACGTCAGATACGTATCTCCTCCACCGGCTCTCTCTTGCCATCCGATACGTACATAGGCCGGAGGCATTGGTCCGGTGTCCCAACGTAAATCCACACGCCGCGACAAATCGGGCAACGTTTGAGTCACCGGAGAGACGGCGGTATGCCGAGCTTGATCATGAGTCGTCTGAGTGATGATCGGACGTGTCACCGGGACCATATCCATTGAGCTTCAGAGGTGGCTTCTTCCTCCACTAGGAAGGGGAGTCTGAAACTTGGACAGCGTCCAACGGGAGATGGATAGGCCTGGTGCAGCGGCACCTATAGGTACTAACAACGACCGTCTGACCCAATCTTTGTGCGTCTATAAGTCAACGAACGGCCACTTCTCCCGCTCCTCCACTTCGGTCGTACGCTTGCCGGTGAGGGCCATGACCTGGTATTGGGCACCCATTCCCGTGCGGTCCACGAGCCGTTCAGCAGCAGCTTGGATCTGCTTTTTGCGGTGGTCGTCCTTAGCGGAAGCTTGAAGAGCTGAGACGCGAGCGCTCATGCCCATTCGCAGCAAGAAGTCCGCTTGGGAAATCGGTCCGTGGGATGTAGCTGTGCGGCGTAAGGTCTCAGCTCAAAATTAACCGTGGTGATTGCGATAGAGAGGGATGATAGCCTGCCGTGCATTCCTTAAGGTGTAAGATAAAGACGCACCCAAATCGGCCGCGGCTTCTGCCAGATAGCTGAAATCGACGTTCACCGTGAGGTCACATTCTCCAGGACGGTGAAAGATGTCCACGATCTTGTGGTTCTTGAATGCCTAGAAACATCCAGAACGGAGCGTGAGCACCTATATCAACGCTATTCCTGGTGTCGCCCGCGGCATCGCGGGTAAGGACGTCCAGATGAATGCTAGGGGCAGAGGGCATTCAAGAGAGAAGGGGAGAGAACGTGGGGAGGAGAAAAAGAAGCAGACGATGAACCACATACGCGGAAGGAGTTTCCGTAAACCTTGCTACCGCCATAGTCGACTATCAGCGCGCTTCCTGCAGACCGGACTCCGCCCGGATGCTTGTCGTGCAGCAGCCCGCCGATCTTCCGGGAAATCTTGAACGCCGCGGGGGAAACCTCTATGCGCGAGCCTGCCGGGAGCTTCTGGAAGCGAGGGGACGAGAGACCGAGGAGGGTGGAGGTCGGCATAGGGGTGGGGCTGAGCACCTGGCGGAAACGTGCCGCGGTGCTCACGAGAGGTCTTGTGGTCGAGACATCGAGCGAAGGGCTTCCGTCGGACTTGAGGATAGTCCCTGCCGCGGGGTCAGGCCCGGAGGCGATCAGAACCTCCCGCCAACCTTTCTCTATTTTCTATGGCACTAGAGTTTGTTTGGATACTCACGGGCACTAGAGCCGAGCAGGAGGTGGACTGACCTGCAATAAATGGAACGGTAGAGCGTCAAAGAATTCATGTGCCAGGACGAGCGTAAACATCTCGGCATCAGGAGTGACGTCGTCAACAGAGTCATGCCAATGCAAAGACCACCCATTCTTCTGTGCAATGGGACCGAGCTTGGCTTCTTGCGCGGCACGCATTGGCCGGCTCGTCTCCACGAGGTGTACCTCTTTGACAGCCGGCCGAGAGAATGAATATTGTGAGAACACCTGGCGTGTGGTGGTCAGCATGAGGATTTTGCTAACAGTTGATTGAGCGCGTACCCGGAGGACGTCGTGCATGAGCGTTCCGCGACCAGGCCCGAGCTCCACGAATCGGATCTGCCTAGATGCTCCCGCACTCAGCCACTGCGACAACAGCCAGACAGCAAGCAGCTGTCCCGGCACTAACAGTTCGTTATCGTGAATGCTCTGGCAGTAAGAGTAAACCCACCTCGCCGAATACCTGGCTGATCTCGGGACTCGTTATGAAGTCGCCCTGTGGCCCAAGTACGGGATTGCGGTAATTCATGTAGTACCCGGCGGTGGGGTGTGATAGACACATTTGCATGTATGTGGCGAAGGTTATGGGTCCTGTGGCCTGAGATGACTCTGAGTATTGATCTTATTATGACAATGACCCGAAAAGACTGGAGGATGTATTGCGAATGGTCTGGTACATGGAAGACTTGGCGACGATCGGACTACAGAACCCATTCTCCCGGGAACTCGACGACCAGGTGACAATCATCATAAATATCCACTGAAGACCACTTAGATGACGTAGAAGCGTTTCCTAGCCCACCACACCGTGGTTCGACCCGACTGCATAGCGAAACTAGGTGTTTCGTTGCTGTTCAATCGCTTTGCAACAGAAGCTCACATGGAATAGCGTATGTGTCCCGTGTCTCCTCTTTAAATATACTCTTTCCGCTAAGGAAACCCGATGTACAGATGGGAAGCAAGACGGCCCGCGTACCTTGATGGTGTCCAGCAGTATCTTCTCTACTTCAGTGACGGACGACTCAGGACCGCTCGCATAACACCGTCTGGGAACGAAATGAGACAAGTTCGCCACCATGCTGACACCCATTGAACGCAGCGAAGTGCGCGGCTTTGCAAAACGTTCGAGTTTCAGTGCATTGACCAGCCTTCGGTTCCGCGTCCAAGTCATGATCGGCCTTCTTGGCCTCCACGCTGCACGCTACACGCTACACGCCTTCCGTGTTTTGTGGTAATCCTGTGGCAACCGGCGTCCGAGATCACAGAGAAGAGTCAGAGGAGTCAGAATTATGAGAGATGAAGGACAGGACTGAGTGACGGAAGCAGCGCTCGGAGCCGCCGTGACTTGCTCATCCAGCGGTCCGGTGGGTATATCCTCCCTCGCCTTTTCCTTCTCTCCACAACCACAGAGACCCCTCAGCTCCTTAGATACCTCCGGAAGCCCCGCATTCATCTCTCATAAGCCTATCGAGAACTCATTGCGCCGATCGAAGAACCCCTCCCACCATGGCCACCCGTACGTTCGACCGGAGGCGCATCAGCCACACATGCTCGGCTAAAAACTTTGCTTGCAGGCATTCAATTCGAAAACAGCAGCGACATCGGTGTCTTCTCAAAGCTGACGAACAGCTACTGCCTGTGCGCCATCCAGGGCAGCACAAACTTCTACTCCGCGTTCGAGAGCGAGCTCGGAGACGTCGTCCCGATCGTGCACACGAGCATTGGCGGCACGCGGATCATTGGACGACTAACCGCAGGTGCGTTCGCCTCTTTCGCTTCTTTGCCTTGTACCCCGCGTAATAATCGAGACGTCTGCACTTGCGCGCAGGCAACCGCCATGGGCTACTCGTACCATCGACGACGACAGACCAGGAGCTGCAGCACCTCCGAAACTCCCTACCCGACGCTGTCGCGATCCAGCGGGTGGAGGAGCGACTGTCCGCGCTCGGGAACGTGATCGCCTGCAACGACTATGTTGCGCTTGTGCACCCCGACATCGACCGCGAGACGGAGGAGATCATCGCGGACGTGCTTAAAGTCGAGGTCTTCCGGCAGACGATTGCCGACAACGTCCTCGTCGGCAGCTACGCCGTCATCACGAATCAGGGCGGGCTTGTGCATCCGAAGACAAGCATACAGGACCAGGATGAGTTGAGTAGCTTGCTCCAGGTCCCTCTTGTGGTACGTACTATCTGGTGTGTATATGGGGTTGCGCGGATCTGATGGCAGGCGTGTGACACATTAGGCTGGGACAGTGAATCGTGGATCGGACGTCTTGGGCGCAGGCCTCGTGGTGAACGACTGGTGTGCGTTTACAGGGCTCGACACGACGGCGACAGAGATTAGTGTCATCGAGGCGGCCTTCAGTGCGTATCTCTTACGTCTGCTCGCACGGTTGGCGCGGATCCTAACGTCATACGATGTGCAGAGCTGCAAGGACAGAGCTCCGCTGCGGTGATTGGGGAAATGCGCGACTCGCTTATCGACAGCTGGGCGTGAGGAGGTTCTGGGTGACGACATGGCTGGGACCCGGTTTGCTTCCTCTCCGTGTGTATCCATTCGCTCGTTTTGTGTGGCGTCACTAGTACAGGGTCAAAAGGCAGACGCAGTCCAATAGTATCACAAACTGTACCTCTACAATCGCATCGTTCACCTCAGGCTGCCATGTGTGTTTGTCAGTGCTCGAAATGGTGAGTGAAATCGAGGGATGTATCATTATTCCGAGCAGGCGGCGAGGTGCCAAGGCTTCGCGAGCGCCTGGCGCGATGTGCGGGCACGCGTTGGGCACGCGCCGTCGTCGCGCGTCGAATCGCGCGCTGCCTGACTCGGATCTTGTCCTCGTTCCTCCTCGCATTGGCAGCAGCCTATCCTCCGCTCTTGCACCGTCTCCACACACTTCGGCCCCTTGCTTTCTTCCAGCCTATCGCTCCTATTTTCATTCCCTGACGCGACGATCATTCACCTGCAATGACGACGAACGGGGCCATGACGGTCTCGCGCTCGCTATCTGCACCCCCCCAGGGGCAAGGGAGTGCTTCCGAGGCTCTCGCGATACGGCGGCCGGTCGAGAACGATTTGCGTCGGAGACTACTCAGCAGCTCGGTGCTCGAAGGGGGAGCCGCTGCTGACTTTCCAGAGAACCCCCCGCTCGACCTCATGCCGCAACTGCAGCGCTCTGGGCCATCCATCGTGAAGACGCGCTCGGGCAGCGTCCTGTCGCGCGGCTTCATCTTGAAGACAGATCACTACCCTTCTGGTGCGCTGCTGAATCTGATCACGGGATGTGGGCTGAACGTTTGATGGACGAATCTAGGCCGAGCCCTTGACCTTGACATTAACGTCCATGGCGCGCCCAACTTCCGCGCACCCAGGCAGGGCAACCTCAATGTCTACGGTGTCGCGCAACCACGCACGCAAGGCCTTCGAGCTATCTTGTCGGTCCTACGCTGTCGTCCGAACATCTCCAATCCCACGCACGTGGTATGGTTCTGCACGCGTGAAGAGCCAATAGGTACGTGCCTGAGTACTCTTGTCGCTGGTGCGGGCGAAAGGCGGACGGGGACGAGGGATGCACGCGCGGATGCGGACGTGAGCCAAGAGCCTAAGTTAATATATGTCTCTCTTCAAGTGTACATATCCGGACGTCCGTTCGTCCTCAGGGACGCTTCGGAACCAAGGAGAACGTTGAAGCTGTCTGACCGTGCCGAGAACCTTGAAGCCATTGAGCTTCGGCTAAAGACCGACATCCTCTCTGAGGCTGCGAAGTAAGTGCTGCGTGCAGACATAGTCGTGTCAAATGTAACAGGGAGAGTCAGATTCGGAGGTCTGGTCCTTACGCACAACGAAATCGGTAAGACGCCTTCGCCTTCGTCACACCAACCCCAGTTTTCAAATCTTGCGCCATAGCCTCTGATTCGGGAGAGGGCGCCATCCTCCCTACATGGACTGCCGTGGATGCGAACAATGTGAGGACACAGCGCGAACTGATGGAGAATATGCGGAAGGATGGATGGAACGTCGAGGTACGTCCCCTTGACAAGCCCTCTGATGATGACAGCCGCTTACCCTCTCGTTTAGTATCATCGGTATGATGTGCCGCATGCCCAAGCTCAGCCTATGCTGACCGCCCCACAGTATACCCATTTCTCCAGAACGGCCAATCGAGGTGCGCATCCTGAAGGGCATGTTCCGGACGTGTATCGTACTGAGCGTTCGCAGGACAGCTACTTGGATGCATATCTCAGGGTCATCAATGAGACCGACCCGTTGTCCACCGCGCTCGTGTTCAACTGTGGCATGGGAGCCGTCCGAACAACCTTCGCCATGGTCGCTGCCTGTCTCGTTCGGAGAAAGCAGCTGATTGATCGGGGCTTGGAGGACCCGTATAGCGCGAGATCCGTCGGTTCGAGGTCGGGCATGAGCACGGTCAGTGCCTGTTGCTCGTGCGTTGTGGAGACTACTGATGTTGCATCACGGCCAGCCCTCCGGAATGTCCCCAGTAAGCTAGGCACCCGGGTCATCAGGCGACATGATACTGACTCATAGCAGCCGGCGAATGCGAAGATCCTGCAGTCACTCGAACAGGCGAGCGCACAGCAGGGCATAAACCGTTCATTGCTCCGCATTACGTACATTCTTCAGCAATGTGGGTATCAACGCCCGTCGCCTGGAGTCTACTACTCACCGTAGCTTGCAGTACTGGATACGAAGAACTCGCAGTCCGCGATAGAGCTGCTGCTCTCCCAGCCATCCCTCCTCGAGGCGCTCCGCAAGGCGCACATGGGCAACTATGGGGTGATCTTGAGCTTACTCGGATGTTTGGACCATGGCATCAAGTCGAAAAAGCTTGTTGACAAGGTTATCGACGTTTGTGCGTGTCTTAACCCATGTATTGGGCTCTACGCGCTAACTTGACGCTAGGCGACCATGTCGTGAACCTGAGAGAAGAGATTTTCATCAACCGTGTGCGATACTCGCTCACGACGGCCGTGGACGACAAGGAGCGCGACGGCTTCCTGAATAGAGCCGTGAAATCGCTCGAGAAATAGTGAGCGTCGTGTGCCACGCGGTCCTGTCAGTGCTTGCTGAGATTCCTCTGCAGCTTCTTTGCGATCGCTTTCGCGAATTATGTGGAGATGCAGGACGACTTCGGACAAACCTTTGCCGATTGGCTGAAGGTAAGGGCTTACTACGCACCCTGCTTGGCACGTTCTTTGACGCTATTGACGGTGTAGGCAAGGACGGAGATCTGGAAGTGAGTGTACACGCCTGCGATATGATTTCCCAATCCTCAAAGTTGTGTCCAGTCAAATTGTATTTTTGCGGAAGTCGCACGGCTCAAGACTGAACGTCTTTGCCCCGATCAATGACCTCTCCTCGCTGTCCAAATCCGGGGCCGACCGCCATGCCCTGCTCCCGGGGCAGCAGAACGATGTTGTGGTAGCGGGCGGCCAGATCCTCGGGGACGAATACTCTGACCATGTCGTCAAGAACCGCAGCGGCATCATCCTCCGTGAAGGGTAAGTCTTCGAGCTTTACGCGCCTCTTGTCTGACATGATACTCACATTCTTTACGCCCGAGCAGAACGCTCCTCAAATCCGACCAATGGCTCAGCCGCTCGTCGAACGTCCCGCATGGGGTCCGAGGTGCGATCAACTTCCGCAACATCCCTGGGACGAACATCTATGCGCTTGGACAGCCTACGTCGGAGGCCATCGATGAGGTCGTGCGCCGCGTGCATGAGGCGCACCCGGAGGCGACGCGCGTCGTATGGCTCACGCTCCGCGAGGAGCCGCTTGTGTATATCAACGGGGCGCCATATTGCTTGAGGCGAGAGCGGTTCTCGTTACGCAACATGAAGGGTCAGTATCTTTCTGGTGGCAATCCACATCGTTGTTGTATTGACTTCTCGATGTAGATTATGGCGGTATATCTGCCTCGCGTCTCGAAGTCCTCGAAGAGCGCCTTCGCGATGACGTCGTGAACGAGGTGCATGCCTTCGGCGGAAGGCGAGCGTCCCATTTTTGCTACCTGGGGCTTCACTAATCAATCTCCTATGACAGGCTGCTCCTGCACACCGAGACCCCAGACGGATCCGTCATCCCGATTTGGGAGGAGGTCAACCCCGACAATGTCCTCGTCCTCAAGGACGTCATGGCGGAACGCAAACATGTTGCGGAACATCTGGAGCTCAGCTACGCGCGGATACCCATCACAGCGGAGCGCCCTCCGGATTTCAGTGACCTGAGCGAGCTCATTGAAGTCATGATCCGGAGCAACGCAACTGGGGCACCGATAATTCTCAACTGCCAGCTCGGCCGTGGAAGGAGCACTCTGACTTCGGTATGCGACAGAATTGCGTCGATCCTACAGTATATTGATGAACTTCTGGTCTCACAGGTCATTTTGTTGCTCATCCAGCAATGGCTGGCGAGGGCGACCCGCTTGAGGGACCCATCTACTCCTGGCCCGCTGCAGCGGACAGTGCCTGCGTCGTCTACCAACCCTACTACGGACGTCTTCCCACACCATTCACAGCGTCACTCATACCAAATCATCAACAGTGCGCAGCACAGGTCCCTTTAGCTTGCTTTCGATGCCAGACCCTGATCTCTTTCTTCGCAGACCTACTCCGCGTCATCCGCAAGGGCCCCATGGTGAAGCAGGCCGTAGACGACGCCATCGACCAATGCTCCGGGGTCCTGAACCTCCGCGACTCGATCGAGGACGCGAGGGCGCGCGCCGAGCAGGCGTCGGACGAGCAGCAGAGGCGACAACACGCGCACAAGGCGATGCAGAACCTGCGTCGGTATTTCGAGCTCATCATCTTCCAGGCCTACTTGCAGTCGACGGAGCCGGATACGATGGAGACGCATGAGTCATTCGAGTCGTTCGTCAAGGACCGGCCTGGTATGTGCAACCTCTCGGATTTTCAGACAATCGGCGGTTTACATGAGGTCTCAGTGATCAAGACGTTTGAAAAGGAATTGCTCGCCGAAGACCTCAACACGCTCAAGCCTCTCGAGCGCGTCAACGTACAGGACGGCGGTGTCGCGCGCCCAGACGAGGTTCAGCAGGTCGTCGCGAATCGCTCCGGCAGCATCCTCTCCGCATCGACCATCCTCAAGAGCGACTTCTTCTCGAATTTGCAGAAGATGAGCCTCCCGGAGTACGTCTCCGACGCTTCGGTCCATTCAGGCATATCGTGACTCTGACACCTCCACGCCTAGACGAATCGAGGGGGCGCCCAATTTCCGACGCGTACCCTTGACGTTACGCCTTGTATCGACATCCGTTCCCTCCCCAGGGGCGGACGGCGCTGACCGGTTCGACTTCGTCACCGGAAACGACAATAAGTGGGTGTGCGGCAGGTGCGTTAAAAATTGAAAGAAACCTTGACCGGAGATGATGACGCTTGAGGACGGCAGCGGTATGCCGACAGTGGACGGGTATGTGTCGTTAATACGGATATCGGGAGCCATATTGATCATGTCTCAGATTGAGGCGCGCGTTGCAGAGGGTGAACGCACATCCAGAAGGCAACAACTGGGTGTACTGGACTTCATTACGAGAGGTGAGGCGCGGAAACCTGATAGGCATTACTCGACGTGTTAACCAATCCTTCAGGAACCTGTCATCTACGTCGCCGGCCGCCCGCACGTCCTTCGGCTGATCGACAAGCCTCTGGAGAATGTAGAGTGAGTGGTATCCCGGCTACATGGCCCATTCCTCTGCTCACGGAGTAGCGTGATGCAGGGCGACTGGCGTGACGACCGCGGTCGTCGAAACGATGGAAGAGAACCTCAAGCGCGACGTGATTCGCGAAGTGCGCGCGGGCGAGGGACGCATCTTGCTGCACGACGAGGTCGAGGAGCGACCGGGGGTGTTCTCGATCATCCCGATCTGGGAGCAGGTCGAGGACAAGGACATCATGACGCCGCGCGACGTATACGACCTGATGGTCAAGGACGGCTACAAGGTCTGTCATCATCCCCATTTGAGACTCTCCTCGTGAACATCGTTGGACTGACGCCGCCGTCCTCGGACCTCGGCAGGTCGACTACGGTCGAGTGGCTGTGGTGCGTGTCTCTCGCTCTCATGCGTGATGTGTCTCGGCCCGCGGGTCTGGCCCCCAAGATCTGAACGCTGATGTTGTTGTTGCCATTCCGCGCAGACGGACGAGCAGGCCCCGCTACCGGGCGCGCTGTCGCAACTCCTAACACGGGTGCGCACAGGGCTGCAGAGCGGCCACGCGGCGGACTTCGTCTTCAATTGCCAGATGGGCCGTGGCCGCACGACGAGCGGCATGGTCACGGCGTGCTTGATCGCGACGACAATGATGTGGGAGCACGAACGGGAGGAGAACCTTCAGACGGAGGAGCAGGCTAATGGGTTGGGACAGTACGACTCGATCGACGGGCCGTCTGAGGAGGAGGCGTACCTCCAAGGTAGACGTTGCTTCGCTTCGGCCCCTGCTGCTGTCAGACTCAGTGCTGACTTGTTGACAGGCGAATACAAAGTGATTTTGCAGCTCGTTAGCGTGCTCTCACACGGCAAGCTCGCGAAACGCTTGACGGACCGAGCTATCGACCAGATGCAAGACGTCCAGAATCTCCGCAAGGCGATATACGAGTATGTACCGCATTTCCATGATGTATCGTTCTCCGTGGGTGTGAAAGTGTTCGATGCTGACGTTGACCTGAATCCCTATTTAGCTATAAACTGAAGACGTCCGCCTGCGAGAAAGGGAGCGCAAAGCAGCGCAAGTTGATGGACATCGGCGTGAACTACCTGTATGTCCTAATCCTCACGCTGACCGTCTGCGCCTCCTGTTGGCGTGTTGCAGTGACTGATTGCTGACCTGCGCCGGTGACGACTGTGGCGCGGCATTCTGTTCAGGTACCGCTATGGCACGCTGATCGTTTTCGCGAATTACCTGATTGAAATACGGGAGGGCAAGACAGCCGAGGTGAACTTCCCTGAGTGGTTGCAGGAGAGACGAGAGATCACGATGCTGCTTGGACGTCGATCGCTGGACTGAGGTCCGGATGCTGTACAATTGCTTGTAAGCTACGCTCGAGGCTCGACCCAGATGTCGGACATCAATACATGTACATAGAGTAGTCAAGTCCCTAATTGATGGCCGCATTGTACGAGTACCATCACCATCATGATGAGCGGGAGAGGTGAACGTCGAGGCCGAGCTGGACGGGGAGGACCCGGGGAGCGCTAAAGGCTGGAGGAGGAGGATAAATATCAGTCGCCGTGGCAGCTGCACGTGATGGGAGAGCTGGCTCACCGCCTTGGGGTTCCGTCTGTCCTGTGCCGCCATCGTCCGCGCTCCTTCCCTCGTCCTCCGCATTTCCAACGTCGCACAAGGCCTTCTGTCCTTCGCCCCCACCGCGCATCGCGCCCATCGTAGACGACGTTTTTCTACGACTCTTCGCCACGAGGCCGCCCTCCTTATTATCTAGTACACCGCCGGCTGGTATAATTCCTCTTCATCGTCTCTTCCTATTCCCTGGTTGTCCCGCTTCCCCATGTTGACCTCGCGTTCCCTTGCCCGGTGTCTCCTCCTTCTCTCTGTCAATGCAGTCATCTTTGCGTCCTCCGCTGCCGCACGACAAGACCATGCACTTGCCTTCCCCACACCCACCCCTCCGCCAACGCTGGTAGCTCGCCAGGGAATTTTCCCTACATTGGGCGGCAGTACAGGGACAGACACGAACACGAACACCGCTACCAATACCAACACCAACACGGCAACCGGTACGGGTACGGGCACCAATACAGGCACCAACACGAATACCAACACGAATACCGACACCAACACCAACACGAATACCAATACTAACACGAATACCGACACCAACACAAACACCAACACCGACACCAACACTAACACCAACACCAACACCGCTACGGCCTCCCCCACCAGCAACACCTCCAACACGAGCAACACTTCTAGCCCGATTGGGACGCCCACGCAGCTAACCTCGCCCCCTCCCTCTCCCTCTCTCTCTAGCACAGTAGTTACGGGCTCCAATGGTGCCGTGATCACCGTTGTGGTCACTTCTACCCCTTCGGGTTCCTCGACAGGCAGCAGCTCAACAGGTAGCGCTACCGCAGGTGCCGACACGTCCGGTGCGAAGTCATCGGGTATCAGCAAATCGACCATCATTGGTCTGTCTGTGTCGGGAGGAGTGGCGTTGATTGGTCTCATTACCTTCGTTGTTTGGAAGTTCACTCGCAAGCGATTTACGGACGATGACTTCGACAGTGAGTGCTCTCATCTCTCTTCTCCGTCCCCATCCTCTCGTTAGCGATGTCATTACGCGCCCATGCTGCTATGCATCGTGGAGTGTGCACCGGTATCGGCTGTTCTACTCGACGGTGTTCGCAGCGCGGTAGAGTATGACCGCAGTATAGCTTTCACATGAAGCATTCGTCGTTCCCCAAACCCCAAGCTAGGGTTCGTGTAGCCCTAGCGACTGCATAACCGAAGCTTCCGTATCTCTTGAGTATGGATCTTCATGCTAATCTGCATCTGCTCCCAGACGAAGCGATCAAGTGGCCGGAGCTCAACGCTCACGGTGAGGAGACCACGCACGCGCTCCCCACCAACCGTACCGGTGGTGCTGGTTTCGAGACCTCGTCGGAAGTCAACCTCGCCCGTCCCAGTTCACGCGCTGGCAGTATCGCACCCTCTGCCGCGGCGTCCTCGGTTGACCTGTACAGCAACCGTAGCGACCCTTACGCCGTCCCTCCCCTGCCGCACCTCAACCCGAACATGCCGTACCGCGACGACCCGAGCCAGGTGTACTACGACAACGACCCGTACGCGACTGCTGCTGCCGTCGCACCTGTCGAGTCGATACCCATGACGCAGATCAACCGCACACGTTCGCCAGGCCCCCAGATGGCGTACGGCTACGACGGGCGCGTAAGCCCCGGACCGCAGCAGAGCCTCAGTGCGAACTACGCCGCAGTGCCCGGCCGCGCATCCCCTGCCCCTATCCCCCAGGCAGGTCGCATGTCGCCCGGGCCACAGATGGCGTACGGCCCCGGGCCACAGTACTGATTGCCGGAAAGGCGATCGGGCGTGTGTGTGGTGCGGAGTGGTGGCTGGACCATGCACGGTGGGGTGTTGGGGACTGAGCGCGGGTGCGCATTGGCGGTGGAGGAGTGAAGGCTGTCTTTCTAGACTGCGTCGGACTGTAGTGCGGAGGCAGAGCCGGCGCGGAGGGTGGGCTGTCTTGGACGCATGCCAGGCTTGGTCTTGCGCATGCTCCGGGTGACGCGTCGCGGCCGGGCATGCCCATGTACGCGAGGCCCGCACAAGGGACCCTATCACGCCCGAGCTGGGGTTGAGGTCAAAGCCGGGCTGCTGCAGAGCTCGGCACACGCGTACGCGCTGGGCGAGTGGGTGGCCTGTCCTGCTCGCCTGCTCGCCCACCCTCACTTCGTTCACCTTCGTTCGTCGTTCATTCAATTCGGACTGGACTGGGTCGTTGGACTGGATGTTGTGCGCATGCTATCATCATTGTCGTTCCCGTGTCATTACATCTAATGCAAGCTATCGATTCTCGTCACTCGCCCTTCCACGCGATGTGTCTATAGGTTCGACTATGCCAAACCTCAAGACTTGGAGGTTCGGCCACGGTGGAAGAAGCCTACCCCGGGGCTGCGTACCTCGAGGCGAGACGCAGCTCTACAGGTCCAATGGTGCGGCCAGCGCATTGCCAGACGCCTCTTCCGCCTTCCTCCGCAAGCCGCCGAGAAAATAAGCTGCATCGGGATGTAGCCTTGTCGCCGACCCACGCTCGTTCCCTCAACCCTTTTTTGTCTCCGCTATGTGTATCATATCCATCCTGTCGTGAGTTGTCCTCGTATCAGCCTAGCTCAGCATGTTTCCATGTTTCCATCGCATCCCGCATACCCAACGCCGGTATCGTTCTCGTCGTCCTGTGTCGATATCACGGCACGTCCCCTCTTTTATACCACCATCGCATGTTGCATTGGACTTTCGCCCTGAGGCTTACATTACGCTACATCCATACCCGTAATTTCCCCCCCGTCAAGGACCCTCTCTCACCCCCATCCTCTCGTACATGTGCATAGGCATCTTTCCATCAATTTTCTTGTCCCAAGCCGGCCCTTGACCTTCGCATCCGTCGATCTAACTCCAAGTTCCCTGGACTTCTTGCATTCTGTTCGGGTGGCACTACGTGATATCCAGTAGAGTTCCGTATATAAAGGCGCGGTCGTCGGATTAATATCCTCCAACCCCGGCGCACTCCGCATTTCTGGCAAGATAGCATCGCGCGTACTCGCAGTGCGCGTGAACGACGCCGACGTTGCTGGGTTCACGGGCAGACCCGAACTTTTCTCCGTATCTCCGTGGGCACCTTTGCACCTGGTCTTCGGGACAATGTGTCGTCCAGTGTTAGGACCAGCAGCTGGAGCTCCGTGCGGTAACGTCGGTATACATAGGATCTGGCTTGCAAGAGACTTGCCAGTCGAAACACCGTAATCACTCATTGATTTCCAGGGAAGGCTAGACCGTGACTTAGCCTACTTGTTCTTCATCGAACGGGGTCTTGGAAGCAGTGCGTCCAAGTACTGATTACTTAGTACTCGCAGTCTTCGATTAGCCAGTTGACATGAACACGTTCTCGGGAACCAGATTGAGTTCGTGTTGGCCGTTTCGATGCGTCTGGACTCCGGAGAGTGCCGTGTACTCACATCCTGAGGCTGCGTGGCAAGAGCGGAAGGCCTTCAAGTTTGCTCGACCTGCATACCGGCACGTCTACATCTCCTCTCGGGGGTCACGGTCAAGTCAGGCCTAATTGCGCAAGAACGACAGGACGCTCGGACGCCGGTCACGAGTACGGTACTGACTTGGTAAGATGTATAACCGATCCGTTAACAACGTCAGTCTGCATGCTGCAGGGCTGCGTCGTGATTGTATATTTTCCATTTCTCCAAGCTCGCTGAGGCAATCCGGCTCTTCTTTGGAACCTGGAATCCCTGGATTGTGATGGCAGACACTCCGCGATCGCCCTGGACACAGCGCAACCTATCTTCTGTCCCCCTGGGTGTCCGAATAGGGTGGTCCGCGATGCTGACGAACGTTATCTGGCATGAGAGGAGGCGTGTTCAATCCTTGTCGCTCGCTCATTTCCTCGCGCGCCTACCGGGCGTCTGCCTACCTGGATTCAAGGTCAGATCAAGCGCCTGTAGCACAGCGAGCAGAGGTGCGCAGGCAGCGGGTGCAACACGACCGCATGAGCGTCGCGAGCTGGGACTGAGGAGCGACACGAAAGCTTAACGATTTGAAAGATAGAGAGCTCCATGACTCGAGACGCGGAGTCGTCCCGCAAGGTTTTGAGTCCAATTGCCATCAGGCTTACAGTGGCAACCCCAGGTGGCCAGTGAACCGTGTCGTGCCGAATCTGGTTCCGATTTGGGCGCATTGTGTACAATTATTCTCGGTCAACAAGTCTATCACGATCTGCCGACGTCTCCATCCACTTTCTGGACAGATTTTCTGGGCATAACAAACCTAGCATAGTAGGACGAAAACGTCGATCTCGCTGCACCGCTGCCTGTGCGGCTGTGCTACAGGCGCTTGATCTGACCTTGAATCCAGGTAGGCAGACGCCCGGTAGGCGCGCGAGGAAATGAGCGAGCGACAAGAATTGAACACGCCTAGGGATGGGGCGGTTTCTCCAGTTCTGTGGTCCCACGGCGTCGGCCGGAAGCCATGCGTTGCCCGCGCTATCCTCGAGATAAGAGTGCCGAGCCCGTCCCAAGTGAATCTACTCCACACCGGCAACGAACGACGTAGCCCGCTATGGGAGACAAGTGTCATCGTGGCGCAAGTCAAGATGGTTATGCGCATTGAACAGCCGACGACCCCGACATTGTGCTGATGTCCGCTCAACTCGAGTCTCACGGGTGCACGAGACACGCAACCAGGTAGAGTGGATGCTGTGGTACTCTGATATACGACCTATACTTGTCGCAAAGGTATGCTTATGATACATGCCACGAGACGTTTTGCGCGGATTACTACGGAGCCAGAAAAGCACCTAAGGGGGATGTAATGTAAGGAGCGTGAGGTCAGCTGTGAGAGCGATACATACGTCCTGCGACACTATACATAATACGTATCGTATGTCACCGACAGCCCGACAGTTATGGTAAATGTATAGCTTGAGGCCGAGACGGAGCTTCGACCAGGGTCGAGTCTTCATGGACAGCGCCAAGCAGAAGAAGGCGTACCCAGGACAACAGTCGGGTGGCAGAAGGGCAAGTAAGGCTAAACGAGCGTGAAGATGAGCTTAAATGTCAACAGCGGAGCAGAAGAGAGCGTGATGCGAGAGAGATGCGTAGAATAAGCAATGTGAGGTGACGAAGTGGTATGCAGATGACGATACTATTAGTGAACGGGAGCGGACTAGACAGCAAAGCAAAACATGCAAGGGAGTCCCGAGGAAAACCAAGGCAGAAATTCGAAAGGTTGATTCCATCACGTGAGGAACGCCATCTCGCTCAATCTCCTGCTCTCGTCGTCTTCGATGAAGTGCGCCTGGTGGACGATCGTCCCATGGCTGTGCATGGTCGGCGCGACCGCCTGCCGCGGGGGCAATGTCCCACGAGGAAACGCGCTCGGCGCGGCGGACGTGTCGAGCATCTTCGATCGCTTCCTGCGTACGCCCATCGAGTCCGGGACGACGACCGGATCCACCGTAGACTTCGGCCGGGGCTTCGTCGAGGACGTGAACGCCCTCCGCAAGTTCAGCATCGACGACGACGTGCGCGTATCCCTGGGGATCTACGATTTTACGACAATTGAGTTCGACCCTCATAATCGGGGCACGAAATAGCGGGCGAGACTCACCTCCAGCGACTTCTTGCCGAACAGGCTGAACGACTTGCGCCCCTCCGCCTTCTCTTGTGCCTGCTCCGCCGTCTGCGAGCGCGGAGGCCGAGGCACCGCGACGCCCTCCTGTGAAAAGCGCGGCCTTACGGCGGCGGCAGGCACAGGAGAAGCAGCAGCAACAGAAGCGGCGGCGTTCGCGGGCACGTTCATCACGCCAAACTCGCCCTCTTCCGACGACGCCTCCGTCTCGCTGAACTCCTCCATGATGACAGGGGCAGCGATCGTCGTCGCGCCAGGTGCCTTGCCCTGGCAGCCGCCGGTACTGAGCAGCCCCAGGCCCGTGCCGCGTCGAGGGCGTGCGGGGACCATGCCCGTGTCGTGCCCGTTGTCCGACGAATGCGATGTCGAGCCGCGCGAGATCGACGCGTCGCGCACGAGCGCCGCGTGCGCGTGCGACGTCGTCGTCGGCGTCGGGAGCGCCGACTCCGCCCCGGACGACGACACGGTGCGCGTCGGCGACAGCGCGGGGACCGTGGCCGTCGTCGTCCGGGTGCTCGAGCTCTGGGCGTGCGCGAGCCGCGGCGCGACTGCGGCGCGCCCGCGCGCGCTGCCGTCCCCGTTCCCATTTACGAGCTTGCCTGGGAGCGACGGGCGGCCGTGATCCGACGTGGAGGAGGTGCTCGCTTCCGAGTCTGACGTCGCGGCCGCGGCAATCGCGACGGCGATCGCCTGCGCTTGCGAGGCCGACTTCCCGTCCTGCGAGTGCGTGACGATGATCGGCGGCGGCTTCTCCTTGCGCGCGCGCAGCGTGCCCGAGCCGCCGTTCGCAGACGTCTTCGAGGGCGACTGCGGCGCGTGATGTTCGCTCGCTAGCGAGGTGCGTGGGGATGCGCTGAGGCCGGCAGCAGAACCGGACAGGGAAAGGGGCGTGGGCGTGTCGACAGAGGTACGTAACCAGAGAGAGACTTTTTCCGAGTGCGCTGAGGGGCTGCCCGGTGGGTCGCGCTCCTCTCTTGTGGGAGTGGATGTCGGTTTAGGGGCAGAGCGATGCGCAGGTGACGTAGACGTAGAAGCGGGAGGACAGCGACGGGAGGGTGAAGAGGGCGGAGAAGGCTGCTGGCGAAGCTTTCCGTCATTCGCAGCGGAGAACGGGGGACGGAACCCGTCGTCCGGGCGACCAGGCGAGCTGGGCGCGGTGTGGAAGTCGACGTCCTCGACGGTCGCCGAGACCGGGCTTGCGACGCGGGCCCCGAAATCGCCGACATTGGGCGACAGCGCCGGCGCGTCGACATCGACGGTGACGAACGTCGCGCGGCGCGGCGACCGCTCCCCAATCGTCCCGTCCCTGCTCGCGCGCTCCAGCGCGTCGCTCTTCCGGGGCGGCGGCGCTTCAGGCTCAGGCTCGGACTCGGACTCGGCGCCCTCCCTGCCCAAGCCCGGCGCACCCCCCTCCGCCTGCTTCGCGAGCCACGCCTCCCTGATGCGCGTCGCCTCGCTCTCACTCTCGCCCTCCCCGCTCTCGTCCCCGGGGACGACGATCGTGAACCGCCTATCGATCTCCGCCTCCTGCTCGCTGAGCGGCATCATGTACCCGTCGGCGTCGCGGAACCGGCGCGAGGCGGCGGGGACGAGCCCGCGCGCACGCAGCGCGGCCTGGCGCTGCTCCAGGGACGTGAAGTCGTTCGGGGGCGCGGCGGGCACGGGCGCCCTGGGCATCGGGGGCATGTGCACGACGCGCAGGAGCGTGCTCTTGCGCTGTGGCGGGTCCGCGGTGGTGCTGTTGCGTGGGGGGCGTGGCCGCGCTTGCGGGTGTTGCGCGGATGGCTGCGGGGGCGGCTGACTGGGCGCGTGCGGGGAGCGGAACCTGGACGTGATTCGGCGGAAGATGTTTTGTTGTTGTTGTTGCTGCTGCTGCTGGGGCGGCGCTGAGGGAGGAGGAGGAGGCATGGTCGCGCTGCGTGAGAGGAGGTAACGAGTGAGCACCGGGCTAGACTCTGGAGGGGTATATACCGCAAGGTGTGCGAATATGAAGGTGGTCGCGAAGCGGGGCGGAGCGTGGGCACGAGCACGAGCACGCTCCAAGACGTGATCGGATGCGGACCACGATCGGCCCCGCGCTGGCGCGGATTGCGGTCCAGACGAGCTGGCCTTGCTTTGTGGAACGGAGATCGGGACTAGCTTGCAGAACACACACACCTGTGCTGAGGCGCCCGTTGTGAGCGGGCCTGCGGCGTTCTTGAGCTGGTGGACGGCTGTGGTGGACGTCCGTGCTGCAAGGTGTGGGGCGAAGCCGCGCTGGACACAACCAGAGATCAGCATCTGTAAATATGACTGGAGAGTGCACTGCGGGGTAACGCGTCGGATGATCCTTGATGGCGCATCATCCGGGGTTGGGAGGGAATGTGAACGTCGCATCAAGACAATTTACACACATACCCTATTCGTGAAGAGGAGGCTGCGTCCTCGGGTAATGCGGGTAACGGTGAGTCCTTCATGACTGTAGATGCTGCTTTGCCAGCAGATTGCAGCGAATCACGCGTAGGTGCACTTGAAGATACGTAAAATGGGTAGAGTGTTAGTCAAAGCTGCGTGGGAGACGGGCAGGTGGGGACGTATGCGCGATACGACGGACATGCCCTAGTGGTGGTCAGGAAGCAAGTGAGTGCTGCCGACGAGTTCCTGGGCGCACTATAGGCATAGGATGACAGTGCGAATGTGGAGCACATGGGCCAGGCTAGGTAGAACCCCCGACCTCCCTGTTTGGGTAACGAAAAGACCCATGATTTAGCCATGGGCCTGGGTGGCAGAACTTCGGAAGAGCGTTGCTTGCGGATATATGCGTGGGCTATTACTTTACTGACCTGGGACCATCACCCTCGGGCATCGCCAGGAGCAGGCCTTTCCCATCTGCCCCCGGGTGTTCGGCGTACGAGAAAGCAAGGTCGAGCGGTGGTGCCCCGGAACGGATGACACTCCTGCGTATGCTGGCACGGCGTGTGCTCGCAGTACGTGCGGGACTGGCTTTGCTCCTGCCCACGCTGAAGAATCTGGAGCGTGCGGACTGCTTCGCCATGGTTCACCGACGAGGAGTGGGAGGAGGGGGAGAGAAAGAGTCCGGGCTTCGCAGCCGGGGGAAGAATCTATAAGGCCAGGGACGAGGTGAGGGTGCAGTCAGGTGGTATGTCGGACGGGCGAGGCGGGGGCGAAGGATCGGAGAAGGATGGGCTAGGCGAGTACGCCGTCGGGTACGTCGCGCGAAGCCTGAGCGCGGTTTCGAGAAGACAGGGCGTGGGCAGTCGGTGACGCGCCATGAAGCAGGGCCCTGATTGAATAAATACGTATGGGAGGGCTGCCCGTGCTGGACCGAGTCGCATATGCTTTCCATCGCGAGCTGTGTCAAGCAGCAAGCTTCGCGCGTCTCTCCGCGATCAGCCCCCCGCGCCAAGACGCCCGCCATCCGCCGCGACAACAATCCTCGGCACCCCGCATTCTCCTGCCACTGATCGTTAGCCACCCTCCGTCTTTATTTCTCCACCTGGCTATTAGCGCAGTCCTTCTACATACAATGCATAGCTCCCGTCCGCTGCCTCCTCAGCCTCCCACAAGCTCGCGTGGTCAAACCTACCGGGCGCCCCGCGGTGCTGGCATCCGCCGAATGTGGAAAACCGGCCGTGTCTCAGGTCGATCTCCCTCTGGACATGCGCACTGATGGATGGTCCTTACCCTGCGCACCGCTACGTACGTCCCACCGTGCTTGCCGTCCGCTTCTCCCCCTGCGAGACCACTCTGTCTTCCCTGCTCCCTGTCCTCTGCGGTGCGCTATCACCAGCCGAGGTTGTAGATTTGACCAGCCTCTCACCGCATGTGGTCCATAGCGAGCGACATATGCCTGGACCACCGCAGATCCGCGACAGTCTCACGCTTGGGACGCCTTCCGCCGCTTCGCGCGGTCGTCGAATCGACTATCCTCGAAGACGCGCCAGACCCTCGACCCGTTCCATTCCAGTCCGGAAGCAGCTACATGCGGTGTGATGTTGTATGAACGTCCGCGCAACCGCATCGACGAAGGCACCGCCGACTCTCCGCCGTCCCACGCTCCGTATGATTCGACTGCTTGGACTTACATAACATAACCCAAGCCAAGGTGGGCATCCACGTCCTCAGGGCGTCATCAGTCACTTAGAGGCAGCGTTCGCAGATCGCACTCTAGCCCGCTAGCCGATCCCTTGGACCCATTCCCAGAGCCGTCATAGTCCAAGAAACCATACCGTGGCACCTCGCGAACGCGCCTACCTGGCAGATCTCTGGTCTGCGGCGAGGCCGCACATCCGTTACGCGTTCTCCGCTTCCACGGTGGGCCTCCTGCGCATATCCACACCCGGCGCCACATCTCGTTCGCCGAAGGAATCCTACAGCAGCGGGAGATCTCAGGCTCGGCGCCGGGTCGCGGCGAGTCGCTTATACTTGCGTCCACGCCTTGTCGGCCGCAGCGCAGAGCACGCCAAGGACGTTCCCGAACAGAGCCGCTCCGGGAAGAGCAGCGGCCGTGCGGAGCGCACTCGACCTGACTCATCTCCGAAGAGAAGCATGCGCTTCTCGCAACGGTTTCCCTCGAGCGAGAAGCCGTTGGGGGAATCCTTGTACTGCGTCGAACGTGCGCGCCTCGCCGGCGGAACCGGCCTGTATCGGGAAGGGGGATTGGGTTGCGCGGTCGCGGCCTGCTGGGGGCATCGCGCGCGCGTAGCTCGGCCACCTGCTCTACGGGCAGCAACGATGGGAAGCGTGACGTACGGGTGTACATGTCCGACACACGCTCGTCGTGCGTTCGGTAGCGGGTTTGACGTTGGATGCTCGGCTCCAGTCTCCGTCTTGGGCTGTCGTACTACGGTCGTCACGCCTGAGTTCACGTCATGGAGCACGCTGCTCGGTCCAGCTCCTGAGTGTCGTAAATTCGGGCGTGATGTTATGAGTTTGGTGCGGTCCTCGGAAGCTCCTGTTGGAAAGGGCGTTTGCAGCCTTCGCTGTGGCGGAGGATCGTCAGTACCCCGTCTACATTTCATACTGTGATCTGCTTCCTGCTTACCCTGTCTCTTACTCTCTGCTACCCAAGTCCACAGCAAACTCGTCATGCACTCTAATTGGAGCCCTATGGCAAGTAGGAGAAAACACAGTAGCGATTCCGAGGCGATGCCGCCAGCGATTCGGGCCAGCGATCCCGCGCTGACATCACACGGGTCTTTAAGAGACTTTGTGGACGACCTTGCTTTCGGCACATGGCATTCGAGTGGCGGACTTGAAGACAGATTTACAGGGGACAAAAGGGAGATTTCTCTCCTCACACGAATCAAGTAGGTGCAGGTTTTGTATGGATGGTCAGAAGGGGATGTTTTATTACGATAAGGAACAGTCCCGCCTTCATCGGTGGGTCGCTTCGACGGGCTCGTTCGCTTCTCGGGCAGCTCGGCTCGAATCTTCACGTCCGGGCAGCGTTGATCGCGCTCAGCGAGCAAAGTTCAGCGGCGCTGTCCGGCACGGCGGGTGCGAGAGCGACACCGAACCGCTGCCTCGAATCGCTATGGAATCGCCTGGGAATCACTGCCGTATTGAACCTTAGCATCAGCGTAGCAGCTCTACCCTGACACTAGGACAACGCGCCCGACACCCTGAGGGCCCTCCAAATTGAGGACAGCTGATCCATAATATGTTGTTGATTCTCGTATCAGCGCCAAACCTGCTGTTGAAAGCTGCAACCTGCAAGCCGAATGGCCAGGCTACCGCACTGATGTGTACCCCAGGTAACACACAAACCCTACCGCCCGTACTGTGTCGTCCCCGAGGCGGACCCCATCCCTCGGTGCGTACCGTCCTCGCCACCTTCTCGCCCACGGACTATTACCAGACCGCCCCATCCCATCCCAACCCCCGCTCAGTCGTTCAGTTTCAGCACCTCGATCGCGCGCCCGCGCATGAGCGCGAGGGCCTCCGTGTCGTTCAAGAACGCCGGCACGTCGTTGGCGAGGAACGCCGCGCCCTGCTCCATCGCGACGTACGGGTAGTCGACCGAGTACAGGATGCGGTCGAGCCCGATCTGCTGCGCGTGGAACCGGACGAGGTCCGGCGCGAAGTTGCCCGACGTCGTCTCGAGGATGTTGTGCTGGAAGTAGAACGTCACGTTCTTCTGCATCGGCATGCCCACGGCCACTTGGCGCGTCAGCTCTGCGACGGGGGGTCAGCACTGACAGCGCCGGGCGCGACGGACGCGGATCGACGACGTACGGTCGTTGATGCGGAAGAGGTCGGACGGGATGCGCTCGCCGAGGTGGCCCACGATGACGGTCAGGTTCGGGAAGCGGCTTCGGTCGGGAGGACAACGTGTTAGCCCCCGGCTCGCAACGGACAGTACGCAACGAAACGCACTCGAACACGCCGTTCGTGCAGAGCCCGAGGATGTGCGTCGACAGCGTGACCGCGAACTCCTGCGTCGCGCCGATCAGGAACGGCGCGTGCGCGTAGAGCAGCGTCTCCACCGGGTCCGGGTTCGTGCGTGGGTGCAGGTACACGGGCACGTCGAGGTCCACGGCCATCTGCCAGAACACGTCGAACTCGGGCTGGTCGTAGAAGATGAAGGTCTCTGTCCCCGAACCCAAGCGCGTCAGCACGAGCACTAGCAGCGGCGCCGCGGAAGAAGGAGAGGAGGACACATGCCGTTGTCGGGCGTGCCCGCCTGCTGGTAGTCGTTGAGCAGCGCCCCGAGGAAGCCGAGCTCGGTCACGGTGCGGTTGAGCTCCTGCGCGGCCGCGGCGGGGTCGTGCATCGCGAGCGCGGCGAACGCGCCGAAGCGGACGGTGTTGTTCGAGATCTGGCTGGCGAGCTGGTCGTTCACGGACGTGGCCATCGCCGAGGCGTTCGCCGCGTCTTGGATACCTTGGATGCAGGGGGACGCGCACGACAGGACCATCTACGGGGCGATTGGTTAGTCGGTAGGTGTGAGACATGAGTCGGAGGCGAGGAAGACGTGCGAAGTCGACGCCGGTCGCGTCCATGTGAGCCAGACGCTGATTGTGTACGTCTAGGAGATTGGCTTCGAGATCGGCATTTGTCTGGCCTGGAGCACGCGAGGGCGTTAGGTCATATGTAGCAAAGCACGTCCGGCGGCCGTACCAACTGGCGGGACAGTCTGGCTATGGAAAGCGTTCAGCTACTCTCGGGATCAAGCGGTCAGTCTTTCAGGGGCCACTCACTCAGCCTGGTGTATGAGCTCAGGTACCGTCCATGCCTCCTCGAATATGATACTCCCGACGCCGGTGTCGTTCCACACACGTCCATATGCCGTGTGGGAGACGAGGAGACTGGACAGCAATAAGAGACTGACGTGCCGCGCCATCTTCGAGGTGTAACGACAGCTGCTGGACGACTGTACGTACCCTCTCGTCTACTTATGCATCGTCGTCCTAAATTTGCGCAGACGTTGAGGTGCGGCGTGCGGGTGCCGGGAATAGAGAATCCCGCGTCCACATATAAATCACGTTGACTTCGGTGCTCACGGTGCGATTGTGGACATTTGTTCTCACCGCAACCCTTGGTCGCCACTGGGTGGAACACTGCGGGCGGGTGGCTTGGCCACGAGACAGACGCGAGAAGCGCTTCATGAACGCCAGGCTGTCGATGGTGTGCACTTGCGGGAATCCGAATGTCCGCCAGGGATTCCTAGCATTCCTCAACCCGTGGTCCTCGGCCGTCTGGAGACAGCACGCGGTTCCCCAGTTGACACAACGCAATGGTCAGTAGGTACCAGCAAGGTAACAGAGAGTTGTGGGCATATAGATCAGTAGGATGTACCGGACTAGCGTACGTAACCCTGGCAGTGTCAATGACATGTGCTTCGCATGGGGACAGCTATTGATGAGGAATCTGGGAAAGACGGCTGTCCTAAGCGTGTCTGAGACGAGGAATTGAATTCCAACGTATCATTGCGAGAACGAGAGATACGGCCTACGAGGTGTACTCCTCTGGAATGATATCACGTAGGTGATGACTCAAAACAATGCCCTTCTCCGTTGCAAACCATAGTCTTACGCCACCGGGGATCCGAGAGAATGCGACTTGACTCACAGAGCCGTGGTCCGGGTTCAGCGTGGCTAAGCACGATCCATCGCTCGTCCTCCACAATCGCACAGTCCCGTCCCAAGATCCCGACGCCACGTACCTCCCGCACGGAGAGAAGCACGTCTGGAAGCCCGTACCCTCATGTCCCTGGAGCGACTGGAGCATAGCCCCCGTCTGTGCATCCCATATCTTCACCGTCTTGTCCACCGAACAGGAGAGCACCAGCCGGTTGTCCGGCGAGAACGAGACGCCCGATGTGATCCCGATACCGTCTGCGTACGCCCTCCAGAACAAGAGCTCCTTTGCGGTTGCTACGTCGAAGATACGGAAGGCCCCCGAGTAATATCCGATGGCGACTCGGACGCCCGTAGAATCGAATGAAGCTGCCCATCCAACATAATCGATGTCTTGGTTCCCGGCTTTGACGTCGAGCGCCTTGTATGCGCCCGAGGTGACATCCCACATGCCGCAGTCCTCGTTACCGTCCACCAGGAGCCAACGACTGTCAGGAGAGTATCTCAGCCGTCGGCCGAGAGGAGAGTCGTTGCGCAATTGGTCGAGGAGGAGGAGCTGTTCGAATGAACGACCGTCGAAAATGCAGACAACGCCGTCGTAGTATCGGGATGCGATGGTAGCGCCGTTAGGAGACCACGCGCACGTGATGACCGAAGGCGCCTGAGGATGTCCTTCCAGCGTGGTGACTCGACGTGGTTGCCCGGTAACGTGCCAGATTCCAACCTTTCCATCCGCACCGGCAGACGCCACGTACCGACTATCCGGTGAGAACGCGAGATCATTGACGTGACCGTCATGCGCGATCCATTCCCGGGAGATATGTGCAAAGTGGCCGTCCCAGAGTATGATGGTGGAATCGTGAGACGCAGTCGCGACCCATTGACCATCCTTGGAAGCGACTAGGGCGGTGACAACAGCATCGTGGCCGGGTCTGCTCGCTGGAGAACTGGTGAGTATTGTGTTTTCAGAGCATTCCGCAGTACAACCCACAGGAATCGAATCGCATCGTCGGTAGGCCATGTTGGCGCAATGCAGGAAAACAGTGTCCGAGTTCTTCCCTCCAAGAGATATGCTTCCGGGCGTGTAGGGTGCAAGTCCCAACAGCTGACAACGACACCTTATATGCAGGGTACTTGAGGATGGTTCTCTCCAGTTCGGCCAACAGCTCCATATTCGTGGGCTGACGACATTGCCGATACAATGACCCGACGTCGCGGCGGAAGCCCAAGTCCACCGTGATTTCTCTAACCGCTGTCGACCGGAAAGAACGCAAAATCTGAGCTGCACCTCGAAGCGCCTCAGCTTCGACGTAGATCTGCAGTGTTACGGAGTGAAGACGGGGCCAGTCCGAAAGCTGAGGCGGTATGAACAGCAGCTCTAATGTGGATGACGTGAGGAATTTGATTTGGATGTGATGGATTGGTTTACAGACCTTGACCATCGTCCTCAAGCTCGAGTCTAAGACACAAATGTAGGCTGATGACGGTCGGCTGAGCTATTGTGAACAAGGCGCCAGCCACCCGCCAATCCGTGCGCCCGCCAATCTGTGGGAAATGAATCCACGACGCGTAAGGAAGACTGCAGCCAGTGCAGAGAGGACCATAGTCCGCCTCACTGTCAGTGCCCTCAGGCGCAGCTGCCGGGACAAGCGGTGCTGCACCCGGACCAGTTGTGAGTCAGCGTCGATCCCTAGGCCGACAGCTATATTGCGGCATGTCAGGTCTTCGATGCTGACGAATGCCGAGAGCAACCGGAGAAACGCGCTGCACGTTGAGAACCGCACGAACTCGATAGTCAGGCTCCTGATACCGCTGCCATACAGATGACAGAACAGGAGAGTGGAGTTGTGAATTGCAACGTCGGAACTCAGATCGTGGTACCTGTTGCCGTCAGGGAACGTGACTCGATAGAGACGAGGTAGGATGGACAACAGCGGGACGGGAGAGAACTCTTCCAGGGGCACCGCAACGGCTCGAACGAGGATTTGCAGTTTGGGCTTGGCTTGAAGGACGTTGCAGAGAGCGAAGAGCTTGTCCCTACTTTCGAGGATGACATGGCCGTAGAGATTGTGCATGCTACGGGGATAGAGCTGGCGGCAAGTGAGAGTGAAGTTGCACAGCGTGGCCGTAAAGCCGAATGAATGATCGACGATCCTCTCGATGACCTCCCAGGGGAGCGCAAGAGACATGGCAGACGGGCCTGAAGTTGTATCTGAACGGGAGTCGATCGAGTCGTCCATGGGAGACGAGGATGGCCACAGTGATCGCTAAAGCTGGTCTCATCGTCTTAGTAGGAAGGCCGGACAGCAGTAACGGCATCCAACTGCCACCGCAGTCTATCTGTCAATTCCTCTTGATGTGCCGAGACGAACGTGCGTGATGTCAATCCGCGAGTACCGTGTAGATCCAGTACAACGATTTTCTGCACTCACATTCAATCACATACTGAGCCTGAGCTTGAACAGTGAACAAGCATATAATCGCCATGAAAGCCTCGAAGAAAGGGCGGTTGCGGACGTGCATAGGCGCCTATATCTGACCAGTTGGGCTGCCGGGCCGGCTCGGCCATGTTGCTGGGCGCCTTGGTAGTGTCGGACTTGATACAAGTTTTCTCGTCTTGCGCCAAGGCTGCTGTCGACGACTCCGTGCAGCCTAACACAAGCTTCTTCTCCCCTTCGCATTTACTCCTAGACGGATATGACTTATTGAGTCTGCTACACGTAATCAATCTACTATCTGTCTTGGCGCTGTGGTCGCTGCCCAGGACACTGCCCACCCGGACTCGGAGTTTGGTGTGAGTGCCACGGACTTATGCTTCAGCCAACTGAGGTCATGACGAGACGTGCATGTTTCGCATTGTCTGCGATATGTAGAACACTCTCGCATTCAATGCGTACACCAATATTCACGCGGACTCTGCCGCGCTTGCATGGTCCTGGCCACGCGTTCCGGTCTTCCCTGTTCTCCCTCCGGAAGCTCTCTAGCAGAGCTCCTCGCGAACACACTAGGCAAGAGTCTTCGGTAGCTAGTCCGTACGCCAGAAATTGCGAACGGACTTATGAAACGCGTCCGTTTGCTGTCGAACGCGTAGGGGGTCGAGAATGCCACATCTCGTGGTCAGATGGGCGTTCGGGCATCCGGAAGGAGTGGAGGGATACCGCGTCCCCAGAGGCCACAGAAGGGAACGTCGCTGTGTCGGGGAGAAACTCAGTCACAGGTAGGATATCCTCGTGGCTGCGACAGATGTTTCTGCCGACGAATTACCCCCAGTCGGTACACAGCTCGTGAGTGCCCGGTCTTCTCCGTTTACTTTCACGGGTGACGAGCGTGTGGCTAGGTACGCGTCTTTCCATACCCTTCAAGCTCTGGAGACCACCATGGCCACTATCACGTCTGTCCTGTGCAACCAAGCCCTCCTTACATCTGTGGGCATGTCTGCAGAGGGCAGCGTGTTTGGAGCGGTCGCAGTGCAATGGATTATCAAGGACGGTGCGGGAGAGGTTGCGAAGTTGTTCTTCATCCGGCACTTTTCCACATACTTCGATAGCCATCCAAAGACGTTCACTCTCTTTGGGGAGGTCCTTGGGTGCCTGGGAAGCGGTCTGCAAATTGCCACCGTGCTGATAGCACCATCGCCTTTGAACTTTCTGCTCTGCGCCGGTGAGTGGGAATATTATTCAAGAGCTGACACAAGCTCGGGAGAAGATACTTAGGGTTTTGATTAGCTGGTGGAAACATCTTCAAGCTCGTAGGCAACGCGGTGCGGCCACAACCTTACCGACAACGCGCACATCCTGTTGACCCATTCCCATTAGATTTGGTCCACGACGCACATCAAGTTCATACGCTACTTCTCTATGCAAGGGAACGACGGCGATGTCGCAGCCAAGGACGAGTCGCAGGCGTCAGTAGCCCAGCTGGCTGGCTATGCCGCCGGCATCAGCTTGTTGACCTTCTCGCACGCTCCCGCGTACCTTTACGCCATATTCTTCGCGGCCGTCCCCCTCCATTTGACGATGACGGCCTACATGATGCGAGTAGCCACCTTTGAGCTGCTCACTCTCCCCAGGATCAGTCACCTCGCCCAGACGTACGTGAATGACGGTGTGGTCGGGTCTCAGAAAGACTTGGACAGAGAACATGCGACGGGCCTCTTTGGCGAATTTTACAAGAATAATGGCGATCGCTGGCTCACGCTCGCCCCTCGGGTCGGGGATGCGCTGAATACAAGCTCGGATGTGGATCGATCCACGTGGCAGGTGTGCTCTCAAGTGTTCCAGGTGAGTCCGCAGTCATGTACGACATAGGCACGACTTCGAAGACGAAGCTCACACCCGTGTCATCTGTCCAGGACGACCGCTACCTCCTGCTCCCTTGTGATTCGCCACGAGGCCCGCTTATATCTGTGCTCTTCCACCCGGACGCGACGACCGACGATATGCTTCAATCGATTTTACATGCGGCATCGGTTCGCAGCTTGCTTTCTCGCGACGCATCATGCCCAACGCCCTCGTTGCGGACAGTGTTGTCGGAAACTCGCGTGCAGGCACAACAAGACTTCTCCGCATTCAAGCAAGCTCTCCATGAGCGTGGATGGAGAACCGACGAGCTGTGCTTTGCCGACCTCGGCCACCGTGTTATATGGACTGCTTAGAACGAGCCGGCATTTGCCAGCAGCAACCCTTAGATTACGTCTCGTTGATAATAGTGGACTCCCACTAGACACCTATAGCTCACCTCCTTACTCACGCTGACATATATAGACAGAACCTTACGATCAGAGTAATCGTACCTACATAGTCTTATGCTAGTGTAGCACATCTTGTACGCGATCCTCCATGTTAGCCCCTCTCACGAACTCAATCAGCGAACGTTGGTGACTCGTGCCCCATTTGTGTAGAAGTCGACTGTTAAGCGCAGATGCAGTGTACGCGAGGGATCGATAGGTGGAGGGTCGTATGGCCAGTAAACACGTCAAGTTGCACCTTCTGCACATTTTTACGTCCTCTCCCCGATAGCCTCTGATAACACATAGCTGGGCGAACCGACACGCGTATGCCTGTCGCACTGCTTTGTTCAGCACAACCCCATAGCTGACAAGTTCGGCTTCAACGCACCCCATCCCGAGTGCAGCTTACCTAGATAGCTGTTGCACTCGTTGGGAAGATGCTCCGTTTCCTCAGCTGGTTGCCAGGGAGTTGGGCAAGAACAACCACGGAGGTTGGCCGATCCCAGAGCCTATCCACGATGTGATCGCGCGGAATAGCGTGCAAGGATTCGGATCGGCATGAGGAAACAACCTGGCACGAAGCAAAGGCACTCGAAGGGACACGCAGCGTCCACATGTCGGGGAGAAGGCGAGATGTGTGCCTCCCTGTATCTGAATCAAAATGCAATGTGGTACGAGATGGGCCAAGGATGAGTTTCCGAACAGCGGAAAGAGGCTGCAAGTGGCTGGAGGAGCACGAACGTAAAAAACATATGCTTGGGGAGCCCGGAAAGGCGGAAAGCTACTACGATCGGGAGTGCGTCTATCAGGCGTTCCCAGCTCGCAGGCACGGGCGCGGGGCGGTGATGCCATATTGGGAATTTTCAAGTGCGCACTTTGCCTGCGAGTGCGTTCTGACGCCCGGGATCCGTTGGGGTTGCTGTAAAGTGGGGGCGTTTGGGGAAGCTCTTATAAAAAACAAATCGGGCGACCACTCGTGGCCTTTTCTGCACCACCCATTCGTCTGGGTTGCACACCTCCGCCCTCGTCGACTCAGCTTCCCTCCCCATTCTCTCCACGAAGCAGACGGCGACGTTCTCCTCCCCCCCTTCCTTACGCAATGTCTGAATCCTCAGTTTCCGGCCAGGGCATCGTCACTCGCCCGCTCCTAATCCAATCCGGCTCCATTAGAGTGAGTACTGTGCGCTATTCATGGCATCTACGGAGGGCTGGGGAGAGCGCAAAGGGTGGGACGGTTGAATGGGGCCGTCGGATGTGTGTCTGCACGCGCCAGACGCGTGAAGTCGCGCCCTCGCTCGTGGAGAGCGCATCACATACGCGGGAGTGCGCCGCATGTTGCGAGACCCATCCCTAACGACAGGGTACATCCGAATATGTGCGCATGCAACGATCGCCCCTTCCTCTTCTGCTTCGAATCTATGCCCTCTGCTGGTGCTAACTCTTATTGGGCGCAATGACAGATTTCCATTCCGGTCTCCACTGAGGCGGACGAGTGGACTGCTGCAGAAGTCCTAAGAGATGAATTCACGCACGTTCAGACGACAGACGACTCCATAGACACCACTTCCCAGCTCGAAAATGCGACCGAAGCGAGCGTAGAGCTCTTCTCACGCTTCTTGGGCTTCACCGCTGGAAAACTAGACCAGGACGCGCAGTCCGCGGCGGCGCGTATCTCCATTCTCCACAAAGCACTCAAGTACTTTACCGCGTCCTATCTAGCTAGTCAAGACATTCACGTAATTGTCGCCGCGTTCGACACCGAGGTCCGCAAGACGGTCCTCGCTTCCTACTTCCAGGCACTCGCTGCCCTCGAGGCAAAGAACGTCTCCGATATACCTCGCGCGCCCTCGAGCGCCCTCCTTTCAGCGGCTACGCGGGGTCACGCGTCCATCTACGCGCTCTTCGGAGGCCAGGGGACCAACGAGGTCTACTTCGACGAGCTTCAAACTCTCTATGACACTTACAAGCCATACGTTGCTGCCTTCCTCACTACTGTCACTTGCGAAGTACTCTCTCCCCTCGTTGAAGAGTCCGAGGAAGAGACCCTCTACACTCACGGCCTCGATGTAGTCTCTTGGCTCACCGGCTCATCTCCACGTCCTTCAGTCGCCTACCTCGCCTCCATACCCGTCTCGTTCCCCCTCATCGCCCTAACTCAGCTCACGCAGTACTTGGTCGTATGCCGTGTAGCTCAACTCACCCCTGGTGACCTTCGCTCCCGCTTGCAGGGTGCTACCGGCCACTCTCAGGGTCTCGTGTCCGCTTTGGTTGCGGCTGCATCGACGTCCTTCGAGTCTTTCTACGAGAATGCGGCAAAGGCCCTAAGATGGTCGTTCTACTCTGGTCTTCGTGGACAACAAGCATTCCCAGTCCTCGCCCTCGAGCCCAGCATCGTGCAGGATTCTATCGAGGGTGGTGAGGGTAGCCCTACTCCCATGCTGTCTATCACCGGTCTTTCCCTCAAGGACCTTGAGGGTCACATCGCGAAGACGAACAAGCACCTCCCTGACAACTCGAAGATCGGCGTGTCACTCAACAACGGCCCGAAGGCTTTCGTCGTGACCGGACCCCCTCGTGCTCTCTATGGTCTCGTCACCAGTCTTCGGAAGATCCGCGCCCCCAGTGGACTCGACCAAAGCAAGATACCCTTCTCGCAGCGTAAGCCCGTCTTCTCCGTCCGTTTTCTGGTGGTCGGCGTGCCGTACCACAGCAAGTACCTCGAGGCTGTTACCGACGAAGTCTTGGAGGATCTTGAGAGCAAGGAGTTATGGACGAAGGAGGACCTCGGTATCCCAGTGTTCCACACAGAGGATGGTAAGTTACTGACTCGCTCATGTCAAAGTATATACTGACAAATATGCGATCAGGCTCCGATCTGCGCTCCGTGTCCGGTTCTCTGACTCGCTCTCTGTGCGAGCAGATCTTCACTCAAGCCATCCACTGGTCCAAGGCGACGAACTTCCCCGAGACCGCTACACACGCTGTTGACTTCGGTCCCGGCGGACTCAGTGGTATTGGTCCGCTCACCTCCCGCAACATGGAAGGTCGCGGTGTCCGCGTTGTCGTTGTTGGTGACAAGGCCAAGGGTCCTGCCGAGCTTTTCGACGCTCAGAACATCAAGACTGAGCAGTGGTGGGTCAAGAAGTTCTCTCCGAGCCTCGTCAAGACGAGGTAAGTACAGTTGATTATGACTGCTGTGTACACGTACTGATATGTCGTGGTAGCGACGGTACCATCCATATTGACACTCCGTTCTCCCGTCTCCTCGGCAAACCGCCAATCATGGTAGCGGGCATGACGCCCACGACTGTCAAAGCTGGTTTCGTCAGCGCTGTTCTCGACGCTGGGTTCCATATCGAGCTTGCGGGTGGTGGTCATTACAACGCCTCTGCTCTACGCTCGAAGGTCGCCGAGATCCAGGCCAAGATCCCTGCCGGTGTCGGTATCACCCTCAACGCGCTATATATCAACCCTCGCCAGTTCGGCTTCCAGTTCCCGCTTTGGCAGGAGATGCGTCGTGAGGGCCTCCCTATCGAGGGTTTCTGTGTTGCGGCCGGTATTCCCAGCACGGAGAAGGCGGCTGAGATCATCGGCGCTCTTCGCAACGCTGGCATCAAGCACGTCTCCTTCAAGCCAGGTTCAGTCGATGGCATTCGCCAGGTCGTGAACATCGCTGCTGCGAACCCCGACTTTCCTATCATCATGCAGTGGACAGGTGGTCGTGCCGGAGGTCACCACTCTTGCGAGGACTTCCATCAGCCAATCATCTCCACGTACGGCGCAATCCGCCAACACCCCAACCTCATTCTTGTCGGTGGCTCTGGCTTCGGTGGTGCTGACGACCTCTGGCCGTATCTCACTGGTGACTGGTCTGTTGAGAGGTACGGACTCCAGCCCATGCCCTTCGACGGCTTCCTCTTCGCCAGTCGTGTCATGGTTGCCAAGGAGGCGCACACCAGTTCTTCGGTCAAGGACCTCATTGTTGCCGCGTCCGGTGTCGACGATGCGCAGTGGGAGGGCACCTACGCGAAGGAGACTGGCGGTATCCTCACAGTCCGCTCGGAGCTCGGCGAGCCCATACACAAGATCGCTACTCGTGCTGTCAAGCTTTGGAAGGAGTTCGACGACACTGTCTTCAAGCTGCCCAAGGAGAAGCGCCTTGCTTGGGTCACTGAGCGCCGCTCGGAGATCATCAGCAAGCTCAACCGCGACTTCGCAAAGCCTTGGTTCGGCTGGAAAAAGGACGGCACAGTTGTTGAGGACATTGCGGACATGACATACGAGGAGGTCGTTCTCCGTATGGTTCGCCTGATGTACGTCTCGCACCAAGAGCGCTGGATCGACTTGTCCCTCCGCAACCTCACCGGTGATTGGCTCCGTCGTGTCGAGGAGCGTTTCGCTGGTCTCAACAACGGCCAGAAGGCGTCCATCTTGCAGTCGTACTCTGCGCTCGACAAGCCGACGGACTTCATCGAGAAGTTCTTCAAGGAGTATCCGGCTGCGACTGAGCAGATCCTCGCCGCCGAGGACAGGGCCTACTTCCTCGCTATCTCCCAGCGCCCTGGCCAGAAGCCCGCGCCCTTCATCCCTGTGCTCGACGCGAATTTCGAGGTGTGGTTCAAGAAGGTTTGTCGTGTCACGTTGTCGCACTATGCCAAATGATTTATCCTGATGACTACAGGACTCGCTTTGGGCTGCGGAGGACATCGACGCGGTCTTCGACCAAGATCCTCAGCGTGTTTGCATTCTCCAGGGCCCCGTCGCGGTCAAGCATTCGAAGCTCAAGGATGAGCCCATCAAGGACCTCCTCGGCAACATTACTACGCTTCTCGTCGACAGGCTCGTCGAGCGTCTGTACAACGGCGACAAGTCGAAGATCCCGACCGTTGAGTACCTCAGCCCCTCTCCTCGCTCTGTGCGTTCCACCGTCGTCCCCTCTGTGTCCGGCAACACTGCGACCTATGTTATCGGCGAGTCTGTGCCCGAGACTTCTGCTTGGCTTGAGACTATCGCTGGTCCTGAGCTCGGCTGGGCCCGTGCTCTCCTCACCTCGACGACCATTGTTCAGGGCACCGCTTACATCGACAACCCGCTCCGCCGGCTCTTTGCTCCTCGTCGTGGCCAGAAGGTCATCGTGGAGTCCGACGGTGCTCGGCCCATCAAGATCACCCTCTATGGCGCTGCGCGTTCGTTAGGCACACACGACCCCTCGTTCAAGGCTGTTGAGACTGTCTTCGACGCGTCGACCTCCACCATCAACGTCACCATCTTCGAAGAGCGTAGCGGGAGTGCTGTTCCCCTCCACCTCCGCTACCTCTACAAGCCCGCCATGGGTTTCGCGCCCATACACGAGATCGCGGAGGACAGGAACAAGCGCATCAAGGAGTTCTACTGGAAACTCTGGTTCGGTGACAACGAGGTCCTTCCTGAGATCAATGTCCGCGACGTCTACACTGGTCCCGAGGTCACCATCGACGAGGATGATATCGAGACCTTCTGCGCTGTCGTGGGGAACCAGGGCGAGGCGTTCAAGTCCGTCCGCAACGAGACGCCTCTTGCTCCCATGGACTTTGCCATAGTCACTGGTTGGCAGGTAAGTTGACCTGAGCTTCGGGTTTCACTGTCGCATCACTGACAGTCGCTGGCAGGCTATCATGAAGGCGATCTTCCCCGCGTCCATCGACGGAGATCTCCTCAAGCTCGTCCATCTTTCCAACGGATTCCGCCTCCTTGGGGGCGCCAAGTTGCTCAAGGCCGGCGATGTTTGCAAGGCTGAGGCTCGCATCGTTGGTGTCTCGAACAGCGACGCAGGGAAAACTGTCAAGGTCAAGGGCTTCGTGACACGCGACAACGAACGCGTCATCGAGGTCGTTTCTTCCTTCCTCTATCGTGGTCGCTTCAATGACTACGAGAACACGTTCGAGGTGACCGAAGAGCCGGACTACCTTGTCGAGCTCCCCACGGAAGCGTCTGTTGGCGTCCTTCAGTCGAAGGAGTGGTTCGATTGGGACGACGAGACCAAGCCCCTCCAGGCCGGTACTAGCCTGATCTTCCGTGTCCGTTCGGAGGTGACCTACCGCAACAAGACCTGCTTCAAGGTTGTCAACGTGTCGGGCGAGGTCTATGTCCGAGACCAGATCAAGCGCCTTGTCAAGGTCGGCTCTGTCGACTTCCTTCAGGATGACTCCCGCGGAAACCCGGTCGTCGAGTACCTCAAGCGCCACGGCGCGCCCCAAGGCCTCGTTAGTCCCCTCTCGAACGAGGGCTACACCTTGACACAGAGCACAAGTGCGGCTTTCAACTCTCCTGCGAGCAATGAGCCGTACTCGAAGATCTCCGGCGACTTCAACCCCATCCACGTTAACCCCTACTTCTCCGACTACGCTGCTCTCCCAGGAACAATCACCCATGGCATGTGGTCTAGCGCTGCTACTCGCCGCTACGTCGAGAACGTCGTCGCGCAAGGCCGACCGGACCGTGTCGTCGCGTAAGTCAGTCCATAGGATTGCACTCTATGTTACTGAAATTGTGCTACCTTTCTAGTTACGATGTCTCTTTCGTCGGCATGATTCTTCCCCGTGACGAACTCCACGTCAAGATCAAGCACATCGGCATGCGCGATGGCAATCTTGTTGTCAATGTTGAGACGTCGAACGACCGCGGCGAGAAAGTGCTCGTGGGGACTGCTGAGGTTGCTCAACCAACCACTGTCTATGTCTTCACCGGTCAAGGCTCTCAGGAGCCCGGTATGGGTATGGAGTTGTACAACACCTCTCCAGCGGCGCGCTCGGTCTGGGAGGCCGCTGATGCTCACTTGACCGCGGTTTATGGCTTCTCGATTGTCGAGATCGTCAAGAACAACCCGAAGGAGAAGACCATCCACTTTGGTGGTATCAAGGGTCAAGCGATTCGTCAGCGGTACATGGACATGACCTACGACACGATGGACAAAGAAGGCAACGTCAAGACGCTTCCGCTCTTCGGGGACATCAACGTCCGTACCCAACGCTACACCTTCAGTCACCCCAACGGTCTGCTTTTCGCTACCCAATTCGCTCAGATTGCTCTCGTGGTGACGGAGCGTGCCGCATTCGAAGACATGCGCTCCAAGGGGCTCGTGCAGAAGGACTCCGCGTTCGCCGGCCACTCGCTGGGCGAGTACTCTGCGCTCGCTTCGATTGCCGACGTCCTCCCCATCTCCTCCCTCGTCGATGTCGTCTTCTACCGTGGTATCACCATGCAACGCGCCGTCGAGCGTGATGCTGAGAACCGCTCCAACTACGCTATGTGTGCCGTCAACCCGAGCCGTATCTCGAAGACTTTCAACGATGCGGCCCTTCGTGAGGTCGTCGACAATATCGCGTCGCGCACCGGTTGTCTCCTTGAGATCGTAAACTTCAATGTCGAGGTACTGTGTTCAGTGATCTACTTGTCACCTTACCTGCACTCACTACCATTCGTCCCAGGGTCAACAATACGTCTGTGCTGGAGAGCTCATCGCACTTCAGACCTTGACCAATGTCCTGAACTACCTGAAGATGGAGAAGATTGACATTTCCAAGGTTTGGGGATCCATTGCGATGATGTTGTGCATGGACTAACTGTCTACCTAGTTGACCGAGAAGTTCACCGTTGATCAAGTGAAGGAGATGCTCGGCGAGATTGTCAACTCTTGCTACGCGAAGGCGAAGGAGCAGCAGGCGAAGGAGGGATACATCACCCTCGAGCGTGGCTTTGCGACTATCCCACTTGCTGGCATTGATGTACCTTTCCACTCTCGCTACCTCTGGGCCGGTGTCATGCCTTTCCGTGCATGTGAGTCCACTCGAACATAGCCACGGTGAGAATGGTTGCTGACTGATTCGTATCACGTAGATCTCTCCAAGAAAATCAACGCGGCCCACCTCAACCCCGACACTCTTGTCGGCAAATACGTGCCCAACCTCGTGGCCAAGCCCTTCGAAGTTTCGAAGGAGTACGCGCAGTTGATCTACGACCAGACCCTCTCGCCCCGCCTCGACAAGGTCCTGCGCAAGTGGGATCAGGAGAACTGGGGCTCCGCGGAGCAGCGCCAGAAGCTCGCATACGTGATCCTCGTCGAGCTTCTCGCCTACCAGTTCGCTTCCCCCGTGCGCTGGATTGAGACCCAGGACATACTTTTCGCTCATTACCGCTTTGAGAGGTTCATCGAGATCGGTCCCTCACCGACCCTCACGGGAATGGCAACGCGTACTTTGAAGGCCAAGTACGAGGCCCAGGACGACTCCGTCACCCACCGCCGCGCGATCTTGTGTCACGCTAAACATGCTAAGGAGGTCTACTACCAGTTCGAGGACGAACCCGAAGCAGATGCTCCTGCTTCAGAGGCGGCTGCTGACACTGCTACTCCCGCTCCGGTCGCTGCCGCCGCTCCGGTTGCGGCTGCTCCCACTGCCGCGGCTGCTAGCATTGAGGACGTGCCGCTCAAGGCGGTCGATGTTCTCGTCGCCATCATTGCTCAGAAGCTCAAGAAGAAGGTCGATGAGGTCCCCCTTTCCAAGAGCATCAAGGACCTCGTAGGTGGGAAGTCTACGATGCAGAACGAGATTCTCGGCGACCTCCAGCTCGAGTTCTCTTCCGCCCCGGAGAAGGGTGAGGAGTTGCCGCTTGAGGAGCTTGGGTCTGCCCTTGGTGTCGGCTTCGGCGGGTCCTTGGGCAAGTACACGTCTGGCCTTGTCTCGCGTCTCATAGGTGCCAAGATGCCCGGTGGCTTCAACCTCTCCGCCATAAAGGCCTACCTGTCCAAAACCTGGGGTCTCGGTCCTTCTCGTGCTGACGGTGTGCTCCTTCTTGCGGCGACCACGGAACCGGCCAAACGTCTTGGTTCTGAGGCGGAGGCGAAGTCGTGGTTGGATGGTGTTGTTTCTGTTTACGCTCAGCGCGCTGGCATTTCGCTTTCTTCCGGTGCTGCTGCAGGCGGTGTGGGTGGAGGCGGCGGAGCGGTGATCAACAGCGAGGAGTTCCTTAAGTTCCAATCGGATCAGGAGCGCTTCGCTGCTCAGCAAGTCGACCTCTGGATGCGCTACCTCAAGCGCGACGTTCGCGCCGGCGAGATCAAGTATGACACCGAGAAGGCCAACACCGAGCGGCTGCAGTCGCGCCTGGACGCTATCGCCCGAGAGCACGGGGACACTTACATTGACGGCATTCAGCCTGTCTTCGATGCCTTGAAAGCACGACACTTCGACTCGTCTTGGAACTGGGTTCGTCAGGACGCCCTGCTCATGTTCTACGACATCGTGTTCGGCCGCCTCACTACCGTCGATCGTGAAATCACTGCCCGCTGCATTGCCATCATGAATCGTGTGGACGCCGACTTGATCACGTACATGCAATACTACATCGACCAATGTGACCCGGAACGTGGCGAGACCTACAAGCTCGCGAAGCAGTTCGGCCAGCAGCTCATTGACAATTGTCGCGAGGTCGTTGACAAGCCCCCTTTGTACAAAGATGGTACGTTCATTCACCGTTAGTGGGTCACAACATTTACTGACCACCTTGCAGTCACCTTCCCCACCGCTCCTCACACTGAGGTTACGGAGAAGGGCGAGATCATCTACAAGGAGGTCGTCCGCGAGAACGTCAGGAAGCTCGAAGCCTACGTTGAGGAAATGGCAAGTCCCGATGCTGTCGTCACTCCAACCAACATCCAGAAGATCCAGGAGGATGTCCTGAAACTGTGGAATGTCGTGAAGTCACAGCCGGAAATCAGCGAGGAACAGAAAAACCGCATCAAGGCCCTCTACGAAGGCGTTGTTCGGTCGCTCCGCAAGCGTCCCGAGTCTCGCACTCGCCACAGCGGTCCTCGCAGCCGTCGCTCTTCCTCTCAATTCCTGCGTCCCCAAATCTCCGGTATCACGTCCGTAACTGCCGACAAAGTTCCTCTCCTCCATCTCAAGCGTAAGGTTGGTACTACCTGGGAGTACAGTAGCAACTTGACTGGGGTCTACCTCGACATTCTTCACGAGATCGCAACCTCGGGCACGTCGTTCAAGGACAAGAACGCCCTGCTCACTGGTGTTGGCAAGGGTTCTATCGGCGTCGAGATTCTGAAGGGTCTTCTCTCAGGTGGAGCTCACGTCGTCGTCACCACGTCGCGTTACAGCCGTGCGACTGTTGAGTACTACCAGGGCATTTTCCAGCGCTTCGGCAGCAAGGGTTCCGCCTTGACCGTCGTTCCTTTCAATCAAGGTTCGAAGCAAGATGTCGAGGCCCTCATCGATTATATCTATCAGAACCTCAGCCTCGATCTTGACTATATTTTGCCTTTCGCCGCAGTTCCAGAGAACGGGCGTGAAATCGACGGTCTTGACGACAAGTCTGAGCTCGCCCACCGCATCATGCTGGTCAATCTCCTCCGCCTCCTCGGTGCCGTCAAGAACAAGAAGGCCAGTCGTCACATCGTCACCCGCCCGACTCAAGTCATCCTTCCCCTCTCCCCCAACCATGGATTGTTCGGAAACGATGGTCTCTACTCGGAGTCGAAGATCTCTCTCGAGACCCTTTTCAATCGCTGGAACAGCGAGAGCTGGGGAGAGTACCTCTGTCTCGCCGGTGCTGTCATTGGGTACGTGGACGGAATCCTCGTCGTCGTTTGTGCTGTCCTTATGTACGGTTGATAGCTGGACCCGTGGTACTGGCCTTATGGAGGCGACGAACACCGTTGCTGCTGAACTCGAGGGCCACGGTGTCCGCACCTTCTCCGCGAAGGAGATGGCCTTCAACATCCTTGGCCTGATGCATCCGCTCCTTTTCAGCATCACCCAGGTCGAGCCTATTTGGGCCGACTTGAACGGCGGTATGGACCGTCTTCCTGACCTTGCCGAGATCACCGTTCGCATTCGTGCGGATCTCCAGAAGAAGAGCGACCTCCGCCGTGCTATTGCCCGCGATAATGCTGCCGACTTCAAGACTATCAATGGTGTCGAGGCTGAGCGCGTTCTGCAGACTGTCAATGTCACTCCCCGCGCCAATTTCCAGTTCAGCTTCCCCACTCTCGAGTCCTCTGAGTCGCTGTCCCAGCTCTCTCAGCTCCGCGGAATGTTGGACTTGGAGAAGGTCATTGTGGTCACTGGCTTTGCTGAGGTTGGCCCGTGGGGTAGCTCACGTACCCGCTGGGAAATGGAGGCTCGGGGCGAGCTTACGATCGAGGGATGCATCGAAATGGCCTGGATGATGGGCTACATCAAACACTACGACGGACGCATCAAGGATGGTTCTCTCTACGTTGGCTGGGTCGATGCCAAATCCGGCGAGCCCGTCGACGACAAGGATGTTCGTGGCCGTTACGAGAAGGACATTCTCGCTCACGCTGGCGTGCGCCTCATCGGTTCGTTATTCATATTTTTCTCCGTGTTGTACTTCCCGTAGCTGACGACTGGCATAGAACCCGAGCTATTCCGAGGTTACGACCCGAAGAAAAAGGTGTTCAACCAGGAGATCGAGCTCCTCCATGACCTCGAGGCATTCGAAGCGTCTCAGGTGGATGCTGAGAAGTTCAAGTACGAGCATGGTGACAAGTGCGATATATGGGCCGGCGAAGGAGGTCAGTGGTTCGTCAAGTTCAAGAAGGGCGCGAGGATCTTCGTTCCGAAGGCGTTCAAGTTCAGTCGTACTGTTGCTGGTCAGATTCCGACTGGTTGGGACGCCGGTCGCTATGGTATACCCGCCGACATCATCGCTCAAACCGATCGCGCCACTCTTTGGGCACTTGTTTGCGCTGCTGAGGCCCTCAACATGTCCGGTATCACTGACCCATACGAGCTGTACAAGTACATGCACCCGTCCGAAGTCGGCACTAGCATCGGCAGTGGCATGGGTGGTATGGAGAGTTTGTCGCGCATGTTCAAGGACCGCCGGGACGAGAAGGAAGTCCAGAACGACATCTTGCAGGAGACGTCAGTGGTATATGTTCTCTTCCCCATCATGTTGCTCACGATGCGTCGATAGCTTCATCAACACAACTGCTGGCTGGGTCAACCTGCTGCTATTGTCTTCTAGCGGTCCCATCAAGATTCCCGTCGGTGCTTGGTACGTGATGCGAATGGGCTTCTGCTGTTCAGATCGCTCATTTTGCCCTACAGCGCCACTGCGCTGCAATCGATCGAGATCGCATGCGACACGCTTTTGTCGGGCAAGGCGAAGGTCATGCTCGCAGGTGGTTTCGACGACCTGAGCGAGGAGGGTTCGTATGAGTTTGCCAACATGAAGGCAACCAGCAACGCAGAGACCGAGTTCGCCATGGGTCGTGAGCCGACCGAAATGTCCCGTCCCGCGACGACGACGCGCTCAGGAGTAAGTGGCCGACGTTCTATTTTATCATCGTCTGATACTCATGAGTACAATTGCAGTTCATGGAGGCTCAAGGAACTGGTGTCCATGTCCTCATGAGCGCGAAGACGGCGCTAGAGCTCGGTGCCCCAATCCGTGGTATCATTGGCTTCACTTCGACCTCCACGTAAGTTCAGCGATCAAATGGGTTCGAAGTCGCCCTGATTTTGCTTTGCAGTGACAAGGCCGGCCGTTCTGTGCCAGCTCCCGGTCGCGGTGCGCTTTCCATCGCACGTGAAGTGCAGTCGAAGCATCCGCTCCCGATCCTCGACATCAGTTACCGTTCAAGGCAGCTCACATACCGTCGGAAGCAGATCGCGCAGTGGCTGGACAACGAGCGGCAACAGCTGCAAGATGAGCTTGAGTTCCGCAAGAGCCGCGGTGACACTGTCGACGAGGAATACGTCGCCAACCGCGTTGCCGACATTGAGAAGGAGGCCGCTCGCCAGGAGAAGGACGCCATCGCGACGTACGGCATGCTCGAAGGCGTCGACCCTCGCATCGCTCCATTGCGCCGTGCACTCGCTGTTTGGGGTCTCACTGCGGATGATCTCGGTGTTCTGTCCATCCACGGTACCAGCACTGGCGCGAACGTATGTAGTCTCGTTAGGTTCTCGATACAGAATATTCACGTATCCCTTTCTACAGGAGAAGAACGAGACGCACATCTGGAATGACGTCTTCACCAATCTCGGCCGAACGAACGGCAGCGCCGTGCCCATCATGGCACAGAAGAGCCTGTGCGGCCACTCGAAGGGTGGTTCCGCCGCATGGCAACTCGCTGGTCTTCTCCAAAGCGTCGAGTCTGGTATCATTCCTGGCAACCGCAACGCGGAGTGAGTCATATTGCGTGGTTCATCGCTTTCACGATACTGACATGTACTGCAGTAACATTGATGCGCTCTTCAAGCAACACCGTTACCTCATCTTCCCTTCTCAGACGATTCACACTGACGGCATCCGTGCTGGCATCATGGTAAGATGTTCCGTTATCGTTGCATAGCTGTTGCCTGATCACAGTCACTTCAGTCCTCCTTCGGTTTCGGGCAAGTCGGTGGTACCTGCATGGTCATCCACCCGAGATACCTGCTTGCTGCGCTGGAGCCCTCGGTGTATGAAGCATACAAGGTCAAGAACCGTCGCCGTCAACGTCTGTGTTATAAGGCGATGAGTGAGATGATGACCTCGAACAACCTCGTCAAGGTCAAGGATGCTCCGCCGTACAGCAAGGAGCTGGAGGGACCGGTGTTGCTCAACTCGTTGGCTCGGGCGTCATACAATCCGAAGACTGGCAGTTACGAATTTGCTCCCAAGCAGGCCACAAAGCTCGAGGTCGACACGTCCAACGTCAAGGCCGTCTCCGAAGTGCTGGGTACCGTGTCCACCGCGGGTGTCGGCGTCGACCAGGAGCTCATCTCCGCCGTGCCGTCCTGGAACCCGACATTTGTTGAGCGCAACTTCACTGATGCGGAGATCGTCTACTGTCGTGCGCAGCCTTCTCCCGCGGCGTCCTTCGCTGCGCGCTGGGTTGGCAAGGAGGCCGTCTTCAAGTCGTTGGGTGTCGCGTCCAAGGGCGCAGCTGCTGCCATGAAGGACATCGAGATTCTCCCCAATGAGTCCGGTGTTCCGACGGTCAGCCTCCATGGGGATGCTAAGGCGGCTGCTGACGCCAAGGGCGTTTCGAAGGTCCACATCTCTCTCAGCCATTCTGATGTGAGTATACTTTGCTTCCTGAAGGTCAATGATACCAACTAACGGCGCAATCATCATAGACCACGGCTATCGCTTTCGCTCAGGCTTCGTCATGAGAACCATCATTCTCATCACGTCACGTTTAGTGGACTTTGCACAGGTTTCAATGTTGTCGTAGTATTCGCATATCTGTACTATGCTTACCGCAACTCACGTCTCTTCACGATCATGTAATACTTCACGAAATAGATCCCTTTTACGTCTCTCGCTACACCCCGCATGGAGTAGTTCATGACGACGAGGGTGAGTACAGATTGTGTTCAACGATGTATTCTGCTATGCTACGTGGGACCATCGATTTCCATGTCTCTTGGTGGCTAGCGAGCATTTCGCGTACTTCGCTGCTGCTGTAAGTCCGCTCTTGCTCGCCAATGTCGACGAAGGATATCCTATTCGTGGGCAGAATCTCTGAGACGAATGCAGGAAGCTGACTCTCGACCTCCACTTCTTCCGCTGTCGATAGACCCTTGCTGACACGCCGGGCACATATGATACGTGAATCGTTCTCATCGGGGGAGAGGAAACGGCGTAAAGCGACGGTCATGGCGTGCTCGTCCGCGTAGTAGCGAGGGGCGAAGAAGCGCACGATGGTATCCGTGCCCATCAGAAAGGTCAACTTCGGAGAAGGGGGCTCTTCCGGAGGCGAAGAGAGCACGACGCCCGAGGGCTGTTGCTGTTGCAGATCCGAGATGCGTTGGCGGAGAAAGTCCAGCAGGATGGCAGACTTGCCGACGAAGGTGGGCTCGTCGATGATCGCGACGGCGACGTTGGGGTCGTGCGTCTGTGCAGCAGGCTCGGAGGACGCGTTCGGGAGCTTGTGGGCTCTCGGACTTGAACGCGCGAGCTCGGCTGCGAGGAGGACCATCATCTCCGCGCGGTGCTCGTGCGTCGCGTCGCCCGGCTTGAGCTGCTTGTCGGCGTTGCGGACGGAGAGCAGAAGCAGTCGCGCATCGAAGTCTTGCTGGCCCGCGGAGAGTGATGCGTTTGGAGGAGGAGGGGTGGTGGCCAGCGCGAGATGGGCGAGTGTGGGAGGGTTGAAGGAGGAATCGAGGACGGAGATGTTCAGGGTCGGAGAGGTGAAGGAACCTGGGGGTATTGGCCATCGGGGATGCGATACGTGGATCAGCTCTACGGTCGACAGCCCCTTCTGAATGCGTTGCAAGAAGGAGCCAAAGCTCATGTTTGCGGCCGTACTGCTGCGAGAAGACTGCTCGTTGAACAGAGATTTGGAGACTGACCGGTGTATTGAAGACGCGTACTCAGTTCTCGCCACTCGACAAGGATTCCTTATTCCGCCACTGCTCCAGCACAGACCAAGCCTCGAGCAGGGTATCACGCCGAGAACACTCGTGGACGTGCGAGTGTGTGCGAGAGCCAAGGTTATGTTCGAGAGATTAGATAAGGAGATGTCTTTGATCTCCGATCGAAGGGCCGCCACATGCTGAGTGTGCGGGCTGTACTTGGAGGAGGAATTGACTTGTATTGCATTCCGCCGATATCGACGACAGCGATGGAGAAAGACGCCGACGGATTTTACACGCCCTGTGAGTATCCTCGCATTCAGTCTCCGTGCTCTCAGCTCTCATGTCAAGCCCAGCAGCCGCAGAGTCCGCACCGGTGGCGGCAGCCGCTGACCCCAAGAACGATGCCGGTCAGTCTCACCGCCATACGCGCGAGCATCTCACCGATCGCCCCGTTCTCCTGTAGAGGATCTCATCAAGTCGACGTTTGAGGTCTCGGTGAGTGCCTTCGTCCCATGAACGCGTGTGGACGCGTCCCGATCGTGTGTGCCTTCCGCCACTCGCGTCCAGGTCACACTCGCGGACCAGCAAGCCGATCCCAACTCCCCGCTCTATAGCGCGAAGACCTTTGAAGAGCTCGGATTGTCAGTGCCCTGCACGCTGAAACATCTATTGACCTCCTTACGCGGCCTCTGGCGGGCAGGCACGATGATCTCCTCAAGGGCATCTACGACATGGGTTTCACAAAGCCATCCAAGATTCAGGAGCGCGCCCTGCCGCTTCTCCTTTCAAATCCGTGAGTGCATCCCTCCTTGTTCAGGTAACATCGAAACTGCAGGTGGAGTGGATCCGTGTCAAATTGTCTTCTGTTTCGTTCTCGACATCACTCACATTGGTCCACCCGGTGGCGCGCTGCAAATTCGCGTCCCTGGAGCGCGTCTCCCGCTGACACGGAGATAGGCCGCGCATAATGTTATGGAAGTTTCGTATATTGTGCCTTGCGAGGGACTGCTCCACAGTCTTGCATCTTGTCTACCTTGCCCTGTAACGGATGCGATAGCGTACCTCGCTTCCGGCTAGAAACAACGTGCTAGAGAACATGCTCAACGATATACCACGGACTATCTGGTTTCCATATACAGCCTTTGCGGTTCAGTTTTGAACATGCCATACCCTTTCCATTGTTCTCAAGGCTTCTGGTCATGACAAGTGCTCAATTAACTTTGCCTTGCAGTCCACAGAACATGATTGGCCAATCGCAATCAGGTACTGGGAAGACAGCTGCCTTCGTTCTGACCATGCTCAGCCGTGTCGATTACTGTATCAATAAGCCCCAGGTGGGTGTCGAGCCGCATCGATCAGCGGCTTGTACTCTAACAATCTCCAGGCACTATGTCTCGCACCTTCCCGCGAGCTTGCGAGGCAGATCATGTCGGTGGTTGTTGCTATGGGCAAATTCACTGCTGTGCAGACCGAGTACGCGATCAAGGAGAGCTTGCCGAGAGACGCGAAGAACGTGACCGCGCACATCATCGTCGGAACCCCTGGAACGATGACCGACCTGATCAGGCGAAAGGTCATCGACGTCTCCGAGGTGAAGGTCTTCGTGCTCGACGAGGCAGATAACATGCTGGACAAGGACGGCCTCGGCGAGCAGACGCTCCGCGTAAAGAAGTAAGCGTTTATACTCTCTGCCCTGGTCCCTGAACGACGACTTCAATCTGACGTTGGCGCGAACTCCGGCGCGTGTGTGCAGCATGCTGCCGAAGAACCGCACCGTGCAGATCGTCCTCTTCTCCGCGACGTTCCCAGACCACGTGCGCAACTTCGCGAACAAGTTCGCGCCGAACGCGAACAAGATCGAGCTGCAGCGGAACGAGCTGTCGGTCGACAACATCCGGCAGTTCTACATGGACTGCAAGAACGAGGAGCACAAGTACGAGGTCCTCGTCTCCCTCTACCACCTCTTGACCATCGGCCAGAGCATCATCTTCTGCCAAGTACGTCGTCTCGAGACTCCGGTTCTCCGCGCACTCCGAGCCCTTCTGACGGACCCTGTCGGCCGCGGCCGGCTTCTCCGTTCCTGATTCTCATCACCCGTAACTCTACAGCATCGACACACCGCGGACCGCATTTCCCAGCGGATGACGGCAGAAGGGCACAAAGTCGCATCGCTGCACGGCGCGAAGGACGCGACGGAGCGCGACGCGATCATCGACGGGTTCCGCGAGGGCAAAAACAAGGTGCTGATCACGACGAACGTCATCGCGCGCGGCATCGACATCATGCAGGTCAACATGGTCGTCAACTACGACCTTCCGCTCCTGAACGAGCGCGACAACCACGGCAGCAAGGGCGACTTCCGGCCCGACATCGAGACGTACATCCACCGTATCGGTGCGTGAGGCGTTCTGTTTTGCTCTGCTCTGCTCTGCTCTCCCTCGGATGACGTCATCGACGGCACTGACGCTGACGTATCTTGCGCTCCGAAGGGCGCACCGGTCGGTTCGGGCGCAAGGGTATTTCGGTCAACTTCGTGCACGACAAGGCGACGTGGCAGCAGATGGAGGAGATCGAGCGTGCTACAGGCAAGCAAATCATCCGGATCGAGACCACGGACCTGGACACGATGGAGGAGGTGCGTCCGAGATCTCGCGCGGGCATCTCCTCGTCGAGGGCCTGCCTCCCTTGCGACGCTGCTGACGCTGGCCAACTCGGGCATGCAGCAAATGAAGAAGGCGTTGAAGTAGACGGCCTGTGCTGGCGTCGGAAGTCGCCCCCGGAGATGTATTCCTGTTCTGTATCCTGTAGCCCCTATACCCCCCAGCTGGGGTGCCAACGCGATCGTCGCAGCGCTTCGAGGCCTGTTGAACGTCCATGTCCGCGAGTGCTTTCCGTGACACTCCGTTCCACTCGGCCATGAGGCGGAGCCGTACTGGGGATCCGCAAAGCGGGGTGGCTGACGTGGAAGCAGGTCAGTATGTTCCGTCGAGCCTTCAAAGATGCTCGGGTCTCGTGCTGATATGCTCCGCGAAACTCTATCGTTCAGTCGCTCGTCTCTGTCAGACTGCACTCATGAGCCCCTCAGCGTTTTGGCGCTACTGCCTCCGGGCGGGGCTGTCCTCTCAGCGTGACTTCATACAATGCTTGCATGTGGGCAAAACCGTGGTAGATCCAGACCTTTTTCTCTGCGGCGCGAGGAATCGTTGAGACGAAACCCGGCTGTGCCCCCTGCGCTAGCCTTCTGATTGAAGTCTCCATTCACTGACCGCCTGCGTGGATTTGTACACAGCACCGAGCGACCATTCTCCCGCGAGTTCTGGGCGAGCGACCAGCGACTGCGCTCGGCGGCAGTCGACGAGCACGCCACCACGCGTCGCGCAGATCCCACGCGCTATTTGACGTGTCGGCTTGAACGGGATGACATTGACACAGGACGTGGACTCGTTTTTTCACGGCACCCAATGCGAATCTCACAGTCATTCTTGTGCACGTGGACAGGCAGCTGCATATGGGACGCGCTCCCCCTCCGTATCGTGAACACGGTGGGCGCAGCAACTGCACACCCATCGCGAACTCAAAACGTCAAATTGCAGCTACGGTGGCGTTTAGGGTGTCTGTTCGAGAACGACCAGCGCAAGGCGCGGTGTTACCTCATCCTGCAGCCTTGTAACGGAAATTAAGCATACTAAAGGCTCGGGGGGCGGCGATCTGGCACTCGCACTACCGCCACTCGGGAGCGGATCACCGCCTTGTGCATGTAGATTGCCATATGCCAAACCTCGTGGCGGGGCATTGTCTATGAGGAGCAGTCTGGAGGACACGGATGTCGCTCCTTGCGTTCTGCCCTGCTGTTTGGCGATGTGGGCATGTGTGCCATCAGCGTGAGTCATGTAAGCACTGTCGTATTTCTTTCCCCGTTTCCTTGTCCCTTGTTGATGGCTCCCAGTGGCTCCCCCCCAGCGCAGCAGCAGCTCGGGAGATTGGCGAGGCAAGATCGGGCACGACCCAATCTTCCAAGCGACGGTCTCCCAAGGAAGGATTTTCGTGCACGTGGTACGTCTGTCCACTGTCCCATGACGCTCCCGCGTTCGTGTTGCACGGCGATGGCCTCACGAGGGGGGCCATACAGCGGCCTGGGCAGCCATTGGTGGGCATTTGCCGTTCCGCTTGCGCTTGCGAGGCAGCGCCCTCGAGCGTGTTCGGAACGGCGCGTGCGCGTGCGCGCTTGGCTGTCGGAAGCTCTGCGTGGCAAAGGTTCGCGGACGATCAGAAGTGGGACGGATTCTATGTGATGCAGCGCAGACGATTTCATGGAGGTGTCGGAGCAGGCGCTGCTTCCGAGATTCATCAAGGGCCGTTCCAGGACGGGCGATGTCAGCCCCAGTCGAGGTCAGACATGAGCCGCGGCTTCCGTGATAGCGAAGCTTCACGCTTCGAAACGTTCGCTCTCGAAGCGCAGGGGCTGCGAGTAGATGCAAACCTGCTCCTGTATTCCAACGCTGGCCTTTCCACAGTGCACCCAACGCGACATCTCGCGTTCGTTCGGTTTCGGGCTGCCGTTATTGCCGAATAGATGCTGCCCACCCCGTGTCATTGCCTCGACTGCTCGGCGCGTGCTCACGTTAGGCTAACGCGGACGGCGAACCGTGGTTATGTTATCTGGATATTCGGTCCTGATCCAGGGTATGCGTCCCGCTGCCGGAACGATTTGTTCCCGCTGTCCCCGTCTGCCTATAAAACTGCCCATGAATTCGCTCTCTCCAGCACACCCCTCCCCGCCTCACCGCTCGTCGGATCTCTTCTCTCCACCCCAGACATCATCCAAAATGCTCTCCACCTTCTACTCGTGGTCAATTGAGCACATCAAGAGGGTGTTCGAGGCCAAGTCCGAGCGTGACTGCCTCCAAGCGCTGGACGAGACCTTCTCCCAGCGACTGGAGTTCACGTTCAACGGCTCCCCGCTCCCTCGCGTCGGGCTCCAGAAGATTGTGCTCGCGATGCTCCAGTCCTCTGGGTTCTGCCTGAACGTAGACTGGCTGAACGCAGTCGAGGTCCCACGGGACGGCTCCAACCGAGTGAGTTCATAGGCGTGTGATCTCATACAAGCTCGAACAGTGTTTCTCACCTCGTGCTCGCGCCTTCTCTCCCCCTCGTCCGCAGAACGGGATGCTGGGAGGATACTACGTGATCAGGAACGTCAGGAAGCCCCTTCCTGGGTCGTCCACGCTCGCACTATTCGAGCGCCATAAGTCTGTGAACGTCGAGTGAGTGACGAAGCCTCGGTAGCGTTGCGTCTTGGGACTGATCGTCTCCGACACCCAACTCCGCGCGCTCTCCAGGATCGAATCCGAGTCGTCCGACCCGTCCTTCGACAGCCGACGCATCGTAAAATTGGCCATCGTTGCCACGGACGTACCTGTGCCGTCCAGCCACTATCCCTAGCTGTGGCCCGGCGCCTCCAGCCATTTTTCCGTTCGGACCACTTCGACCCTCGGCCCATGCATGTCTGCATGTATCATCTGCATCACTTTAGACACTGTATTTTAGCACATCGTTCTCGAGTATAGTTATACGTATAGATAGTACCTTGTCGACCACTGTATCGCATCGTCGCACTGAGATTGTGTTCACTTGGCATACCCTGCTCCACCGATCGTCGTGGGCATACCCTGCTCCACCGATCGTCGTGGGCAGGGCCTGTCCAGAATCTAAACCTTCGCGTATCTCGGAACAGGTGACGGATAATGAACAGTCACGAAAGTCAGGAATGAGGTGGGAGAGAGAGCGACCTTCATAGGCGCCATCGCTACCAATTTGATCAACTCCGACCTCCGTGTGCTGACTGCCGCCCATACGACTGTGTTCCCGACTGCATATTCGTGACAGACTCATTTCTCCGGCATGTTCGCAAGACGGTGGCGGACTGAACATGTCCCCCCCATCCTGGGTAGCAACTCGCCTCTTGTATTCTGATCGTGTTTCCTGTCATGCCGAAACTCAGTACTTGGGCGATGCCTGCCCTGCGTCTTCATGAAGCGAGGCCATCGCCACGTAATGCTGCTGAGACACGAACCGTGCTGGTACCATACACGATGCGAAGGTTTACAACATCAGGTCCGCTATATGACAACGAGCTTGAATGACTGACGCAGGTTAATCGATGGATTCAGTGCGTTCTATGTCCAAATCTCCTCCTGCCGCGCCGAGGGCTCGTCCCTTCTGCCCATAGCGGGGAAACGACGGCCTTTGAGAGTCTCATGCTCCTCGTCCGGTCTCGGCTTCATACCGTGCCCCATGCCTCACGAGGTAGAGTCTGTCAAACAGCGCTGACACCCCCAACGCAGCCTAACGAGGCGCAGCTACAGCGTCCGAAGCCTTCTGGTATTCTGTTATGTCGTCCTTTCGGCTGTTATTCTGTTATTGAAAGCACCACGGCTGATATATGATCAAGTTTCCGTTCCGGTGCTTTCTGTCTCCTCCGATTCGGGCAGCGCGCACCAACAACGCACCCGATGGCTCTCACGCCTTTCACAGCTCGGACGTAGCCGGGCAGAGGGGGATGAATGAATACAGAGGTGCGCATATGAGAGCAATCACGGCTGAGATAGGGACTTCTGCTCACGAGGCACGCCTGGCACCCGACGTCGACGGCGGACCGCAGGAGCGAGAAGCAAAGTCCGCTTGGTCTCGCCCAGACTTCCCAGTGAGCTCTGATAGACTCGCTGACTTTCGATATACATAGCTGCTCCAGATTGCTGCTCCCGCTGAACATCGATCCCTTTTGGGCGCAATCTGGGGGACTTGGCCCAGAAGACAGTCCCTTAATGCGTCAGCGCCGCAGGACTGTCATAAAACTCAGGGAAGGACGGGTGCCCCGCGGAGATCGCGTCCCGCTGCGATCACGAACAACTGCTCCCCCACCTTCTGGTGCGATGGAGGGTTTGGACGTGCGTGTCTGGCAGGTTGGCATTCACGCCCGGCTCGCTTTGATCAGAAGCGGGTCGACTGCTCGTGCCAGCGCCCGCTGCGTTTGGGGGGCATCGGAACGGAGTAGCGAGCTGACGCTATTTTCTCCTTCGTGCTCCCATCTCACGCCACAACGCTTACGGGATCAGTTGTTGCCACCAGGCCTTTGCAGTTCAGTATCAGAAGCCGTGCATTGCGACACCGAATGATTTTGACTCCTCGACGTTTCGCCCGGGCGAGTGTGCCTCTCCCGTAGTACTTGAGCCTCTCACACTCACATGGTGGTCTCGCCTGCCTTGGCTTCTTTGCCAGGAGTGCCTGCGGCTATGGCCTCGACCGTATGGCACATTACACTCCTGCCAAGATGCGATCCCGCGGCTATGCGTCTGGTTCATTAGCGCACCCAGGCTTTGGCACCGGTTACGGCATCCTCAAAGGCGGTCGCTGGGCGGCTTTGCTACATAGATGCTGGCACGGCCGTCCTTGCGACTTGGTACGAGGGAGGACCTTTGCGCTGGGTCGTCTATCCTAATGGCTGTAGGGAAAGCGGGACGGGATATACAAATAGGGTAGCAGGAACGTACCGTGCTCATGGGATGCGTGTGGAGTCTCGAGCATCATACACTTTCTTACTGGTTCGTGCCTTAAGGAACCGAGCGTTGCTGGGTACTGTTGCGGCCGATTTGTCCTGCCCCGTCTCACGGTCTCGTGTTTCCCAAGCCCAAAGGGCATACCATCATAACCCCGTAGTGCATTACTGTATTGGACCCAGGGGGGCCATTGCACACTCTACGACCATTCGTTCGTAGTGCCTGTCGTTCCCCCAAATCATCTCCGTTCGTATCTCTCATGGAAGTCAGTTCATGGCTACAGAGACGGCCGAGACCCGGACGCCGTCCCGAACCGCGGACCCTAGTATCCCATCCGCATAAGCCTGCCGACCAGTCATTCATAGCGGCTTGTTCCTACGCATTGTACTCCCGGGCTGCGCAGGTCGGGATGTCCCCCATTGAGCCAACGAGCTTGCAGATCACCCTCAGCAGTCTACGCGGCGTGCTCATCTTCTAGTGCCCAGTTCAATCTACGTGTAACTGTCTGTCCGTCAATTACTGGCCCGAGAACGACGTGTCCCGCGTGGAGTCTTGTGTCTCGAACAAGGTGTTTCAGCCCCGCATGGTCATAGAAGGCTCAAGCAACGGTGTGTTGGATAGGATACGTCATACCCTCTCAGGACTGCGGAAGCCAGGTCGACGAAGGCGGTCCTCCGGCACCAGACCTCACCGAACTGGCCACGAGCCATACGGAATATCTGATGTAGGGGGACCGCCCATTCAGATCAGCAGCCCTGAAACCTTCTCGTTGGAGCTTTGGAGCGACTAATTTGACTTTGAGAATAAGCCGAAGGTCGTGCAGATCTTTCTCGTGAAGCCAGGGGCTCCAAGACTGGTCGCTTGTTGCGTTGTCTGACCAATGATTCTTTCCGTACAATCAGCGCAAAGAGATGTGAAATTGACTCATTACTTACCCTCGCATTATCCGCAGCGTATACATAGCAGGCCCATCACCGCAATATGGTGTTTGACAATCTGTTGCCTACCACATAGTCAGGGGCGCGGAAGGTGCAGAATAACGGAGGAGCGCATCAAGAGATAACGAGAAGCTTTACGTTCCAGGTCAGTGAAAGGCGCGCTTGGCGCATGATTTCCTTGGTGACGAGTAAGGTACGATGTGTCCTGAACCTAGGCTCCTGTCAACGGATATGGACCGTACTACAGCAATCGCTTCGGAAAGATATCGGATGAAGCTGGCAGATGAACAAGGAGACTCTATAGACCACAGTACTTTGTGATCATGGAGCGGTCGCCATGCTTCAGCGGAGCCAACCATAATTCCTCGATATGCATTACTTCACTTTCATGCTGGAGTGCAAAAGAAAATTCCAATGGCAAGTACCCGTCAATTAGATGTAACCGGGCAACGGAGATGGTGTTTGGCAATACCATTCAGGGACTCACATCCGCTGAACCTGACGCTGTCGAACAGCAGACTTTACAAGGCAGAGTGAATGACCGTTGGTCACTGTCCTGCCGCTGCGCAGAACAATGCTGATCAATGCGTGTCAGGGGGGCATAACCTCGCGGTTCCCCTGACGCTGAGGAGGGACCAGATCGCGAACTCGCAACCGCGGGGGCGTCGAATGGACACCAGGGTAGTGAATAGGGATGTCTTTATCGGTAGCGATCAACGGCGAGGCTGGTGGATAGGGTAGGCGAACAGCCAGGTTGGGAGATGAGTGGCAGGGCTGCGTCCACACATTTAGCACTCAAACGATTGCGAGCATTCCTGAATTAGACTTGCCGTTCACCGCCCCAGCCCGTGACGCCAAGTGTCCGCAAGCTTCGTGTGCAGTGACAATCATGCATGATGGATGCGGATGTGGCAGAGATGAGGTCGTGAACTATCTGTATGAGAGTTTATAGCGACTACATGTCCCTTTCGTCGGGCGCTACAGTAAGGAATGAATGACGATGAAGAATGGTAAGAGGACCGACCGCATGGATCACCCTGCAGTCACCACACTGCCGAATCCAGCATTTTCGTCCTGCAAAGGCGTCTTCTGCTCTATTCGCCAATGAAGCCGGCATCAGTGGTAGAGCCGCCACGATTACGCACCCGCTGCTCCGCGTACGTACGTCCGGGCGAGAGCGCACACTGCGCGCGATGCAAGCAAAAATAGCGGTGGTCATGGCCGCACGTCCGTGCGCAAGACGGGATATCGGGCATTGTCGGTCGCAGGCTGAGAATTCATGCTCGAACTTCCGGAAGAACATCGGGAACGATGGAATGGCATTGCCCACAGACTGTCAAGAAATCTTGACGGCATGCCACTGCCGTTCGGACGAGCTCGGCGATGTAGCGAGGGATATCCATGCGACCTGGGTCGGAGTCAGTTGCAGGCCGAGCACGAGGTAAGACGCTGATTATACAATGGAGGACACAATGTACCTTCCGTGCACCTGGCGTCTCTGCTGAGGAGAATAAGGGTCCACCGTCAAACGGCATAGACTCCCCGCCGAACGCCCATAGCCACGAGACTGATGCACGCCGGCACCGTAGTCGCGGCAGAGAATGGAATACGCCTTATCTACGATGCCACAATATCCCCGCGTTTGGTCAGTATCTAGTGCGCAATAGAGACGCTCAAGAAAATGCGAAGATGACGGGGACGTACTGGTAGACACTAGTCCCTATACGGCGGGTGAGACGCCGTGTTGGAGGGGAAATCCAAGCATAGAAACTAGACGTCCGCTCGGTCAGAAGCCGGCTGCAGCATTTCGCAATGGCGTTACACGGTACGGCAAGACACCGACGAAAGCGAGGCTGTCTCGAAACACGTATTCCCACTTGTGTATTGTGAGGGAGGTAGGCACTATGAGGTATATTGAAGTGATTTCCGTGTCGGGAATGTCCGACTGTGTTTAATCGGTAGTATGTCTCGTCGCTCTTGTTCATGTTCGCGCAGTCTGTGTTTTCAGGCTGCGCATGAATGCCTTGATGTGAAAGGTATACCCCCATGGCCCGATAAATGAACCCTATCTTGTCAACAGACAGAGAAGCTAGGGTGTAGGTCACTTACCGCCCTAGCGCCCCACGACCGGGAATTCTTCTCTGACGGCAGAACCCTTTGACCTTGCGGCGGTCCAAGAAGACTTGAGCAGCATACCCGGACCTGGTTGAGAGCCGATCACCTACGTCGAGGGCCACGAGGAGTGAGCAAAGCATAATGCCATGTGCAATGTAACATTAGGCAGGAACGTCAAAGAAGTAAAATTGCGGAGCCAGTATCGATACATAGCATGTGAATTGACAGAGCAGCTGACGACGTTTGATACGTGAAGTGTTCACACCGGTCAGGGTGCCGAACGACTGAAGATGATGCCTAGACATTCAGAGCACAAAGGGCAGCCCGGTCGGGATATTCTTCCTCTGCCTGAACGACAGGAACCATCGTTGAGTGTGAAGTCAAGTAGCAAGGCCATACAGCACTTACAGCTCACGTACTGCAAGGAACGTCCAGAAGGACTACGTGAGTCCTCAAAGTATATGATAAGACTGAGGCTAACTTATTCGCTCACCTCGTACAACAAAGTTGGCAAGCACGGCGAAGAAGAGAAATGCGCTGATGAGCACCGGACCTGTGATCTGGTCTGTAGAATTGGAAGAAGCCAGAGAGATGAGTCCCGAGTCTCAATGGTATCACTATGTTATCGAACTAACCAAAGTGGCCGGGATCGCGTCGGCGGATCATGGTAATCCGATGTTGGTATAGAGCATAACCGTATATCTAAACCGGCCGCGAGTTGAGCCGACTATACCAGATGTAGGTACCAAGATACTTTACGCACGAGCACAACGACACTCAACGCAGCATACGCGTACGCGAAATTCCTGGCAACATCATCCTTCGACGCATTGAACAGCCCGAGCGCAAGCGTTCCAATCAGAACGGCAGTCTGAAGATATGATATCCACGCTGCGATGATGCAAAATATATAAGACTACAGATTAGAGCGTCTTGTACGAATGCACGACGCACTGCGCTCGTTCGCAAACCAGACTTTGCCCTCCACTTTGATCGGAGTAGCTATTTTCTTGGGAACACGGACTTGCGGGGGGACGTGGTTGATAGCATGATAGTCGCGGACGGTTGGCATCTGACCGTCCTCATTCTGCGGTACATCGGGGACATTGTCCGCGCGGGTATAGCGGGGGCGACGTGCAAAGGTCTTCTTGGGGAGGGAGGCGAGCGCGGAGGGGGAGAACGGCGAGAGAATGTCAGTGATGGCATACCAGGACCTGCGGAAGATGGAGTTGCGCCTGTCGTCATCCTGAGTGTCACTGTACTCGCGCGGGGGTCTGGGCGTCGCCATTGTCGTCGTCGCGGTCGTCGTCAGAGGGCAAGGAGAAGTCGTGGAGAGCGACCTGAACGGCGAGGACGACGTCCGGCCCGCGAACGTCTGTGACATGTCACTATGACATAAACGTTGAAGGCACGTGGGCTGTCCTCGCGGAGATGGCTGAGACTCAAGCGGAGTGATGGGAACGACGTCACTTGTGGCTGAAGCCCTTTCTAGGATGTTCTGGCAAGGGCTGGGTTGTCCGTCGGCGTGTTGGCAGGATCGAGAATGGCACCAAGCATGAATAAAACGACGAGCTCGCCCTCGAAACTGCTCCCTGACTTTTCACTCTCACCGTGTGCTTATTTTGTGACTGCATTCTGAGCTACCCTACACATCATCATGGGTACAGACTACTACAAACTCCTCGGTGTCTCGCGTGACGCCAGTGAGGATGATATCAAGAAGGCGTACAAGAAGATGGTGAGTGCCGTTTGAAAGCATGGAGTAAATGAATCGCGAAACGGAGTACTGAATGCTTCCTTTGAATTAGGCCTTGAAGTGGCATCCAGACCGTAATGCTGGTTCAGAGGAGGCTGCTAAGAAGTTCAAAGAGGTATGCACATGTTTCAGTCATGTGGGTGTGAGTTGGGAGGCCGTACAACTTGCAGTAAAGGATCGTAAGGGAGATAAGCGGACGTATGTCATACAAGTCTTCTAGTCCTCCAATTCTTCTCCGAACGGCCCCTCTGCAGGTTGCAATAACCCTCGGGCTCCGTGGAGTATAGGTGTCGTTAGAACGGTGCTAACATGCTTTTACAGATCTCCGAGGCCTTCGAAGTGCTGAGCGACAAGCAGAAGAGAACAATTTACGACCAGCTCGGCGAGGAGGGTCTGAAGGGTGGAGGAGTGCCTCCACAAGGCGCAGGGGGCCCCGGCGGCTTCTCGAGCTTTGGTGGCTTCCCTGGAGGCACTACATTCACCTTCACCTCCGGCCCCGGAGGAAGCTTCAGCAGTGGTGGCGGCGGCGGCGGTCGGGGCGGCTTCTCGCCCACAGACCCGAACAAGATCTTCGAGTAAGCAATCGATTTCTTCTCTGGAACTGCGTCGGCGCGCCTGCTCATACTTTCTATTTCTCCAGACAGATCTTCGGCATGGGCGGGCTCGGCGGTATGGGCTTCGGCGGCATGGGTGGGGGCTTCCCTGGCGGTGGATCGCGGTCGACGCGGATGAGCTCGAGCATGTTCGACGACGAAGATGACGACATGTCCGGGTCATTCTTCAGCGGGGGCGGTATGCCAGGCGGCATGCCCCGTGGCCGCTCAACTCCGCACAGAACGACGTCGACTCCACCGCCCCCGCAGCCGTCCGAAATCACGAAGCCGCTCAAGGTGTCGCTGGAGGACCTCTATTCGGGGACGACCAAGCATCTGAAGGTCGGCCGGCGGTTACTGAACGGGGGCACGGAGGACAAGGTGCTCGAGATCCAGATCCACCCAGGCTGGAAGAGCGGGACGAAGATCCGCTTCCCGCGCGCGGGCAACGAGCAGCCGAATGGCGAGGCGCAGGATCTGGTGTTCGTCGTTGAGGAGAAACCGCACGAGCGGTTCACGCGCGAGAACAACGACCTCATCGCTACCGTGAAGGTCCCGCTCGTCGACGCGCTGACCGGTTCGGCTGGAAAGCAGGTCGTGGAGCACCTTGACGGGCGGAAGATCCAGGTCACCCCTCCCGCGGGCATCATCAAGCCCGGGCAGACGACGACGATCTCTGGGGAGGGCATGCCCGTGAGGAAGGCGGGTGCAGTCAAGCAGAAGGGTGACATGATCGTCAAGTGGGAGGTCGTGTTCCCTGACAGGCTAACCGCCGCGCAAAAGGAGGGTATTCGGAAGGTGCTTGGTTAAGGTGTACGTTGCATTGGACTTCTAGCGCAATATGTGTATCATACATCGCATCTGTATTATGTAGTATTAGTAGGATAGACTTATTTGTTATACCCTCCGTCCGTTTTATCCAATCGTGTGTGTGGTATCGGGACGTGGCCACGATGTCGAGCGCATAACACAACATTCAGTAGGTAAACACGCTACAGGTTGCGGTCTCTATTCATCAGGAATCTTCCAGGTCGTCCGGCTGATCATGAATTGTAACAATTGATAATGGAGCGCGCCGTGTACATTGTACACAAGTTCTTCCTAAGCGGTTTGTGATATTCCACGATTTCATGCAGGAGGAAGCAGACGGCTGTTGTGCTGCTCCAATAGCCAAGGCAAACCATGAATACCGGAACCATTCTCGCCGTGCGGGTATGAATTCTGTAGAACCGGCAGGTTTCCTGCACTTCGTCTCCAGAAACATGCTCCACTTAACTCAGAGAGCCCCAGGTACGTGACAGACATCGAACTTATCCATCAGCCCGATTAACAGTGAATATTCTCGTACTGTGAGGAAACGGTATGCCAATAGTTGCGTCCTCGGGCTTGGATGTCGTGCGGAACTATCCACCCACGGTTTCGAGGCAATGCCAGGCGTCCGGTCTAATGGTTAGTAAAGGCGTGTTCAGAGCTGCAATTTCTCCTCGACGCCACCTAAGAACTTATCCTGCAGAGTTTGTGCGTCCGCCTGGGCGAAGATAAGTCGGTGGTGGCCCAAAGTGGCGAATGCTTGAAACACGGAGGAGGGGGTGAGCATCATGCATCACAATCAGAACACGCACATTCATCAGGCTCGCTGAAGCCTATTCCTCGGTGCAGGCAAGTCAAGAACATTGCACGCTATCTAAAGCTCAGACTGAAAGATAAACACAAGCTTCAAAATGTGTAGTTGGCTCATGCCAATGTCGTATTACAGAGTATGCATCACCGCTCCAGCGAGGTGTTCATGCACTGTTTAGGACCACCCAAGGACCGTCCATCTCTCAGATGACATCCGTACGATTATCTTCGTACACCGACTCCAGATGAATATGAGGGCATTGATGATGACAGCGGGCTAGGTCAGAGTAAGCTCAGTGAGCCAGCCGCAGCCAGCAGAGTGTTGGTTTGCTTGTTGCTCAAAAGGCTCAAAATCCCTTGCAGCCCCGAGGCGGTGGAGCATGAGCGCGCCGCGCCCGCCCGCGTCCTGCAAGGTGTCGAAGTCCAAGCGAGGGCAGGAAGACCCCGCTGCGAAACCCGACAGACTCTGCGTGTCGTACGCTAGGGAGCTGTACCAGGGTGCATTAGCGAACGTCAGCAAGCGATCGTCGCGCTGCGCTGCGCAGAGCGGGGAGGTTTTCAACGGCGTGTCCGGTTTGGGAGAGTGCGTTTGCGCTCTGAGGCACCTTAGTACGCCCTCAACTAGCAGGTTAGTATCTGGGTGTCCTTTTACCTAGAGTGCTTCGAGAATTTGCTGTGCTCGTTCTGCCGCTCGAGTCGGTAGGGCAGAGGGGCGACCGCCTTGGCAGCTTCGCCGTCTGCATTCGAGTTCCCTCTCGCACATCCGTTCGCCGTCTCAAGAGTTCATGATGTATTAATTGCTTTATCCGCCGCTGGTGCTGATATAGGTCTTCTGATCAGATTAGCGGAGGAGTTGGCCGCGCCTGTGATGTTTGCATGAGTCTCGGCATAGTACTGGAGTGGTAGGGATTGTGCTGATTTGCCTGGAAATTTTACCGGGTAAACCCTGTAGAGTACATACGTCGCGGATCTGATGTCCCTTGCTTGCGATTGAATATGTTGGAGAAGGGCAGGAGGTCGGAGGAGCTGGTTGGGGGCGATGGCTTGTGATCATAACAAAGACAAATAAGGAGCGGGCGGCTATGGTGGCGCCGCGTTCTGGGCATGGGCAGAACCAGGGAGTTCGCTGCTCCAGGCTCCAGAGCTCCATCCTCCACTCACGACCCATTACGACGATCAGCTCTCTACATGTACCATCTCTGTATACTCTCTATCTGATTCCTAAACTATGTTTACGCTCCTTGAGGCCACACTCTCCTCGGTCCTCGTCCTATCGCTCGTGGAGGACTTCGTTTGGGCGCAGCAGTACACGGCCATTCCCAGGTAAGCATCTTCGGCCTGTCTGACAATGCTACATTGGACTCGGGACTGCATGAAATTGGGCTTGGCTGCTGGAGACGAAGCAAAGAAACGTATGCCGGAGGTCCGGAGGAGTTTCCCTTTACATCGTTTGGTGCAGCGGACATGCTCCGGACTATTGGGAGGATCTGCCGAACGACAATGACATGCATCAGTAGGGACAAGGCGAGCGTGATCTGATGCATGCACAGCGCCATGGAGGAACGCCATATACTCGAAGAACGATCAGCCCAGATTCGTTCAAATATTCGAATCGTCATGGCGGTCCCGTTCGCCCTTTGAGTAAAAGCAGCCCAAGCTACAGCGGGAATATAAATCAGACTGTATCGCGAAATAGTTGGCTCACGCTCCTTCCACAGATGGGGCCAGGCCTCGACATCAGTGGAGGACACGCTTCTTATCCATGGAGGACGTACAGACCAGTATAATGCGTTTGGCTACTCGACGGCGCCAGTCAACAACGACGTTCTCTACCTCCCCCTCAACACCTCCTTCGATCTCTCCTCTCCGCCTTGGCAGTATGTTGCGGGCTGCTCAAATTGCTCCTCATCACAGGGCCCGGCGGTAGCTTGGCATACCCTTACCCCCTTCAATACCGCCGGTCTACTCCTTTTCGGAGGGGACGCTGGACCAAATGGGCCTATAGCGGATCCTGAAGAGGCCGACTCTGCCGCCCTGATGGAGGTGTCGAACCGCTTGAATCCCGTTTGGCCGCTCGAGACGAAGTCTTGGGGGAACGAGCCGCTGCGTCGCATATACCACACAGCTTGCGAGAGCGGCGGAAAAGTTTACCTGATCGGAGGTGAGAAAACCGACGGCTCAGGGAACGCGTTCTCCGATCACTATGTCTTTGATCCCTCTGCATCCTCCTTCACGCAACTCCCCACGACGAATGGACCCCCTGACCTGTTCGGGCATGCCTCTGTGATACTTGCAGACCGACGACTCCTTGTCTTTGGCGGTTACTCACCATCTGAGAATTCGCTCATGGCGTTCTCGACCGTGTGGACATTGGACACCAGCTCGTCAAACTATACCTGGACAGCGACGAACGTCGCGAATACCACGCTGCCATCTCCCCGGCGCGGCTTTGCAGCGGCGATCCTCGACGACGGCAAGGTTCTGATCCAAGGCGGCGCAGATGCGGACATGCAGAACGTGTACAGCGACGGCTGGGTCCTCGATACCACGCAAAGTCCAATGTCGTGGACCGCAGTCGACGCTCTAACCCAGGTTGGGCCTCGGCGGGACCATTTTGCCGTGGCAGTAGGCTCGGAAGTTATCTTCGGCTTCGGTGCGTATTGTCCGCGCACCTTCCATTGCTTGGCTCCACGAGCTGACCTCCACCCCTTGTCCCTCGCTGCACTCGCACATGGGTCACATTAAACTTTGATAGGGTACGGAGCATCTGCGCCGGCCAACGCGTCGTTGCTTCTGTTCGATGCATCGCAGGGCGCTTTTGTCAGCTCGTACACCCCCCCTCCTGCTGTCACCAGTCCGAGCACTACGACTCTCCCAGCAGCTTCCGGCACGTCACTTCCTTCAGGTACCGCCGGTGGGTCCACAGGCACGCAGGGCTCCTCCTCTACGTCAAGTGGACAATCTGGCAGTGGAGGCAAAGGGGGCAGCAACGGTAACGGCAACGGCAATGGCAATGGCAGCGGCGGCGGCGGCGGCAACGACACAGGCAAGTCGAGCAAGTCGCATTCTGCGGCCGTTGCTGCCGGCATCGTCGCTGGTGTCCTAGGTCTAGTAGCGGGAGGCGCTGCGGCTTTGTACCTCAGTCGGCGGCGCCCATCGAATAGCAGCTTCCATCGTCTAGGTGCCTCAGACGACGACGATGACTCTCCCCATATGGGCCCTGTCATCCCTGTTGTAGGCCACGCTGGGTCGCGGGAGAAGCCGCTTGGCGTGCAGAACGTTAAGCAGAAGCTCGCAGGGCTCGTCCCTGGCCGGGCGGCTCGTCAGCAGACTGCTCGGCGGGACATGCTTGCAGACGAGGACACGATGGTGTTCGAGCCGACATGGCTCGATGTCCGCCGGGATGGTAGCATCGGCTCGTGGAGCTCAGGAGGACGTCGTGTCCGTCCTTCGTTGGGAGATATGGTGCAGGGTTCGCTGACATCGCTGAAGAATGTGGGCGGCGCTATGCTCGCATACGCCTCTGGCACCCGTCGGACCAGAGACACGAGCGGCGATAGCAACGCGACGTACTGGGAGAAGGAGCCATCATATGGGTATTCGGATAAGGGTCACTCTGACAAAATCGCCTTCGTACCTTTGGCTCCTGGGGCGGCGTCAAGACCCAAAGGAGGCAGACAGGCGTCTGACGTCTCGCAATGGACGTACTACGAGGATCCATTCGCCGACTACGAAGTCGAGAGTTTCAAGATGCCCGACGAAGACTATGACGACGACGCGGTCGAGATCCATGGCGCTCCTTTCCTCAACGATCCTCCACCGAAGCCGTACCTGTACAGTCGCGTCGCGAAAGCGACCGACGACGTTTCTCGACTGACACCTGTGTCGGAGAAACCTTACTTCGCCACTGTGACGGACCACATCATCCCATCATCGAGCTCAGACTCGTCGCATGGCGCGTTGCTTACGCCTCCTGCCTCCGCGGACAACTCACGCAGTTCGCATGAGGCACTAACGTCACCCCGTCGCCCCTCGTCCATCATCGATGCCAACCCTCCCCTAGCCTCGACAATGCGCCGCTCCGACTCGTGGTGGTCGCGATTCACGAAGACTCCGTTGCTCGACAGGGCGTTCTCGGCCGACGCGTCTCGTTCCCGTTCGCTACACCCACTCGAGTTCCGTGATCCGAACCCCCCGCCGCGTCTGAACCCCATCAAGGAGTCGTCCAACTCGTCGTCACCGCAAGACGAGTCATCAAAGCGGGACCGTCGGGACGATCCCATGTACGCCAGCATCCACCACGGCCGATCCGCCACGTCGTTGCAGACCTCCAAGACCGCCGATTCCGCCGAGATCGAGAAGATGGGCCGCACGATGGACATCGTTTACAAGGGCATCCATTCTTCCCACGGATCGCACAACAGTCGAGGGAGTACGTCAACAACGTCGAGCTATGAGCCCGCCGCAGACCCCCATGAGCCTAAACCGCTCTCTGTGATCATTCCTACGGACACGGACGACCTGGATAGGTCATCGCCTCCCGGGCTCGGCTTTGTCATGTCCCCCACTGCGATGACCACCACCGACGTTCAGCAACCAACACCTGCTCGTCGGTCAAGCGGAAACGTCGCGGCGCGGATAGCTGCGTTCGAAGAGCACGGAAGGTCCCCGCCCGCGCCTCCTCAGGGCCGGTCAAAGCAGACGCAGAGCGTGTACGGTCTCGCGCCGAAGCCATCCCTTTTCGTAGCTAACCCCGACCGGCGTACTGGGAGTGGAGACTCATGATGCAACGGCCGCCTGCTACGCAAGCGTTTACGCGTCCAGGTCGACGTCTTGATTGCCAATCTCGCAGCATCCCGCAATTCTCCACGCTTCTTCATCATCTCTCATATCCCTTTTCCCGCTCTCGAACCCCAATTCCCCCCCCCCCCGACCCGTGACACCTTTCCAGGCCGAGACCGAGCCTTCTATCCGCATGCCAGACGCACGTCAGCTTCCTCTGTCCTGTAGGTCAGTCGGTCGGTCAAGCCTGACTCAGACTACACGTGCTTACTCAATTAGAGTTGCTGACTATTCCCCACTACGCTATGGACGAATTCAGTGATATCTTAATCATGCCTTCCTCTCGCATCCGTCCTGACGTTCCGCGTGGGTGTTCTCACACTTCCTTCACACTTGCTCAATTCGCCCTGCATTCACGACCTGTCACGACCTTTTCGCTCAGCTTATTCTGTCTCCTTATTCCCATGCGGACTTCTTTGTTGTCGTCGTCCTTCTCGCGACGAATGGACTCCACGCGCTTACGTTTTACGACTTCTTTACGCCGAACGTCTCAGCCAGTATTACAAAAGTGTCTCTGTACGACTGTATCCCTTTGTGATCCAAATCCAGTGTTTTCATACAATATTGCATCCGGGTTCCGTGCCGTTCATCGGTCGTCATCAGCGCGTCTCCCGGCTGCTGAAGGATCAGCGTAGTAGAAGACGTGGTGGTGATTCTGGAGCTCTGGTGTCGGACCCGCGCTAGCTTGTTCAACACCGAGTACACTTGGCATGTGCGAGGATATTCAAGGGTCCTCTTGCTGTCCGTTCTGCGTATCTCGACTATCCGTAACACCCGCACCGATCCGCGACCACTTTGTCATCCGATACATCCCGTAAGTACCGGCGTGCACGCGCGGGACCCGCTCGCCTAGAAGCGCGCGGCGTACTTGGTCTGTTGTTCGCCATCAGCCGCATCGAAGCATGACATTTTACGCTCGGGCTTGCCAGTTACGGTACGGCATGAGTCGAACATAGATCCCACCGAGAAGGCTTCCTCGCCTATTGTGCTTGTGCTGGGACAAGGTAGCGCTGCTGCGCACCGTGCACGGCACTCTGTTTATCAGCGGCTCCCGCTGGCGGCGTCTCGCGGCCTCGGTGCAAGAACCCCGCTGCAGCTCAGCTGGGGCTGGTGGTACGTTCGCGCAGCCAGCCAGTGGTACCGGTGCTGCCTCAGCACGCGTATGTCACCAGGCATAGCAGAGTGCCAGGAGCGCCGTCGAGTGTGCCGTATGTCGCCGATGGGGGATCGCGCGCGCCCAGATTAGTTACAGGTAGAGTTCCCAGGCGCGGCGCCTGCGGAACGGCGCCTGCTTAAAATTTTGGGAGTGGTCGGGGTCTCTCTCTCTCACAATTAATTTCGGGTAAGGTTAAGTGGTGGGGCAACCTAAAAACGGGGGGTATTTGTGGAAGGGATAGGAACGCGTGTCGTGTCATCCGGTGAGAAGCGCGGGGCGTGGTGGCTGGGTATCTGCTCCGGAGGATGGATGATGATTCGATGGGTCCGCATACCGTTGGTATGTTCGACAATGCCCGGCTGGTGCGCACTCCGGTCTTCATAGAGTTTGGCGCGCCAGTCACGCTGGCGCCATCTTCCATTAAGTCGTCGTGCCAACTCTCGAGTTCCTCGCCCCTTGACACGCTCAGCTGACTGGGCGAAGCCTGTCCAACATCCCAGCAAGGGTCGGCCTGTTCGCAGTCTCGTGTTCGCCTGGCAGGGCCGGCAGGAAGCTGAAAACAGACGAGATCGCCATGTGCGCCCAAGTCGCCGAAGTGCGAATGCGGCAGGTGTGCTGGCGCAGACGCTCCGAGATTCCACAAAGACCGGAGCGCCTGGGAAGCTCGCAGCACTTATGGTGTTTCAGACGCCATGCGAAGCCGCCCATCAGAGCCACCGAACACATGCCCAACGGCGGCAAGGGGCAGCTGGTCGACTAGTCTCTGCTCTCTATTAACCTGGACCCTACCCGTGGGCGTAAGAGGGTACAGCATCGCCCAGTATAGTGTCCTGCAGGATCAGCACACCAGGACATATCTGTAATTTAAAGCCTGTACACATCCGAGACCACTCAAGCGCCGGACGCATTTGCTTCCGCCATCTACGATTCTGAAACGCGCACGATCCGAACTTCGCTGAATGGCAGAATCATCGATATCTGGATACGGGTCGGCATCCTGGGCGTCCGCTGACCACTCTATAAGCATCACAAGGCGCCGGGCCTCGACAAAGGCGGAAACCAGCCAGGCAGTTGGCAGGGGAAGTAGAAGCCGACGAAGCCCCTTCGGGACGTGTGTCTCACGTCCGTTCCCAGTGTCCATCGATGACGTTCCTAAGCTTCGCCCCTGAGGCCCGGTGGGGCGAGAGTGGGAGGCAAGGCCAGAGGCCCGTAGACGTACACGTTCGGTGTTTAGTACAGGTTCTTACACGACATTGACTGCGGCTTGTTCCCTACGCGGCCTCGATTTCCGCAACGTACTTCTTGGACTCTTCCGTATCTGCCCGCTTGAGGATCTATGTTCGCGCAGACAAAACAGGTTAATGGACGGAGGAAGGGCTCGGCGATGATAGGAACGAAAACTGACTTCGAGCAGCTTCTCGACATACTTGGCGTACGCCTCTTCCGTGGAGGTGCCTTCAACGCTCTTCCAGGCGTCCCTGTAGGCACCAATGGAGTCTCAGTCGTATGCGCCGATGTACATCGGCGTCTTCGCACGGTGTGCGCACAGCACGATGATAGCGGTGCGACGTACCATTTTGCCTTGCCGACAAAGTCAAGCAGGCCCGGACGGGAAGTGTTCACGTCTCCAACGGTCGCTGCGCAGCGCAAGCGTCAGCGTGAATCCGACATCAACTGATGCTCGGCGGCGCAGCTATAGAGTTGAGTGACTAACCCTGCTTGTAATACTTGTAGAACTGCGACGCCGGCGGGCGATCGTCAGGTAATCCGAGAGAAGTGGGGGTAATAGGCGTTAGTCAAGAGCGCTCCGGTGGCGGGACTGCGAGAGGAGACGGGACGAGACTTACGTAGAGCTGCTCCTCCTGGGAGGGCTGGATGGGACCCTCCTTGGGGAGGCTCTGGACGATGGCGACGGCTTTGTCGAACTTGGCCTTGGACATTGTCGTAGCTGCTGGTGGTGGTGGTCGAGGAAGTAGATGAAGATAACGATCAGCTGGTGGGTTCGCGGGTCGAATTGGGCAGGGAGCGCCGTCGCCATCGAGCGCAATCGCATCGACGACTCAATCGAGCATATCCCGATCCCCGATCGCGGCGCGGCAGCTCCCGCGACGCCTGATCTTCAGCGACTACCCCACCAATCTCCCTGCCTCCCTCCCTTGCAAGCGACCCGCCGCGGACCCACGCGCGCCCTCAGTTCTCCCGACGGCAGCACGACCAGCGTCGGCGTGGTGCTCGACGACTGTGCTGTGCGCAACATTGTCGACGCCGTCAGTCATGCTCGACCCGGGCCGAGGCAGGCGGCTATCTCAACGTACGCGCCCCCGTCCGACTCGGATGTAACTCCATGGTGACTCTCCACGGCGATAGTTTCCCCGGTTTGTGAAATACCCAGAGGTGCTCTGATTGTAGTGGACATAAGACGTATGTTTCAGCCTCGCAGTGATAGGAGCGAGTCCCATTCAGTTAAAAGTGCGCACAGGATGATAAGAGGTATAGAGTGGGGGGACGGCATCCCCCCGCATCGGCCACAGGCCTGCTAGTATATCGAGAACGACAAATAGACCCGTCCAAACCACAGCGCGCGCGGCCGATAACCCCGCACTGCTCCGTTTCACGCTCGGGGGACTAGTAGATCTCGCTTGCGGGTCGGCGCCGTTGCGCTACTCGACGTCGGGCGTTCAAACCGGCCGATCCAGCGCTCTGCACAATGTCCATCACAACCCAGCGGCCAGCGCCAAGATCTCCCATCTCAGCCCGGAGGCAATTCTCAGTTTGCAGCCTTCTCGCAAGCCCCCTGACGCTCGACCCGAGAGGGCAGGCGCGCTGACTATGCCGTACCCTGCAATGACAGACAGCTGTGATAGTTGGATGGGAGCGCGTACGTACGCCCTACGGCAGCATCGCCAGCTGGAAGCCCACCGTGGCAAGGCCGACGAATGGGCAGCGAAATGGATTCTTCGTTCCTGACTCAATCGACCGAATCTACTTACCGTACTGCTCCCAGGTCGGTCTGTTCCATTCAGAGCCAAGGCTTCTGACTGGAGCTGCTGCTGCTGAGCTTCGACGCATGGATGATCTCCACTGGCGATGCAATCCCTCCCCATGTGCTGTGGCGGACGAGCAGGTAAGTGAAATCTGCACCAAAACCATCTGCCGTCCTCCGCTACTTATTCAGATAGGAACTTCTCGGGAGCGGCAAGCGGTTCATCGGTATTACAGGACGTCGACCATCCACCCTGCAGTGATGGTTTGCTCGGAAATGCCATCCGGTGACGAGATCCGTACTTCGCCATCTTTGCACACGCCTCTGGTTGACCACTTTGACAACCGAACCCCTCTCTAGGGCCAGGGTCGCGACTGGGATGGTTACAAATGCAATGCAAAGCTTCCTAAATTATACGATGGGCCTTCTGTGACCGGTCAAGGTTCAAGTAGCTCCATCTCGCGATGATGGAAGCGCGTGCCACATGGACTAGGAACGACTGTACAGACCTCCCGCTCGTTCCATAGACGTGTCCCAAGATGGCATCAGTCAGGACCAGACGCCGGTAGAACGAAGGCTGACAGGCCCCTATGATAGACCGCGCTGTACGTACTCTATCACGTCCCTCGCTGCATCGCTTCCAGCAGTCGATGTATTATTGAATGGCCAAACGCTGAATATGAATTCCAGGCTCGCACGGACCCCGCGGTGTGCGCTGCGCGCTGTGTGAGCGTAGCCTGCCTTTCCCTAGCGGCAACGCGCTCGCCGCATGTAGCGACCACGGGATGAGGACTTGCCTTGAAGTCGCGGGCCGACACGAGCCTGAATACTGGCAGGCATATGAGCAGGCTCGTTCTGACCCATCACATGCAGTACGGCTGCGCACGCAGCAGGTAATAAACCCGTCGGGCCACTTCTTTCATGTCCGGCTTGCCTCCCTCTTACTTCTTTGGTCATAAGGCATGTCTATCGAAACGCGCCCACCACGCCCTCCTTCTCATTGATGTTGCCGGTCATCCTGCCCATCTCATAGGCGCCGCGCAGAACCTTCATTGCTATACCCTACCAGCTGACGCGCACACGACTGCAAGTCACCTTCGGCGTCATTGGACTACAGAAATTGGGCGCCTGAGGGAAGTTCTAGTTCAGCGAACTGTGGAATCCTGTACGCAATAGGGAACAATGCTCCTCGCCGCACCGTAAGCATAACACCCGTGCTCGTGCGCCCATTGCGCCTTACGCGCCGTGTAGGAAGTCCCTGGCTTCGCATCGGGCTTACGATGGCTGGTAGGGTTACTGTTCTTAAGCCGGGAACAAATACGAATTCATTCACGCTATGTTTTGCCATACACGTGTGTACTATCAGGAGCACTGACATGCAGTTGGTCTGAAAATACACAGATTGCGGACCATACACAGATTGCGGACCGACCGAAAAGCACCGTTTCGGACGAGGTCCATCCGATGCCTACTTCCCTGTAAGTATGCGTCGCTTGGATGGCTCGAGAACGACCTCGAATCGGCTACCCTCGGCGTTGCGTAAGGGGTGTATCCCGAGGGCGGTTAGGTTCCCAAGTCCTGAGACAAAGCCTCGAGTCGGCTCACGAGACCGATACATTTGGAAGTGCCGGTCGCGACTTTGCTTCGTAAGAAGTTTCTCTTGCGAAGACACGGTGAAGTATCCAACCTCTCCCTTCTGGGCATGAACCTCACTTCCCCGCGCCTCTTGGCAGTCTTGGCCAGCTGATTCCAAGCATCTCACCAGGAGGTGAACGACCCACGAGACCAAAGACTGGCAGCAAGCTCACATATTCGCTGAGCCCTGACCCTGGTACATGGGTGGGTGAAGGTGGGGACCAGGAGCACCTGACGAGCGGACACGTAAGATGCACGCTCAGAAGGCTGGTAGCGGCTAGCAGTTGACCCGCCAAGCGAGGTGTCCTTGACAGCCCCGACAGCATCAGCACCCGCATACGGGCCTCGTTTGCGGGCGGTAGCCGTCTTCCCTTCGCTCTTCCAGTCCACTGTCGTAGGTAATTGATTTTTGGCTATTCAGGTCGCGAGTCAGTTCCGGCTCGGAATGGGCGTTTGGACTTCTATGATCTACCAGTCTGTGCCGTTGAGCCGCTCAATATCAGGTTCGCCTCGCGTTATCTGAACGCAGATCCATGCTGTACGTATATCTAACACGACATGCACAAGGTTTGGTTGTAATCTTCGATAACACGCATTGAAATAGATCTGAACGAGGCGTATCCGGGGACGCGGACGCTATCCTTGCCGTTCATCCAACAGCTTGAGCAGTACCTGGTGCTCAAATTTTCCGGATAGGGTCGGATAGATGATCTGCTTGACAGAAGTCTGCGAAGCCTGACCAGTCGCCGCACGAGGATATGGAACATGGGCGTCCAAACGCACTCCACCCCGCATAAACGTGACAGGGCAAGGTACGACGCGGTTTCCCCGTGCGCCTCATGGCGCCGCGTAGCAAATGAGGCCATGTCAGAGGCTTCTGAACCCAATGTCATGCACATGTCGCAATGCTGACGACTCCCGGCCACAGAACGGAGTGCGCACAACAGAACCCTGGGGGCCTGCTCGTGGTCAGACTCCGAGGCCGGCTGTTCTTGGTAATGTTACAGGAACATAAATCGCCCGTGTTCCGCCCGCTAGGAAAGTTCAATATGAGCGCGGATACACAAAGTTATAGAGTTAGTTTGCCTTTCCGGGAGTGATCGGCGCCCGAGCGGAGATTGGTGTCCTATACTTGTGCGCGAGTAATCACAGGGCGCAAGCTCCGGAGCGATGAGGAGTAGAGAGCGTAAAAGGTGCGACAGAGACAATGAGGGCGCTACGGCAGACGCAGCCGTATTGGAGTCATCGGCCAAGAGCAGCCCGTGCCCGACTGGGAACGTACAGTGCCTCGAACAATACGGTTAAATCGGTGTACACAGGGTGGGAGGACCTGCCCGAGCGTTGAGACGCGCTAACGCTTGGTGACGGCCGCTGGCGTGTGGCAGAGCAGTTGGGAGGAGACAGATATCTGAAGAAGAAGAAGAAGTATGAGCGTCGAGGAAATCGCGAAGAGCCCAGGTATGGTGCACCGATTTCCCGGGGGAGCGACTAGGAGCCGCTAGCAGTTCGCAGCCACGGAAGAGTCGCGATTGCACCCGCCGACGTCTGAACTGATGCCGATGCTGTCGAACACAAAAAGCGCGACGGGAGCGGCGATGACGTTGGGAAAGGCGCAGCATTCTAGGACTCGCACCAACTTGAGCAGAAGATCTGCCAGAGTATGGCAAGCGTACGGGCCGACAGCCGCGCAACGAGGCTGCCCTCAGGATTTCCAGGCTGGTAGCGGACACGTCTGGTAGACATATTGTTTCATCCTCCTACCGAGCCGGCACGGTGCACTCACGGTCCTGTCGGTTTGAGCCACGGAAGAGATAGAGTTGCTCAGTGCGGGCGCACACATGATGATAACCTGTCGGAGAACACAGGAAGGCTGTTGGCCCTGCCAACGATCAATATGTTTTGCTACAGGGCGGGAGTGTCTAGGTTCTGCAGCGGAGTAGAGTTAGAGGTCCTAGACTCTTCAAGTCGCAGACCTAACATCTCCGCATCACTTGCGGCGCACGGGTGCGGGTCGCATGCGATGGTTGAGCAATTATTCTACGTAGACCTACTCGCAATGAGGTCTGGCCACCCTAAGTCGGTTCAACAAGATTTGGGTGAGCGTGTCGAGGAATGATTACGGCGGCGTGAACTCACTCGGATCCTAACGGACAGCATGATAGGAGTGTTGGGGATAGTGTGCCCGAATCATGTTACTTCAAACTTGATCGTATCGTATCACGGCGGATGTTTGGGATTCTCCGACTCGACACCCATGGTGGATATGTATGCCATCGCCTGGATATGCATCGATGTTGAGTATGGACTGACCTGGTCGTCGGCGAGTGGCCAATTCTGTTTAGATCGGCGCGCACGCCACGCGGGCGGGCGCGCATCAACGTTGGGCAAGCGGAGCCGTCGGGCGATGAAACAGGCGGCAGCTGGCTAGGCACCCGTCCGCCTGGAGTCTTGGACTCCGCAAGCTCCGCCGTTACATCCCCGAACGTGATGAGTGCGATGACGAACTGGGTTATCCCGTCCTCGACCTCTGTTCATCCACTACGCCTGTTCTGGCCTTCTCAGTCGAGCATCATAAGGCCTTCCAGCCCCTTCCGTCATGTCAGCGGCTCGTTCTGTCCCTCCTCCATCCCACCAGGAGGTCGCCCGCAAGCTTTCCGTGCATTCCAAGCCACCATTAAAGGTGTGTAATGCATCATAGCGCGCTATACAGTTCTCGTGCGTCCTTGCGTGGACGTGCCAGGGCTAAATGCCGATGACGCTGACATGTCGGTATTACTTTCGTAGAAACCTACGTTACAGTCTGTCCCGGTATCCGGCACCGAGTCGGACTCGGACTCGGTATTCACGCCTGATGTCATCTCGCCTTCGCCGATGTCCACAAGTCTGAGCGGCGCTCTCCTCGGTGCACCTTCATCGCAGCCCCCTCTTCAATCGATTGCGGAACGCCGGTCCCACAGCGGGGGCGAGGATTCCGAGGAGGATGAAGAGGACGAAGAAGGGGGATGGAGGACCCAGGATTTCACTGGCACTACCCAGCAGGGATCGCATGACGAAACCGTCATCAAGTCCGGCTACCTGTGGAAGAAGGGAGAGCGAAGGAAGGTATGTCGGTGTGTTGCTCTGCGTGTTTCGTGAGCTAATTTGTCCGCACTCTGCACGTATCCTGTTCTGCCACCTGCGCACGTCCGACCCCACATCGCATCTCGATTTGGCGCGCGATGTTCCCCGAATAAGACCTGGAAGAAGCGTTGGTTTGTGTTGCGCCCGGCGCATCTGGCGTTCTACAAGACATCGGCAGAGTACAAGCTCCTCCGGCTTCTCGACTTGACGGAGGTGCATTCTTGCACGCCGGTGGTGTTGAAGAAGCACCAGAACACCTTCGGACTCGTCTCCCCCACGCGCACGTTCTACTTGCAGGCGGAGAATCCTCAAGAAGTCCGGGAATGGGTCAGCGCGATCAATGACACGCGTGTCCAGCTCCTTCCGACGTCGACGCGCAATTCTGTCACCTCTCCCATCCCAATACCCACCACCCCTACTACTGCCACTGCTGCATTTCATTCCACTGGCATCTCCTCCTCGCCTTCGCATTCCCATCAGCTTCACCAGCTCACATCTTCCGACTCGGACGATGCCTCGCCGAACAGCAAACCGAATTCCGCTACACAACCGGTAACACTAGCCGGCGAGAGTGTATCTCCCTCAAAACCGGTGTTATCAGGGTATCTCATGAAATGCGGGTCCAGACGGCATAATTGGCACAAACGATGGTTCGTACTCAGCGGCGAGAAGCTCATATACTGCCGCTCTCACATGGTACGTGCGCAACATCGTCGTGATTTTGAGTTTGCCAAGCCATTGAGCCCCTGACTGACGGATTCCCTGCCTGTATGACTTCATTTGCGTGCCGGTATTATGGGGCTATAATCGAAACAGGACACGAAGCCTCACCGTCAAATCCCGCTCGCATTGGTTATCGATGCGCTGGAATATGACCTGCCCCCAAACAGAAACCATCCTGCCGTCGCGTCCCCCGGCCCGCAGTCTCCCCAGCACCACGCCCTGTCGTCCTCCCCTGCCGATGGCGAGAGGGTAGGCACTCATACGTTCAAGATCGTGACGACGAAGCGCACGCTGCTGCTCTGCGCGCCCAGCGAGGAAGAGGAGATCAAGTGGCTCAGCGCGATCCGCGCCCTCATCGCCCGTCGGTCCGGACAGGGCGTCGTCCCCGGGGAGCCTTCCTCGTTCCCAAGCGTCAGCCCGGCTGGGAACGTCCACGTCCACGCGCCGGCGGCAGGCAGCAGCGGGGCTACAAGCCCGGGATCGGCGGCCCCCACGCAGAAGCGGAGGGACTCGTTCGTGCGGCGGCTGAGCTTGAGCGGGGGAGGCAGCCCTTCCCTGGGGGGCAGCGCGACCGCGCCGGGCGTCGCGACGTCACCGCAGGAAGCCCCATCGGAACGGCAATCTTGAGGTGTGTGTGGGGGAGGTTGGAGAGCGCGCGCGGGGTTGCGCATTTGGAGGCCAGCGACGCGCGGGCCGAGTCCGAGAGAGGGGTGGGGGGGGCGCGAGGACGTTCTGTCTGTGGTCATGCGGGCGCGTTGCGAGGTGTGGCCGTCGGGATGCGACGCGACGCAGTTACCGTGTTCTCGCCATCGGGGCAGCTGGGCAGGGGCACTGGTTGTGTGTGGGGAGATGCATCGCATTGGGCTTCGCGGTGCGGGCGACCAAAAGTCTCGATCGGGGGCGCCGGCGGGGATCTGAGTTCGCGGTTGTTGGAATGAGCGCGCTCGCGCGTGCATGCCAGTGCGTACTATGTGCTGCTGCTGTCATCACTGTGGTATTGGTTGTTGTGGGGCCTCTGGGGTGTGAAACAAGAGACCATGATGAAACAGGAGCTGTACGATACTGAGCGATGTCGTTGCACGAATGATTGGATTTTTTTCTCGTATGCATACGCTATTAGGGGCGCTGTGTAGCCGATACCTCTTTGGTTGTGGGAGGAACGTTGATCATCATTTGAAGAGCATCGTTACGTGTACAATAGGTCTGTGTACTAATCATCTGGATGGAGTGGGCTGCGCTGCCCAGAAGGATTGACCATCCGGAGGGAGATGTGATTGTAGCGCCGGAGGAGATCGGGGCAGGCGTTGGCAGTGGAGGAGACATCTGCCAACAGCTGCCAACACGGCGGGCCTTCGATTCGACCACAAGCGTGGTCGTTGGTGATCGCATCCTGAGCGATGGATCCGGGCTGGGACGCAGAATTAGGTAAGCGCCGTAGGCGAGAGAAGCAGCCGTCCGCTGCGGCGATTTGGGTTTGGGGGCCGCGGGCGAGGGACTTTAGTATTACCAAGGAGGCGATAGCACGCGTAATACGAGGGAAGGGGGTGCCGTCAAGCAATTTGTCGCATTGGGGCTTGGGCTCGCTCTCATGCTTCGGGATGCGCACGGTCATGTCACGCTCAGTCAGGGTCTGTGCTCTGTCTCTCTCAGCTATCAGCGACATGGTCCGCACGCGCGCCTGTCCTCGGCGGGTGGTGGGTCTACGACTTGGACGGGATGAGCACCTTGTGGTGGTAAGGAAGGAGGCTGAGAAGAAAGGAAGCGGGAAGGGCAGAGGACGAGCCGGCGCCTCGGGGCTCGGGTGGAGGAGGTTGGATTGTGCTCGCGGGATAAGGCCGGCTGATGTGATTATTCTGTAGACAACGAACGGAGGGCCGCACACGAGGCCTGCAGCTGGAGGCCAAGCGGCGGCGGAGGCCTGCGAGAGAAGAAGAGGGCAGCTCTCGGACGGGCACGAGTCTGGGCGTCTATTGGCTGCCAGGCTAGAACGCGGGCTCGGGCGGCAAGTCGGGTGCCTGAGAAAGCAAACGCTCCGATCTCAGCGGCTCTGGGTTTTATCGGGAAGCCCCAGCCTTGTGACCAGAACGCCGGGCAGACACGAGGACGGCCTCGTCCGATGACGCGGGCCCCGCCTCCTCGACCTGCACAACAGAGTTTGGGGGCGCTCCCTTCCATTCTTCGGCGGCTACCCCATGCAGCCTGCAGAGCCCAGGTGCAGCACACCCACGCCCACTCGCTGTCCTCGCTAGGCCTGCGTACGACCGTAGCGGAACTTGGATGACGAGACGCGTAATTCTCGCTGACTGGAGCGAGTATAAATACGGGGATGAGTTACGTGATGCCGAGTATGGCAGTGTCTGGCGCGGTGAATGGCGTTAGACGCGTAAGGCAAAGACGAGGGTCTGGTGTCCGGGGGCATGGGTCGATAAGGTGCGGGTAAATAAAGGAAAATAAAGGAATCAACATGCGGAAAGTCGCACGGTGGTAGTGCCCGGCGCCCAGGGTACATAAGTGCTCTGCCTCTCGCTTCTCCCAACAACCGCCCACCACTCCCCGTCTGTCGGCGACTGTCCCCCATCCCCTAGTCCGTATATTTGTACTCTACGCTTTCGACAGTCCACCACGCAATGCCCGACGCTCCTTCCAGCCCGCGCAAGACCGTCTCCTCCGCCTCTCAGCAGGTTCGATCTCAAAAGAAGCCCGGAGCGCCCAAGCCAAAAGGCGCCGTTCGTGCTAAGTCGGGCTGCTACACCTGCAGGATTCGACGGAAGGTTCGTCCTCGAGGCGCTCATCATCCTCTCAGCAGAAGTCTAACCCCGATCTTGTCTCCCCGCGTCTCTCGTCCTGCCCATCGTCCCGATAACTCCTGCCGTCTCCGCCACATCCGCCACGTCACTACGCCGCCACCAGAAATGCGACGAGCAGCCGAACGAAGAAGGCGCGTGTCAGACCTGTGTCCGTCTCAGGCTGCAATGTCTCGGCTTTGGCGCCAAGCGTCCAGACTGGATGAGGGTCAGTGTCTCTGGCTCAGACGTCTTTGTCGGCAATTAGGGGCTAACGGCTTGCCGTGCGTTTCCAGGAGAACAACAGCGTCACTGAGCTTCGCGAAAAGATCAAGACGTTCCTCGCGTCTCAGGGCATGATCAAGGGTCACTCGGGCTCGGGCCCGCGCACAACCGAAGCAGACCCTCCTGTCCTCGTCCTCGTCGACCAACTCCATACTTCGCCGTCGAGTCCTCCCACTCCTACTCTTTCTGCTACCTCCAGCGAGGGACACCGTCCCCCTCACAACGGCATGAACACTTCGTTCGAGCGCGCTCCTGCCCACTACGCTCCCATGCCTCCCCCGGAGCAGCAGCACTATAGTCAGAGTATGTACTATCCTGCTCTCATCCCCGTTTCGTGGTAGTGAACTTTCGCAGACTGGCAGCCTGCCATTCCGGAGTTGGGTCCTCACGACCCCGCCATGAATCGGGGCCCCATGCTGCCCAACGTGAACGACATGTTGTACCACCCGCCTGCCCCCGCCCCGCCTCAGCCTCAGCCTCCTAGTATGATACAGTCTCCTTCCATAGTCTCTGCTCCCTCCTCCTGTAAGGCGCCGTACCGTTATTAGTGTATCATGAATGTATTATGATTAATGCCCTCCTCTATGCAGGGCCTCCGCATTATACTGGTTCTGCCTCATCGTATCATCCGCTGGCCTCGGCGGGAGCAAGTTCAATGTCAGGATTGAGCCAATCAATATCGACTCCGACTTACATGCCGATGAATGGTATGAACGGTGGTGGGGTGCCCACTGCAGGTCCGTCGTCATCATCGTCGATCTACTACAATCCTCCTGTCTCCTCCCTTTCTCGGGCGTACAACATCAACCCCAGCAATCTCTCTGATGACGAGCAGGAAGCGCTTCGCAGTCCGGACGCTATGGCCCCAGCCGCGCCCATGAACGCCGTTGGTCTAGTTTTGCCAACAGACCAACATTCCCTCATCAATCACTACCTGCAATATGTCTTGCCAATACAGTACCTGCTCGCCGACTCCTCGATCAAGAATTTCATGTTCCGCATCCTCCAAAGCTCACCGGTGGCGCGGGATGCAGCCTGTCTGCTGTCTGCCCTTCACATACACTACATGCGGTATCCTGCGCCGACTGACTCGAACGTCGTGACCGCCATCTTTGATCGAGTACAGGGCAACCTCCTCAGCAGCAGACGGCAGTACAACGAGGGCGACGCGATGGCTGGCCTCCACATCGTCTCCAGCGTCCTCTTCTCCGGCGGACGGGGCGGCTGGGAGGTCTGGCTGGACATCGCGAGCCAGTACGTGACCACGATCCTCAACGACCCGGACGTGTACGGGCCCGAGGAGGCGCTGCGGCGGTGCAGCGAGAGCACGCGGTTCATCATCAAGACGACGATGTGGTTCGACGTGCTGGCGAGCGTGACGACGCAGCAGGTGCCGCGCTTCCTCGAGTACTACCGGCTGCTCTTCAACGGCGCGTACATCGACGACCCGATGGGCGGCGGGGGCGCGCCCGAGATCTCGATGCTGCCCGTGATGGGCTGCGAGAACAAGATCGTGCTCGCGATCGCGGAGATCTCGAACCTCGCGCACTGGAAGGAGAGCCAGTCGCGCCGCGGGTGCCTCTCGATCCCCGAGCTCGTGCACCGCGGGACGATGATCGAGGAGCAGCTGCTCGCGCCCGCGTCGCCGCACAACCCGCTCGTCCCGCTCCAGGCGGGCATGTACGGCCCGCAGGCGCAGCACTCGCACATGTACCCGAACGGCGGCGGCGGCGAGGCGGACGTCGTGTGGCGGCGGCGGCTGACGAACAACATCTTCCGCGCGAGCGCGAAGGTGTACCTGCACACGGTGCTCTCGGGCGACTACCCCGCGTGCCCGGAGATCCAGAACGCGGTGACGGAGACGATCGGCGCGCTGCACGACGTGCCGGACCAGCCGTCGGTGCACCGCAGCGTCGTGCGGAGCGTGGTGTTCGGGATCTGCCTGTCGGGGTGCCTGACGGACGACCGCGGGCAGCGCGCGTTCCTGCTGAACATGCTCAAGCGGCAGCAGCAGGAGTCGATGGGGAACATCACCGAGGTCGCGCGGCTCATGCAGCAGGTGTGGGACCGCCGCGACCGCGACCGCGGGCGCGGCCAGTTCACGTCCGTCGACTGGCGCGCGGTCATGCGCGAGAGCCACAACGACTTGCTGCTGCTCGTGTAGGCCGTAGACGGTGCTGCTTGGTTTTTTTGCGTCCGCACACATCCCTACGCCCCGCTCGCTCTTTGCATCCCATTCTGCGTGCTGTCCGTCGGCAATCGTCATACCTGGCCCGTCCGGGCCCTCAACTTCCTTCCGCGTCGACAGGCAAAACTACTCGGTCCGACTTTGGTCGTCGTCAATTACAATCGCCCTGGTCCACACAGCCGCCCATCGCCCGTCGCCGGTTTGCAATCGTCGCTTTCATGCTTGCTGCTGCTGCTGCTGCTGCTGCTTTGCTGCTGTTCGTCTCCGTCTCCAATGCATTTGCTCACAAAACGATTACAGTTCCCGCCGCGACACTTGTAAAATCTATTATCATCCCCAACTCCAGTCCCAACTCCAGCCCCAGTCTCGGTCTCCAATCCTCAGTCCCCCGATCCCAATCCCAGTCCCCAACAGATACCGACCCGCGCTCCGGAAAACCCCCCTCGCTAGGTGTACAGTCAGTCAGTCCGTGGGTCCGTCATGCTACCGTATTATGATCGTTCTCGTGTTATCGGGTTCTAGCTGCAGTCAGTACTCCTTTGTGTGTATGTATCTTCTACTTCAGGCTATCGTACGCTTCGCCGTCCGCACCTCCTCACGTTTATATTTTACCATTAGTAGGGCCTGTGCCTCTGCACGTATATTGCAAGGTTCCATATGACATGGCTCGGTCGCGAAGTTGGTATTGCTCCCGGACCTTCTTCCCCAATCGTCGCACCCCACCCACGCACACCCTCCCCACCACCGGATGGCTGAGGGGCTGAGCCGAGTGCCGACGACGCGGTGGACGTCGGGCACGGATTCGGACGCGCAAGACGAGACGGGCTGCCGTCTCGTCTGCGGCCCCGGGCCCGGCTTCGGAAGTTCTTCTCCCACGCCGCCACGCTCCGCCTGGCAGCCCGGGCTTACCGCGAATTCGCTGCCTGGCAGCGTATCCCCGCTGTCTGCGGTGCCTTCGAATTCTCCGCCCCTCCCTCCCACCGTCGGTCATGCTGTGCCCGGTGCCCAGTGCCCTAGCGCACGCGGGTCGTCCGTACCGGGCTTTCGCGGGCCCGCCAAGGCCACCACGCCTGCCGCTCTTCCCTGGTCCACGTCGCGGGTGGACGTTCGAAGGATCCGGGAGGGGGCAGCAGGAAGGAGGGGCGAGCCGCGGTGCGGGCATCGAAGCCGGTCTCGAATACCCCACGCGGGTCGAGTCCGTGCGTCGTGCCACGCGCCCTGCAGGGCAGTATTGCCAGCTTTGGGCTGCGGGCGCGAGGACGGGCTGAGGGCACGACGGAGCAGGACGTGCGTAATGCGCATCGGGCGTACGGGCTGCGGTGTGGATGGCATGTGAGACTCCCGCCTTCTATCGCATCGTGCTTCGTGCATCTAATCCGATAACGATCCTAAGGTCTACTGCGTCTGACGTGCGACGTGCGACAGACGCTCTCCTGTCTTGTCCACCCTGCACATGCTATCGCTCCGCCCTACACCGGCCGCGCGAATCAGAGGCCGATACGGTTGCTCCTCACGTCTGGGAGGCGGATGGCCACGCGCGCACCCCTTCCAACCTTCCCTGTTCGGGCCACGTCCGCGCCGTCGCGCGACCGGACGCGACGGCGGACGGGATAGTTCGCTCGTTCGCTCGTACGTACTCCCGACCCGTGTGTGCGCGCGAACGTGTACGTACTTATTATTGTTGGCGCCCGCTAGAATCCGTAATGCGCATCACGCCCCAGCTATCCTACCAACTGGCGCGCGCCGAGCACGCAGCGAGATAGGGAACGCGGCGACAGAGCGCAGGGACGCTGCGGCAAGCGCGCGTGCCAGTCGCCCGCGCCGACGGCTGCATTGTCGGGATGTGAGGACGTGATGGGAGGGAGGGAAGGCGCGGGGGGAGGGTGCCAGACTATGCCGTACGCCGTAGAGGCGCAGACAGCTGCACAGTCGCTAGTAGGACCGGAATGAATGGTCAGTCAGCTCTGCTACGGTCGCCCACCGGAACCCGCTCACTGACTCACCCCCGGGCCCCCGGCGTCGGCGTCGCGCGCGCGCGCCCTCCTCGTTATCATTCCGGTAGCGACGACCACCCAGTGGAACTGGAGTCGGGGGCGGACGCTGACGCAAACGCAAGCTCTCCCACTCGCAGACTTGCGAGCATGCAAAGCGTGCGCACTGGCTATTTTGAGCACGCGCACGCTTCCGTGCCACACTCATGCCTTACGCGGCGAATGGGCAGCTTAGAGATGACTACTACAGGCACGGCTCGGCCAATGACAAGGGGTACAAACGCTCTACAGCCTCGGTGGCTGACTGCGCTTCACAAACAGCGGGAAAGGGATAATAGGGCTGCTAACAAGGGCCCAAGGCCCAAGGCCCGATGCCCGATACGACGAGGAAAGAGAGAAAGAGAACAGAGCCACCCGCACTTCCCCCCACTGCGATAAACTCGGGGCGACATCCTGACTGCAAAAATGCTCCGCCCCGTCCCTCGGACCCGACTTGACGGATTCGAACCAAGGCCCCAGCTTCGAACTCCCAGGACTCAGCGATGCCCGCATTATGGGGCGCTTCTTGCCCGTAGGTGGTCGAGCCGGGATGATGGAAGGTGAAGTTCCAAGTGATGCACGCTCGCGTTCCCGGCCTCCTCCTCCTCCCCCTCCCGCATCGTGCCAGAGCGAGGTCTGGCACTGCTAGAGAGCTCCGTTAGAGTTCAAACTCTGGTCGAGCTAACGCCGCAGCAGCGGCGGGATCGGCGGACGCGGTGCTCGAGGTGCGTGCTATCTTGTTTCTCGCGTTGGCGCTGAAATGCTCGTATCATATAGGTTCGTGTGTGCCAGTGGACACTATAAGCAAGTCGACAACACGTTCGCCTGCCGGGTGTGTACGTGCGGCAAAGATGAAGCAGGTGTGCCCGTCCGTGTCTGGCCTCGCGACCGGGGCTCGCGGGTCCAGGTCGTGCAGCAGGGGTTTGCGGGTGCGGGTGCGCATGCGCATGCGCACGCACGAGGTGCGTCCTTCTCTCAGGGACATGCGAAGCGCGGTTGGCCCTCAGGCGAGTGCGAGCCGCGTGACACCGAAGGTGCGCATTCCAGCGATTCGGCGTTGTGGGCGACGATGTGCGTGTCCGTGGGTAGCAGAAGAATAGGGGCGAGCGGGACAAGGGTAGCGCGACGGGGGTAGGGTGGAGGAGGCCTGGGCTGTTCGTCGTCGTACAATAGCAGGCCTCCACCTTGTAAATTTACTTCTCGTGTGAGCGCAGCAGGTCGCTTTGCGCGAAATATATTTCTGGGACGGCATCGTGCAGCGTGATGAGCGGGTGGATACTGGTCTTTCTGGATACCGTTTTTGGCTTGTCGCCGATCAGGCTGCATGATTCCAAACATGGATAACAGGGGAACAGGTGTCTTCGTCGTGAGACGTTGGGCACACCTTCTCAAGCCAGAAGTGTACACGGCCGGAAGGGGGGAATAACATCTCCCGATGGAGGCGTGGACATGGAGCGCGTGTTTATGTGGGGGCGCGAGGCGGCGCCATTTGCGAGGATTCATCGCTGCATGTGCCCACGTCCGAGTCGAATCAGGGAGCACATCACGGATGCGCCATATGAGGTCGCTGCAAAACCTTGTGGGGCATCTTCCGACCTTACTTGTATGCGGACGACCATTTGTGCGAGGAGGCTTCTGTTCTTGTAGCTTCCGAGCCTAGCTACATGTAGTGTGAGTCTACTGTGACGCACGCAAAGCACCCGCAAGGTAGCTGATAGCGGACCGACGTTCTTCATATCTTAGGTTCGTTAGTTCTTCAGAGTTTTGGGTTCGTCAGCCTGGGTTCCTCGAGCGAGCGAAGAAGTGACTTCCATCGATGAAGATGGCAGTGGTGGTCGTGCGTAATTACGGAGCGTCTCCTATTGTATCCATGTTCCACTCAAGAAACCACCAGACGTGCTTCCTGTGGGTTAGCAACACAAGGCACACAATACGCGCGTGTGTATAGAGTTCAGTGTCAAACAACCAGTATAGCAACGGGGGCGCAATACGTCCGCCTATATACGAGGCCTCGTCGTCTACGAGGTGCCACATGTCGTAAACGATGCGCAGTAGAAGGGCAGAAGCCAACTCGGCATAGTAAGCACTGGCATGAGACGCCATTGGGGCGATAGTCATACCCCCTGCGCCAGTGCGCCTCAGGCGTAGCAAGCCGTCGTAAGATCGCAAATCGTCTGATGGCACTGTCCGAGTCCCTGTCGTGCTATGCGCAGCTGCCATGGCCCCTCGGTATGCCCGAGATTTGCCAATTTCCTGTGAAGAAGCTGCTGCCTCTAGTCTAGGAGCTAGACGCGCTGAGGATCCCCTCCACCATCAGCCAACTAGCCAAGAGCGAGCACCACGACTATGACGACGCACCGACGGCAATAGGGAAGACGGCAGGGCACACCGGCACTTGCCACCTCCTAACCTGCCTCCCTCGCTTTGCGCAGGAGCCAAGGCTCCCCCGGCGTCTGCGTGAAGCCGACGAGGTTGAACAACGCACACCAAATTGGGAACTTGTGCGACGACCAAGCACCGCCTCCTCCATGAGTCGTATACGATGACAGGTTGAGGTGCCAACGCGACGCAATTCTTCAGGAGCTGCGTCACTGTGTACGAAGCAGGCCTGAGCTGCGAACGGGCGTCGTTTGGGAAGGTCCGTCGGACTCGGTTCAACAGCTAGTGGATAGATAGCCTGGCTCTGGGTGCACGGCGTTGGGCCTAGCATTGTGGCGGCATCACCGGCGAGGAGCGTGCCTTGCGCGACGGGCATCCCCGATACAGATGTTGCTGTGCATCAGTACGGAACACTACAGAACATCACCACCAGGGTCGCGCGCTATCGACATTCCGTGCGAGAGACCCAACTGGTTGCCTGAATTTGGCGACAAGTCCTGATCGTGAGCACTTGATTTACAATTGCAACCACGTCTAGTCGTCTTCGATGAAGAGCTTCAGCTTGCCACAGTGGTATCGAGCCTGTTTCAAATGACTGAGATCTCTTCATGAATATGATGTCAAGTTGTGCGATACCATGCTGTAAGTGGCATACGTACGTACCGACGATCGGCTGATGATCTCACAGTACCGTCACAAAAAGTAGGATTTAATCACTCGAGGCGGGAGCGAGGCCGCGGTCGCTATATTGTCGAGCGTAACATCGACCAAGACATGCTGGTCGCAGGAGGCTGGTGTTCTCAAGCGCCCACACTGAGAAGGAGCAAAACGTCCCCGTGAGCGCTTGCATGGTGGGAAAACCCGACGTACATCGGATGCTAGACGCGGAGGAAGGGTGCAGACGCTCCTTGGATGATCTTCGGTGGTTTTACTGGAAACACGGACGATATCAGGTGCGGAAGGAAGCAGCGCGAAGGGTGCATCATGGGCTGCATCATTTGTTCAGAATAACGAACAACGGGGCTCGGATGCCCGGTACGCGCAAGGGGGGTTGAGCGTCATGCGCTGTACTCGTCCGACTCGCACCTCGAACACAATGCGGCGGAAATGGGAGGGCCGGGACGAAAAGCTGGTGCTGGTGCTGTCCGCGTGTATGAGATCCGTCAGACCGTGTGTGCATGGTGAATCTCTGGTTGCCGGAAAACTGTGTCTGGCAGCCTAGCCTCCGCTCCTGCATGGTATACTTTTGGTTGTCGCCGGGAGCAAATACCTATTGCCCCGATGGATTAACAAACAGAGCGGAAAGAAGAGTACGCAAATTTGACCAAATGATAACAGTCACGGCGGGGATCCGCCCAGCTCGCGTGCAGTCCGAGGGAGAGGGACTGGTTCGAGGCTATCAAGCGCACAGCCGCCGGGGATGGCGGGATAATACATCGATCGTACCCTGTCGTATTGGTGGTAAAGGAGCCGACGTGTCTCTTGCGCCCTCTCTCGGCTGTGGATAGAGAATCAGGAGCGGTTTCAACTGAATGAGGTTTGTCATCATAACTCTATCCCGAGCTGGCACGATCGAATGTAGGATCATTCAGTGCACAGGTGGCATACCTCGGAGACGATGCCATCTTCAACATTCACGAGAGGCGGCGTAGGCGACCAAGGGCGTGTTTCCAAATCACGATGCGAGCAGGGTTGGCCTGGCAGGGCAGGCGACTGATTCAGGCTATACGACAAATTCGGCAGGGGGATAGACTCACGTACTCAAATTGGGCACCCACAAGTTAGAGCGGCAGGCGTCTTGAACCAGGTTCCAGCCCTACGAAAAAAGAGGAAGGTTCCATTGGATATCAACGGGCAACAACAATCTGATGATTGTACCCAGCATAACGTTTGGGATCTCTCCCCTTCCAAGGGTCGTAACATCGCAGAAATAAGGATCATACCCCAGGTAGGGGTACTCGAGATGCATCTACAATTTGCAAGCACGACGCTGCAAGAGGGGTCAATACTGGACGGCACTGGACGTGACAGTCGTCCGGCAGGGTCCATCCCGAGGTATCAACTGCAGGGCCATCATCGCTGCCGTCTCGCCATCCGCCTGATCGAAGTCGAGGCATGTTCAACTCCAGGGTAAAAAAACGTCCACGTTGTAACGACGTCGCAGCTTGTCTGTGCGGTCTAGGTGCGTGTTCCCATGCGATCGTAATAGAACCCTTGACACACCCGGCAGGCGCGGATCTGACGGAAGGAAGGCTTCCAGGTTAGGAAGAGAGAAAGAAGAGCTCAGAAGATCACGAACGGCAGATGGGCAAATGGCAAGCCTACTCACCGGGGAGAGGTATCATTAGCTGATGTCGTGGCAGCCCTATTGTCTTATGGAGTTGACTTACTGTAACCTATGCAGCCGATGTCAGAATTTGTCGAACCCTGCCGATTATTTGGTATCTGAGATACACGCTGTCAGCCACCAAGTTCTTCTCAGAGGTCCAAGCTTGGAACCGGTCATCGCTCCGCCTAACAAAAACGTCCGTGAAAGCCGTAGGACCCGCCGCAGTCTGTCTGCAGGTTCATTCGACGCGACAGTCACTTGACCGCACGTCTCAAACAGAGACCACCAAGACGCATATACGGGCAATTTAGTCAAGGAAGCCGATGCATGTATGTCAAGGGAATGCATGACGGAGAGCAGCCGACCCCTGGAAAGCGACTTTTCCAGGCGCATTGGGAACTCAGCCCGAATACTCCATATGACGACCGATACGTCCTCAACAATCCCACAGGGAGGAGGACTACCGCGACGGAATATCATACACTCCATTCTCTGGACGATAAGGTTGCTTGCAGCTCCAGCTCGTGGTCAACATGGGCTCGGAGCGCCACCGAGACCAAGCGCGACGCCCGTGGCTCGACAGGGGTGCTGCCTGCCCGTTTGGGTACGTTTCAGTACGGCCGCCGAGGTAGAGGGCACTCGGCAGCTCAGGGTAGTAAGGGCGAACAAGATGTTCCAGTGGAGAAGCGGTGCGCCTTACGTTAATTCGTGTGTTAAGAGTAACGAACGGCGGATTGTCGAAGGTTATGCGGTGCGAAATCGCGCTCGTGGCGCTAGGGGAACCCTTCTGTTGAGAACCAGAGCGGATAAAAAGGGGTCAATACAATGATATGACAAGGATTCGTAGTCGTGGATTGAAGAAGAGTACCTTAGTATGAGGACACTGTGCTTCTGGTGCTATTTCATCTCGGGAGGGAGACGGCGTACGGTCCTTCCATGCAAGGCTCGGTCCTCGCTTGTTGAAGCTGTATGCAGTTCGTCTGGGGATGACTGGACAACTTCATATTGAACGTTGACCTAATTGTCGCTTGGGGGATGCGTGTGGGATTGTACCGAGAGGCCAGGTAGCACGCGTACCCTGAGACAGGTCATCTACTACATAAGATTAAATGGAGAAGGATATTCCGCAGGGATGTGTCTTTGAACCGAATCCAGTGCGCAGACTAGCTGCATGTTCCGGTTCGCCATACATGTTCTGATCGGGGACATATGGTAAATACTCGCCTGTGCAATTGTGGAGATGGGATTATTTGTCTGAACGCATCGTGGCCATCTCCGGGTGGTTGGTGGAATTGAGGCGGAGATGTAAAAGGGCCAACGGGATGATCGGCAAGCAGAGTTACACCCGGCAACGACTTTGAATTAGGGCGGAACGGTGATTAGACTGGCGGAGATCAGAAGGAGAGCTAATTTCAGCCTGTGTGTGATTTCTTCATCGAAGACAACAGCGAAGTCCTATCGCGACCTGTGCTCGTTCTCGAAGGCCGTGGCAGTACATGGCGATGTCCCCAAGGAGCTCAAACGCACCAGCCCCAGATACACGCTGCCTGGAACACGAACGCATAGCGAAAGCCAGTGCGAACACCAGAGTTCGACCTTATACCCCAGAGGTATCGACAAGGCGACAGGGACTCGAAGGCAGCGGAGACCGCGATGACCGAGAAATTGATGTCTCAGGGGGGCAAATTCATAGATCCACTGTGTTGGTCTCGCTCCGTCAGACATATATTATTTCATCTACCCCGGAGCAAAAGTGGCGTTATCGCGGTGCATACCGATTGATCTCTGTCATTCCATCGGCCATCCCATAGCCTGACCGATATATCACCAATTAGTGTTGACGGGTCAGGATAAATCCAACTGCAGATGAACTGCCTATATCCACAGGTCCAACAAGAATGAAGGACGCGTGGTATCGATAACAGGAAACCCTGTACAACGCCAGCTCTAGCAAGCAGCTGACGACGGATCTTCGAGTGTTCTTCGGCCTTGAGGCAATGGCGGTAGCCTCGAGGCAGACGCGACAACGTGAGCGAGACTGGAATATGACAAGTGAATCAGGGCCGACCAAGGAAGATATTGTGCCTGGAGCTGGGATACGGAGATTTGTCGCCCGTGTTCTCATAGCCATGAGGAAATGTCGAAACCACTTCTGGAGGATAGCACCGAACTGATTGGTGATGAGCTCAAGGATAAGCTCGTCAACAGCTCGCACCTACTGAGCGATGACGCTGCTGGAATGAGATCATGTAGACATCAACATCTGTCACAAGGTAAACATGCCGGGCCTGCCGCCAGCGGATACTTAGCACGGTGGGTCAACGGTGGTCCGCATCTTTTGACCCGTTCCGGACATGGAGACGGTTCGCACGTAGACTGCCTGACCCGGTGCTGTCTCTCGTCCATATCTAACGGACCAATCTAGGCACGTCGCATCCCCGGAACACACGGTGTCATGGCAGGACATCCAGAGAATCGCAAGCGCATCTGCCTCCTAGGCAAGTAGGTTCATGGTGACCAGCTTCAGGCTGCTGCTCGTCGAAGATGTGTAAAGTAATGAGTGACTAGTGCGGAATGCCTCGCATCAGTACATCTTCACACGCGGTTCTCCGGAATATCGGAAGCTTATATCAGCGTCAAATATGGCTGCGTGTAGCGTGGCCGACGGTGTCCCCATGAAAAGAGGAGACCAGGAGAGCCACGGAGCTGACATAGCGATGACGACGTCCTGATGGGTTCGGTGTAGAGGGCTTGTCGTTGGTTGGCGTACCCTCGCGAACGAAGTCGTAACTGGAACGACTACCTGTCAACCTGCCAATCTCCCCGGAGAACAAGGAGCCTTTGCCTAGCACGTCAAGTGACGACGAAGCTCATGCATCATGGTTCGTAACTCGCGTGTCTCTTCTAGCTGCCCCCGCCAACACTCCGCGACGAGAACGACTCGCAAACGTGAAACCGCGTCCTCGGCGATCTAGCCCTGTCCGAGTCCGAGCCACCTCGGATAGGGGGTGTTATCTGGCCCCACGAATCACTGGGCATGCAGCAGTGAACACCCGGTCAGCTTACAGGTGGAGGGCACTGCATCTCGGCAAAAAGAATGAGGTGAAACGGGCGTTTGATGTATGTGTTCAGAGCCAGATCAAGCCATGATGACCTGTGAGATCGTACTTACCGAGTCGAGTGCGCAGGGCGAATCTCGATGCGCCTCCGACCGGAGCGACGGAATTAATTGGAATATTATACCCGGAACAATTCCACTGGTGATGGTCACGAAGCGCGGGTTTGTTGCAGTGGAGGTGAACTGTGTTCTGTCGCGTGGGATTATGAATTCGTGCTGGTGGGGGAGAGGGGGACCCTTGGTGACGAGACGATATGATCTGGTCCTCCATCATGCCGTCGCCTCCTTCTCTCCAGTCACTCCTCCGGGCCCAGCCTGACATCCAAATCCCCCAAATACACCTCCCTTTTCAGCCACAATTCCCGACCCTCCCTCACCGCCTCCATCCGCTGTTATTTCTCCCTGTCCGCCGTGCCCCTGCTTGCGCCTTCCTCTTCCGTCGCTCCCCACTGCCCTCTCGTCCGCCATAACAGGACCCGGTTATTGTTTACATGGCTCTCCAACCAATCCCCTCGCCGTCCAGCGGCGACAGCCACTCTCCGTCTCCCGAGCTTCCATCTGACGGGACGTCCGCCAACGCGTCTCCCGTAACTTCCGCCACACCTCTTTACGCTCCTCCGCCTGCGTCGGATGAAGGCGACTCTCCCCAGGACCGAAGTACGAGGAGCACACCGACGCGTGCCATGTCTGATCTCACGCGCTCGTCCTCCGCCGGCAAGGGCGGCTGCTGGTACGCGTCCCTGCCTGTGGTTCCATTCCTCACGAGTGTCCTGACTCCCTCGCGCATCGTCCCACACGACCGCAGGACGTGCCGCGTACGACGTAAGGTGAGCAATCATCCCGCAGCCCGTTTCTACGCGATGCCTGTTCGCGCATGCTGACCTTCTTCCCGCGCTCCCCGTGTCCCCGCTTCGCCTTCTCGCGCTGCTAGAAATGCGACGAAGAACGCGAAGGCGACTCGTGCAAGACGTGTCTGCGGCTCCGCATACAGTGCCTGGGCTGGGGGCCCAAGCGGCCCGACTGGATGCGGGTGCGTCTATCAGACATCTCCACGCCACGCCACTGCAGGGCCGTGCTGATGTCCCCCCTCTCACCGCAATTATTCGTCTCATCGCCGCAATTCGACCGCGTTCGGCTGGCCGGTGCGACGTGCACAGGACAAGGAGAAGGTGGCGGCATACAAGGCCAGCATCAAGGAGCAGCTATCGCGTATGGGCCTCATCCGCGGACAGCCACGGCAGCCCTGGCACTCCGCTGGCCTCTCCGCCTCGTCGCAACCCGCTACACCAGGGGTCGCAGGTCCAGGACCGCAGACGACGCTGCGACGCACAATGAGTGCGCGCGAGACGACATTCCGCCGCGACTCATATATCGGTACCGGCGGCAGTGCGCCTTATCATATCCCCGGGATGTCGAGACCTATATCGGGTAAGCCTCAGGTCTTTCCTCCACGTCCTGCTGTCTGTCCTCGTGTCTTGCCCTCGTGCTGTTCTGCGAAGCTGTTGCGTCTGCATACGTGCTTGCGACGTTAGAGCATTGCCGGCAACGGGGGGCAGGCCAGAGATCCGACGTAACCTTCTCGGATTTTGGCGTCGCTGACTGTGCTTCGTGTAGATGCCGACCAATGGGGTCATAACGTCTCAGCGTCGTCGTCCCGCCACCATCCTTCAGCCTCACCAATGGCCTCGCTCCTCCACAACCACTCAACACCGAACATCAACGAGTCGCTCTATGGCTTCCCCTCGCCCCCAATGCCAATGGGAGCGGGCGACGACATACCTTACACCGGCTTCCTTCCACAGCAAGGAATGAGTATCTCTATGCCACCACCAATGCCAGCGCCCCCCGCACCGACGGTCCGCAGGGATGAATACATCTCATATTACTTCAAATACGTCCGAGAGTTGCAATATGTATTTGCGGGAGAGTCGCTCACGAACCTACTACTTCCTGTGAGTGTCCCTGGGCCTGTTGCCTCCAACACACAGGGCTCGGTGCCGCGGAGCCTGCTTTCTGTTTGCCTTTCCCCCCGTCGCTTCTTGATCAGGCGAAAGCCAATGATTGAGTTGGACACCCGGCGCGCGGAGACGGGATACATATTGGCTTCCCTTGCCGCCGGAATGGCGTTGGGCGTCGAGGATCATCGGGATCACTCGATGTCCTCGATCGCGATGCTTCCGCGCGCCAAGAAGACGTCGCCCTCCTTGCCTGGCCATGCACATGGCATGGGCGGCGAGACGATGGCGTTGGGCGCGGAAGGTCGGAGCATTGCAGCGCGATTTTGACTGACGTCCCTGACGATCTTGTCGCTGACCTCCTCCCGATCCACAGATCGTCCAGGCGGACCCCGATGGCGCCGTCGCCCTCTCCCTGTGCGCCCTCGCGGCGCTGCACCACGGACGGGCCCAGATGGCGCGGAGCACGCAGCCCATCCTCGAGGACCCCGACGCCGAGAACTCGCTCCCGCGGCAGTTCTACAACCGCGCGCTCTACCTCCTCATGCACTCCCCACAGACCAACGGCACGGGCCAGTACTCCGACTCCGACGCGGTCACAGCTTGCCAGCTAATCGCGTACTCGCTCCTGGGAGGCGGGTCCACCGACTGGGCGACGCCGCTCGACTACGCGTGCGAGTGGCTCGCCCAGACGGGCATCTACAACGAAGAAAACCCGAAGCTCGCGCTGCTGAACATGTCGCCTGCGGGCCGCTTCGCCGCGAAGGCAACGATGGTACGTCCTCCCCTCACTCCTGCCATGTTGCCACGGACTGCGCGCTGACTGACTTACCGACCGGTCTCGTCCACCCAGTACGCCGACATCTTCTCGAGCATAACGCTTATGCAGCCGCCGCGCTTCCTGTCGCTCTACAAGCGGCTCTTCGGGGGCGGCGCGGGCTTCTGGCCGATCAACACAAGCCCGACGGCGCACGCGCAGCACTCGGAGCTGCGCATGGACACCCTGTCCGGCTGCCCGGACGAGGCGCTGCTTGCGATTGCTGAGATATCCGCACTAGCACATTGGAAGGCAACCGAACTCCAGAGCGGTAGTCTAAGCATGCGCGAGCTCATCCGGCGCGGAGACGCGATCGAGAAGGAGCTGAGGGAGAGGGCGATGGGAAAGTCCGGAGATATTGAAGATCTCAAGACACCGACAGTGGCGTCGTCGTCGTCCTTGGCAGGGGGTCTCGATATGCCTGCCGGGTTGGCAATGGCGTCGTCTTCGTCGTTGATGTCGTCGCCGCAGCCTGGAATGTCGGGTGCCTCGAAGTCGACTAGGTCCCCAGTAGACAGCACGAAGCATATAATTGGAGAGATGTACCGGGAGGCAGCGCTCTTGTATCTGCATACAGTCCTCAGCGATTCTTCACCAGGTGAGACACTCACCGTCGTCCCTCGCCCATAGCGTCTTGCTTACCCTTCCCCCTTCCTTCTCCCTAGGCGTACCCGAGATCGCAACCAGCGTTGACCAAATGGCGAAGCTCCTTAACGAACTCCCTCCCTCCCGATACGACCGCGCACTCATCTTCCCCCTCTTCCTCACTGGCTGCCTGACGGACAACCAGATGATGCGGGAAGTCATCAAGCACCGCTTCTTCATGCAGGACGCGACCAATGGGAACATCCTACTCGCGCAGACGGTGATGGATGAGGTATGGATCCAGCGTGCGAACGCGATCCGCATGACGCGCCAGGGCGAGCACCCGCGCCTCACGGACTGGAGGCAGAGCCTCCGCCTGCAGTGGGCGAGCCTCTTCCTGGCCTAGTGGACACGCATCGCCGCCTTGTCCGCCCTATATGCGCCTGACCATCCTCTACACACCTCCACAACCACCTGCGACAATGCGCTGACGACGTTATATGCCATCTTATGACATGCCTTCAGAAGAAAACGACGTACCTTTATGGAACTCCCTAATCTGCTCCTTCGATTCTCTTCTACATTCCAACTCCTCCTATATGCGTAGTATACCCCGACGGGCAGAGGGCCCGTCTCCGCCATCGCCGGCTCTGGAAGTCTTGTATACGTCCAGCCTGGTTCATGTATCTTTTGGTTAGCTCTCTCCGTTCTGTGTCTCGGGTACTTTAAATTAGGATCGTAACATGCCTTGTATCATCTCCGTCCTATCCAATTATATCCCCTGTTCCACCCTACATCATTGGCGTGTCCTCTTCGATCAGACCGTGAAGTCGCGCGGATGAAAGGGCATACTGGGAAGGCTCAGTGAAGAACAGTGGAGGTGTGTGAACGGAAGCTTTCTGGGTCCCGAAAGCAACCATGAGCTTGCAAGCCGGAGAAGGAGGCGCCATCATCAGTCTTTGTGGGCATAGTTGGAGTTGGGCGGCGGGCGTTCTCACCTGCTAGGACGCTCACTTTCATGGGCGGTCTTGAGCGCAGAGACCTTCGGAGTGGCTGTCGGCATCCACATATGGAAGCGGATCAAGTTTTGGCTACCCGGGCGGTTCATGGGCGCTCAGCGCTCAGGCGTTCAGACGCCGCGCCGCGCACAGAGACATGGAAACGCGGCGCGCGGTGGGACTTTGCTTGACGTGGGCTGCTGCTCTGCTCGCGAGGCCACCGAACGAGCTGTTCGGAGAGCGCGAGCGGTGGATGGCAAAGTGGTAGAGGATAGACGCAAAGCAGATCAATATGTATGGAATGCGGCGCAGTTAGCAGTGGCATCATTGAGTGCATTGCATCCGGGCATGTCGATGTGCGCAGACTTGGAGATCTGGGGGCGATGAGTAGGCGTGCGCGATGTGAGCATGTTATCGGCGAGGTGACACGAGAGCGCAGAAGGCTGAAGACAGAGCGTAGGATGAGACGGCGGTGCAGAAGTATGTGGGGGAGAGGAAGGAGGAGAGAGCGAGAGGTATTTACCGAGCGGCCGGGGATGGATAGGGCCAATGAGGCTGCGGCGCTCAGCTCGGCTATCGGAGATCGAGGAGGATTGCCGTTAGCCGGGCGCATCGACTGCATTGACCTCCCTCGCCCTTTGCTTTTCTCCGCCATGCTCCTGCCGCCGCTGTCTCGCTCGAATGCTTGCCGTGGTCATCCTACGTCGCGCTCATGAGAATACGTAGGGTGGGGGTGCGAGCAATGAGCCGAAACTGTAAGTCTACGGGTACTTATGCGAACGAGAGGCCGCGCTCAATCGGCGTGATCTGCTTAGCCTCGCCGCCCTGGCTCATGCGCGCTGCCCGCCCATCTGCCCAAGCCCGTTCCTCGCTCGAAGTTCCTCTCGACCAAGTTGCTTTGCGCCCGTGAGCAGCATCCCGCAGTCCCAGCTTGATGCGACACACTCCTTGTGCTTTTGCCGCTAGTTCCTGCTGATCCTCGCTACCGAGCCCCCACTTCATTCAGCAGCAACCCATGCGCGGTCGCCTCGCTCTCGCCTCAACTCGAAGTTGAGAAGGTGGACTCATGAGCGCGACAATGGAAATGGCTGTGCGCGGTGCGTTCTATTCGCGAACTCAATCCAAGGTTCTGCCACCGCCCACGAAGCCTCCAACGGACGGTGGCTTCCCAGCGCGCACTCGAACAAAGTCAAGAGACCTCCCCTTTGCGCGCGGCCCGCCTTTTTTTTTTTGACGCCGCGGCTTTGGGCCCCTTCGGGCCGGCATTGCAGTGCGATACAGTGGCACATCAGCGCGCTGCAAGCCTACATTTGATTCACCTCAAGCGCAGGTCTCGCGCGGCCTCGAGAGGTTCAACGCTCGCGATGATCGTTACTGTCCGTGATGGCGAAGACGCGCGTGAGTGTCTGGGTTCCCTCACCGTCTCGGCATACCCTGGGCGCGGCCGAAATTATCGTACACGTACCTCAGCCTCAGCCTGTGCAGCCCATTGCGTTGACAGCAACGTGCGGTTTCTTCGCGAAGTCGGTGACCGTCGGGGTAGTCTCATCTACACCGCAGCCGCTCAAGTTACATTGTACAGACGGGGCGCGCCTCGCCCCGTTTCACCGTAACGCCCACATCGGGCCCTGTCCACGTCCTGTCAATGTCACTGCTACTTTCCGACGACATCTTGCGTTGAAGGCAGCCCGTCGAGCTTCTCGTAATCCGGAAGCACTGAGGTAATCACGCGTAGGCCGGATTCACTGCCAAACCTTCTCTCTCCCGCCCACCGGTCCTTGCGACCCCATGGAGCTACAAAACAGCGTGGGCATGGAGCTCATGATGTACCAAACCTCCGAACACGACGCTCGGTCTGACGCGGTGTCTCTGTCACCACATCTCGACAGGTGACACGCCTACCGCTCCCCCACCGAGCGTGGGCTCTTACAGTGCATCACCGGTCTGCCGCCTGGGAGCGGTACCTCACCTGCGAGCGAAGCCCACGGTGACGTACCGGGACCTGTCCGGATGCGCTCACATCCTAAACTAGGTTGACAAGGTTGGTCGGTCGTTAGGGGGGACTACGTGGGACGGCCGCAGACGTTCTCTGGACACTGGACCATGGACGCATGACGCTTGCAGGGCCAGGCAGACGCGAGACTGTTATTATTACTCCCGCCCCCCCCCAGGTCGGTGTCGTCTATTCCCCGACATACGAAGTCCATTGTTGTCCCTCGTGCCTGTCTATCGTATGGTCAGTGGACGCTATATTTGGGTTTCCAGACACCATCAGCAGATGCTATCGTGTCTGATACCGGAAGAGCACTGTGCTAGAACCTGGATCCTCTTACATGCTGGGAGCGGTTGCATTTAAATATACACAATGCCTGTCGCGTGGCCGACTGTGACCGACAATGAACAGTCGCCCTAAGTTTGGCCGAGTCAGATACACGCATCAGAAAGTGCAAATAACGTGGTTGTGGTCGGTGCTTTTGTTGTCGGGTTTCTTGTTCTTCATCGCTAGCCAACTTCCGCAGAACTTTGATCACAGCACTCTACTATTCATGCCCCGGATATCATAATTTCCGCAATCCACTGTGACTTGATCTCTAAAGACCTGTGCGTTTGCGGTACATTTGGGATCTCGTCTGTCCGTCAAACAGCGCACCAGCGCAGTACTTGATACATCTCCCTTGCGGCTCTTATCGCAGCCACTGGCAGGTACGCGTGTACACACTCGGTCAGGGATGTACGTCCGCAGCCAGCTGGTACGGTGATTCACAGTAGCTATACGCGACATGATCATCTTGCCGTCTGAGCACTTCGCACCCATCTTAGGAAGCTCTCTATAAAGTAGTATCGACGTTTCAATCCATGTGCTGCACCTAGGGCTTAGTCTGCATCGTCAGATCGTATCTGGGCATGCATCTGGCGTCCATATAGACGATTGCATCGTAGCCTATAGTACACAGTACCATGGTAATATACACTATCAAGACACAGCTAGGAGTAGCAACGACTAGACAAAAGGAGAAAGGATGGAGCAAGCACGACAAGATGAATATAGTACAAGGAAGAAAAAGCATCTCGTAGTACATATACACGGATCTGGTTTGGGCATATCGCCTACAGCTATACGTGATGCGAAGGTCCGTCCGATGCAGAAGATAGACATGAGATGGGGATGAAGATGACAATGGGAAGGTGATATGATGAGAATAGAAAGTAAGCACTAGTCCGAAAAACCCAACACATATCACACGTCAAAAGTCATAGACGAACCGGGAAAGAGATGAAAACGAGGGGGAACGAGAGAAGGGAGCAGTGCATGTCCGTCCAGCCATCCATATCAGGATGTCAGATGATCATACGCTCATACGCATACTTGTCGTCCTTTTTGTTCGATCGTGTCCGGAACACGGAAAGTCGGATGCGAATCGAGTCGTTGACGGCGAGAATGACCCACATCGCCAAGAAGGGTACCTAGAACGTGTTGACCCTATATAGGGGATTGCATAGCCCGCGAGATGTGTCTGGGGTTCCGGGGTACGCGGCACCCCATCGTAGACGTAACCGAGCCACGATGCGGGCCAGAACCCCGCGCTCGGAGAGCACGGAGGCGGGGAAGTGGTGTTGCGTCATACTTGGAAGCGGAGGTGCATCGCGTCCTTAAGGGTCTGCCATCGTGACCGTTGTGTTGTGTCGGACTCCGGGAAGACGAACTCCCACCTGTAGCACGCACGAACGGCATGTCAGTGATTTGCTCACGGAATGGCCACAAAGAGCGGCTTGAAAGGGCCAGAAACGCTCGGACTCTCGATCAAGTCCGAAGGTTCCGGTGAAAGCGAAATGGGGCAAATGGAATGGAATACGATGACCGCGAAGAGAAGTGACGCCAAGAGCGAAGGAGAATAACAGAAGATGAAGGGAGTCAAGGAAGACTCACCGGATGACCAGGTCACCCTTCCCGATAACCTTGCCGTCCTTGCGAATAGGCATCCCCGCACCGAATATCCGCGTCCCTTTCGCAGCCTCGACCAATGTCTGTGGAATCGGGAGCGTGTACTCCTTCCCGTCCAAGCCCATCACATACACCTCGTCCGCCACCGCCTGATCGTGCGCGTGACCATGGCCGTGGTGTCTGAATTTCCCCAAACCGAACTTGTGGCCACCAGGTCCGTCCGCTGGCCCGAGCAGACTATCGTCATCATCGGCGTCGCCGGGCTGACACGGTCTCGAGTGCGCGTCTACCCAGGGAATGCGGACAGGCAAGACGAGATGATCCCCGTCCCGCGTAAACCGCGCATGAGGTGCTTCAGCGATGACGAAGACGATGTCCTGGAACGAGCCATCTCTCCGCTGATTCCCAACGCCCTGTACACGAATGCGTGTGCCCGTGCGCCAGCCGGGCGAGACCTGCAAGTCGATCTGGACTGTCTGGGATCTGCTGGTGGACTTCCCTGAGCATGTGTCCGCGGGGGAAGAGCGCAGGTTGCGCGTGATGCGATATCGGTGCGTCGCGCCGAAATAAAGATCTTCAAGCGAGAGGTGAAGGGGGAATATCCAATCTTTTGCGGGATTTGAGACTGCCTTGGGGGACCGGATAGGCTTCAGCGGCGCTCCGAGGTCGATGAACTCATAGTCGTCCTCTCCTAGCGAAGGCTTCTTCCCCTTTCCACGGTGGTAGTGCCGGTGCTTGTTAGCCGGAAGCGAACTGAAGAGGATCACGAGGTCAGGTGAGCAGCAATTCGCGCAGCAAGAGTTTCCAATCACGCACCCGTCCTCCAACGAGGAATCATTATCGCTATCGTCCAGATGAACTGTCTTGAATGGGCGTGGAGATTTGGGCGCAGCAGAGGGTGCGTGGGACGATTTGGTTTGAGAACGCTCCGCTTTGGGAGAAGAGTGTGACGTATCGCGGTCACCAGACTGTCGCGACCTGGTGCTGGGACGCGCTTCATGCTTGTGGGTGGCATCCGTATGTTTGTCGGCATGGGTATGAGAGGGTTTCGCGGAGTACGAATCAGATGAGTGGTTAGATCGTGCTTCCCCAGGTTTCGCGGCATGCGTCTCTTTAGGCTTTGCGGGGGGCATCTCCGTGTGCTTCGCTGAGGAATCGCTTGCACGGGAGCCGCGCGATGACGAAGCGTTTGATGAGGAGCTGGACGACGACGATGACGCGCTAGGTGCCGACCCCGCCCAGAATGGCCGCCAAGTGGATGCGCCGTCCTCTTCCTTGTGCGACTTCTTACGCTTGTCACGCTTTTTGCACTCTTCTACAAGAGCTTTATAGGCATCGTTGACCTGCGGCACGGAGCGCCATTGAGCCCGAACGTTTCTTGGCTGGCGAGAACAATGACTACGCACCTCAATGAACTTCTCCTTCGCCTCCTCTGGATCGGCGTTGTGACGATCCGGATGCCACCTGAGGGCCTAAAACCATCTTCAGTAGTGGATACGCTTTCTGAACAAGGACCTACTCACGAGTTTCTTATAGGCCACCCTAACGGCATCTCCATTGAGATCTTCCGGCTTGAGACCTAGCGTCTCAAGGTGCTTATTCACGTCTGTTGCTGATGCAGGCATAGTGCAAGCAGGGGGTATAGGTACAGACGCTGTTAGCTACGATGGTGGTGGAGATAAAAGCGGGAGTAAATAGCGAGGAAAAGTGACGAGCAGTTTCGGCTGGGGAGAGTCGAGACCCGCTCGGTTATAAGTCATTCGAGTAATACGACGAGCTGCAGCGCGTGTCAAGAGCTCGGATCTACTTCTTTAGACCAAAAAGGTGACGGTGGACAAAAGAAGAAACGCGACCCTCCGCGGGTACGCCTCGTGGGGAACATGCATGATGAGAGGCACACTAAAAACGGCGAGGACGCAGATCAAGACAGCGGCCCAGCTCAACAAAGCGGTCTATGCTTGCAAGCATGTATCGCTGCCATTCTTTCGCTTTGTGGCACATGGGACATAGGCAGGCCATTTGGGAAAGGGTAACCTCCAGATATCCGGAAGACTAGGCGAACACTGTCCAGGTGCTGTAACCTGCCTGCTGGCGGGCATGTGCTTCGCTTAGCGGTGCCGAGCCTGTGAAGAGAATGGATATGCAGCTGAACGCTTCGGAGTTGATTTGGACGTCACGATTGTCGGACTGGTCAGGAAGTTCGGCCGTGCATGCGACCGAGGGCCTTGACCGCAATGGACACCACCCTAGAGTTCGACCATTAGGGAGATATCTTGGTGCGAACCGACTTGTGGATCAGCATTGCGATGTCGCACGAGGTGTACTTCGAAATGCCGAGCAAAATGCGACTATCGAGCGTATGCCTGAACTGGGGAGATGGACGGCGCAATGGGATCATCAGGAGAGCGGGATTGTCGGTGCTAGAGATGGCAGTCGGCATCGGTGGCATTCGCTCGGCTTCTTCCGTTGCCCCTTATGATATGCGCTGTTGTTAGCGAACGAACCTCTCTCCGAGCCAACAACCCGCAGGAACTTGCTACCCTGCGTGCTGTCACTGTCATGGGCTTATTGCAACAGCGGAGTCCTCCTTCTCTCTGGCGTGCCCCCTGCGTTGTTTGTGAGGCGTTACAAGACACATGTACAGCGAGACCTGGAGCCTGGAGACCGTGCCGTGATCTATTACATACACAGTGCAAGACCCCAGGTACGTCGCCCATTCACTGTCTCCACTTCCCTCAGGTCGTTGCGAGGCCTAAACAGATCTTTCTGGGCAATGAACATACTCGAGGAACACGGCGGAAAGCCCCAAACGCGACTTCTCCGAGGACCGTATTACTGGTCTGCTCTGTTATCAATCGACGCGCCGTATCCTCCTCCCTAGTTGCTTCGAAGGGCTGTGTCCATGGGAAAGACCATCATGAGAGAGGGACCAACGAGTCCGTTGCCCGTTGTGTGATCTTTGCATGCGGCCGTTCGCCGGCGTAAGGTCTGCCAGTTCCCTCGTTGTAAGATGATGTCGAAAAAATGCGTGCCGCTCTCTGCAGATAGTGTTGACTTCTGTTGTTTTCGTCTATCTGCCGGGACTTTCTCGATCTCTTCCGCTTGGACCCTTTGTGGAGTGTTCTATCGGACATTGGCGTGGCAGCAGTCGCGCCGTTACCACTTCCCAATGCCCTGCATCCACCACATTGCGCTATAGCCTCATAGTGGGCTCCTTTCGAGCACGGCGCCCGAGGGTTCAGTCGTTGCTTCCCGGTAATATTCATGCCTTCCATAAGGTGCGTTCTCCTCCTGTCGCCGAACCGTTTCCACGAGTGTTGTAGTAGCACTCGCTTCTGCTATCCCCTTCTCAAGCAAAGCCCTCGTGTACGAGATGTACTGCCCTTAGCTTTCCTCCTCTTTGCAAGGATGTCTGTGCGTTCCTGCGTGGTACTTCATCTTGATCATGCCTTCCTCATAGCACATGTCTGATACTTACTGTGCATGGATCGTGCCGTAACTGCTACGCCGAGTGAGCTGGCCTCAAAGGAATTGGAGGAACTTCCTCCCTTCTGCCGTCCCCTCCGCCCAGTCGCTGTCACAGCACGCCCTTCCCAAATGGCACCCGTCTCTCCTCATAGATAGACCATGGGTAACATGAGTCTTTGTGCCGACGTTTTATAATGTAAGTCGTTCATGAATACTATGCATAGCCCACAACGCTGTAGCACAGGCCACATATTGAGGGGCCTAGCGTCGTCCGCTTCGCGCTATCGGTGGGAAGCGGGGCTATGACTGTCTAAGCTAACTCCTGAATCTCTAATAGCATGTCAAGTTATTGGCTTTCACCTAACGACGTTGAGGTGCAGGACACTAACCACAATCGGGATCAAGATCCACCAGTCAAACAACTCTCGGAAGCAACTTCCTATGGAAGCTTTGAAGGCCACGATCGACCTCGGCATCCGCTTGCAAGAAGCTACCCTGGAGTAAGTCCTTCTCACAACTATCTCTTGGCCTTTGACATGTGGACAGGACACAAGGACACGTGAGAATGCAGGCCGGCATTGGGCAAGAACCATCCACATCGGGATATAGGTACGAGGGATTGGCTGGGCGACGAGCCGGAATGCGATAAGATGGCAATGATAGGAGTGTCCGCAGGCCGTCACCTGAGAACAACATGGTCAGAGGTGCTGCACAGAAGCAGGACCCCCGGCAATAGGCCCAAATGTATGATCCAAAATCCTTGAATCCGGCCAAAATTGTCCGATGGATCAGGCCTTGTCTGAGGCCAAATTCGTCCGGATTTGACCAGGCCTCCCGATTTTCGCTCAAATTTGGCCGGACTCTGGATCAGGCCATCGGGAGGTCCAAAATTGTCCGGATTCGCTGGATCAGGCCTCCTGAAAGCAGATTTTCGTCGGGGACCGCTGTAACCATGCTGATATTGACTACAGGAGTGGGATAGCATGCAGGAGAGGTCGTAGATAGAGGTATAATGTAAGGACGCAAGGAGGAGCTCGCATACGGCACTCTAGATGTCCGGCGCTACATTCACCGAAGAGTGTACGAAGGGTCTCGTTCGGAGGATCTTCGCTGAATGCATGTGAGGCCTTCTGAGAGGTGAGTGCCGATGGACGAGGGGGAAGATCTGTGCAGAGCAAATGCAGCACGGAAGTGTGGGGGTTGGGCATGAGGGTGTTGTATTCCGGGGGGATGGTAAGAGCGGCCTGACGTGCAGCGAGGATGAAGGGTGGTGTCTCAGGAGCAGGGTATGTCTTTCCGCAGGCAATCCATTCAGATGGAACGAAGGTTCGTGTGTCGCTGCTGGGAGGGTCGTCATCGGAGATGAATATAGTTGAGCTTCTAGACATAGGGATTATAGCGAGCAGTATTAAGTGACGGCGTAGGCTAGCAATAGCTCGTTTGTCTTCTTGCGATTCGAAATGCTCCTGACGTTGTCTGCCGCCTGCACAGGTGTGACATTGGGAGATAGACTGAGTAAGGAGGTGTCACACTTCGGGCTAGATGTACAACAACCTATATTACACACATGGATGGCTGTGACACGAAGTAAGTAGCAACAGATAAACGTAGGTATAAGGACGTATAAGTAAGTGCGCCAACGACATTATATCCTCAAGGCCTCCCCGGACCGGTCCTCTCCCGACAGCCGCCTGGGATCAGGCCTCGACCTGAGCACGTCAGATTTGTCCGGAGTATGGCGCAGGCCATCCGCAAATTTTTGGTCGATTTGACCGGACTGGACCAGGCATAGGCCTTTTTGAGGGGCCAATTTCGTCCGGATCAGGCATCATACATTTGGGCCTATTGCCGGGGGTCCTACAGAAGCCTGGTCCCAGCTCGAGAAACCGATCTAAGATCTGGAAGCTTACTCAGGACCGTATCACCCGACGCGTAATTACAGTCGACACCCTCTTAACCCATAGCCCTCGGGACAGGCCCAAATATATGGGTTTTGAGGGGTTATGGGCTACCAGAACTTTAGCGCCTCATAAGCGCCCTGATAAGTCCCAGTTAGCGAGGGCTGAACAGGCGTCTACTGACCCTTTGAGGGAGCGCTATGGGATTTCGAACACACTAACCTACCCACAACATTGTCGAAGCGTGGATGGACACTGGGAGGACACTGGGAAGAATGTGTCAAGTATTTTGTGGGTTATTGATGAGCAAAATCTCAGTGTGACCACTATTACCGTATGGGTTTTGAGCCCTAGAAGGCTATGGGTTATGGGGTATTGGGGACCTATGGGTTATGGGGTCGAATTCCCCCTATCCCGACTTGGGAAAGCCAAAATCCTATGGGTTTTCTGAGTTTATGGGTTACCAGGGGTATGGGTTAGGAGGGTGTCGACTGTATATGATACGACGTTTTGGGCGACGTCGCAAACGATGTTATAGTGCTAGCGAAACAGGCGAGATGTCTTCGATCAGGTGCGACTCCTTGCAGAGGTGAGCTAGATCTGTTCTTTCACGAGGTTGTAGGTAGAGAGAAGACAACATCCGAATTGCCTAGGGATACCGTCTTTGTCTTCCCTGATTATATGGACCTACATGTATAGGGAATCCAGAAGCACTGTCGGTATTCGACGCAAGAAGCGCAAAGTCTTGATCGAGGGATCTTCTACGGACTGTACATAAATCGATCGGTACCATCGTCACTTTGAATTGGTCCCCTCAGAGCATATACCTCCGAGATGGCAATCTCGGCGAACCCCAGTCACACGATTGTTTCCATCATATACTCCGTTTCTTGCGAGAAGCACTTGCATACCTAGTACCCCTGTTGTGCCGAATCTGGTCCAAGGACCGCACCTTGCAGGGTCCTTAGGCAGTGACAGGATACTCAGAGAACCATCGATAGCATCATGCTGAGACCGAGAGTCGACTGGGGAGCGGGAAGACCAGTCGCGCATTCTTCACAGCCGGTCCACGCAATCACAGCGCATACGCACAAAGTACGTTGCACTGCCTTTCAACGAACACGCTGAAACCTTCGACGAACGCCGTCGGTACAGGACGCTCCACCAGCATGAATATCATCAATAGGAGTCGAGGACAGGGCAAGACCTCGTATGGGCGGAGATGGGGTGCAGGGGTGCAGGAGCACAGTTCTGGAAGCCATCGACGTCAATAATGAGTATTCTGAGTACAAGTCCATGAGCACCATCCATTAGTCATGTCCGTTAGAGTACAACAACGTCAAAGTGAGTACAAGACGGTATAGAGATAGTGATAAGTATTCGGGTATACCAAGGGTATGTGTCGCAAGTGTTCCATTATCGCCAATGAGGGGTCGTGGAAAGTAGCAGTGATTGTAGGTCGAGGTCAAGGTCTAAGTCGGGGAGAGGGGGTATAAGCCTAGTCGGCGCTAGTGCTCGCAGGGAGCTGGGTGATGTCTGGGGTATCCTTAAAATGCCAACGGACTACGTGATTGTCAGGATACACTTCACAGTGAAACACGAAGACTTACGAAGTGTGTGTTCTCCCGCGTCATACGCGTACCCGAAGAAGCTCTCCTTATGGAAGCACTTCGTCGGCCAACGCATATCTGCCGAGTATGCCTCGTCGACATCGTCCTCGTCCGCCTCGTCGTCGCTCTCCTCATCCGTCCCGTCTCCGTCCTCGTCCAGGTACGAATACGCATCGTACACATCCGGATAGTCATTCCCGCCATACTCCTCCTGGACCACCCCGTTCCGTGCTGCCTCCTTGTGCGCCTTGTACTCCTTCTCGACGGCGGCCCACGTCGCCCATCGCGGGATGCGCGCTCGGCGGTACCCCGTGCGGACGCCCATCCGGTTGACATACCGGCACTCCGTCGCGACGTAGAGCGAGGAGCGCGTGTCGTCCCATGCGAGACCTGCGACCGCGTTGTTTCCCGTCGAGAGCTCGTACACGCACTCTTCGGCGCGGATGTCCCACGTCTTCACCTGCTGCGTGATGTCGCCCGCAGTGAACAGGGCTGCGCAAGGGAGCGAGGACAAGATGAGTTCCCTCGTCCCCGTGGCACCGAACTCGAGAAGCACTCACTTGGGATACCGTCAGGGTGCACGAGCACGACGTCGTTGCATGCCTCGCGTTGCAGACCCGTGTTGAACGTGAGCACCGGCAGTGGCCGGCGCACGTCGAACAGCCTTGCGTACCCATCGCTTCCCGCCGTGAGGAACACGTTTGGGTCTCCCTGGCTCGTTGCGAACCGCTCGACTTCGCCGCCGTGTCCCAGGTAGCGCGCGACGCGCTTGCCGCCGTGCTCGAGGTCGACAGACATGCACGCATACCCGCCGGACTCCTCAGCGTGCTCGCCGCAGAGGAGATGCCCGCTGGGCTCGTGCAGGTGCCATACAGCGGGGAAGTACGCAGGATCGGAGGCGAGAGAGACGATGCTGCTTGGGGGACTCCCGGTAGATCTCTCAATCTCGCTGGTGTCTCCGCGCGAGCTGCCGTCCAGTCTGAGCGTGCCTTCACCGATGAGCTTCCCTGGAGAGTCCTGGTGTGTTTCAAGGGCGTCTAGGGTCCAAATCGCGACCTTGCCTCTCCCAGCGCGCGCAAGGCGACCGTTGGGGAGAAGCGCGAGCGGCCCGTCGCAGTCACACTGGCTGTTCATAGTGTGCACGTTCGGCAGGCGTTTCGGAACCTTGCCCGACGCGGCTGGAGCGAACGAGAATGACTTGACGCGGTGGTCGTCAGCGAGGAACACCAGCTTGCGCGATTCATCTGTCGCGATGTAATTTGCGACGTCAGACAGACCGGGGTCCATCGTCACGCCCTCGAGAAAGTCCGACGATTGGTGGCCGAGGAGGTAGTAGTGCAGCGCCGGCTCACGCGCTTTCCACCCGCTCCCACTAGCTGTTGCGAGGATGTTGCCACCGGAAGACAACGACATGTCGAAAGGAACTGAGGGTATGGTGCTGTCGACTGTGAGCTGGGCACGGGCCTGGTATATGCTATGGGCCAGCGGTGTATTTGGGGTTGCTGAGGGAGCAAACCCACCGCGGAAGCGGGACAAACGCGTTGACAGTGGGTGAGGCCGGGGTGACTTCGTCCATGGGCGGATGCGGACGAAGGCTGGCAGCTTCGGCGTCGCTGATAGACCGGCATACAAATTAGCGAAAGAAAGTGAGCATTCATATGACAGTAGTAAACGAGTCGAACATGGGCCTATACGTCTATGCTATGCCCTCCGTCCCTTCCTTCCTATACGCTGATGAAATGGCACTCACGAGCTCCGGGTTTCAATAGCGAGGTATACACCTTGAAGAAAGCATCGAGGATGTCGGAGCCTATTCTCCTGTTCAACAAGAAATGTATCCGTAGCAGCGCGAGAGCAACACACCTGCGTGTTCCAGGGCATCCTCCACTAAAGGCTCATCCTCGGAGTGTGCGAAAGAAATGGTGTTCGAGAAGCCGCCGTCCTGACTATACGCGTAACGTAAAGCGTCATTAAGCACACCGTGGGCGTTCTCGACGACTTCCGCGAACTCCGGGGCAACCTTCCTTTCCGCGTCCCGAACGACGGTGCAGACGTCCTCGAGAATCCTGACGAGCTTCTTGTTCCTGGCCTTGCGATCCTCTCCGCCAGATGTGTCGGACTTGTGCGCCTCGAGATGCACGGCCAGCCGATCGAGGAGTACTAGCCACGGTCCCTGCTGAGCCGGGGCCATAGCAGCAAGGCCGGAATGAAGAATGTACAGGAAAGCAGAGACAATACTGGCCAGCAGAACAAAACGGTCGAGGATCAAGCAGGGAAGAGGACATCTTTCCCCCCTGGAGATGGCTCTCCAGTCCTCGGCGCTCATCCCGACGCTGTCAGGCCACAGGACGAGGTTCCAGACCGTCGCGTAACATGGGCTGATATGATGGCTACAAGCTTGAGGCACATACAGAGTACTTGGCTCCTTATGTCCTTTGAAGGGGCGAGTCACAGTGCTTTGCAAAAGGACTGCCACTGTGGCACTCCCTGTACTTCGCAAATCACTTGTAGCCTCGTTCAGGAACGACACAAAGACAATTCAGGAAGATGCGAGATGATAGGCAGACCATGGGCTATGTTTCTACCTTCTACTCCACAACAATGGAAAGCGTATGGACATTGGACACGACTCAAGGCTTGAGACTCAAGGTACTGTAGACAATCCATGTACATACCGAGCCGGCGTCTCCATCTCTCTCTCAGGGTGTGCACATCTCGTCCTGGACCGCTCACGATGCGCCACCCCCGCCTTTCGACGACAGCTTCGGACAGATACCTGCTTGCTTAGTACCATCTCGCCCCAAGAATACTCGAATTCCGCATAATGTTCCACACTCTGCCACGAGATACACTGGATTACATCGTTGACTACCTGCACGGAGAGGAGACATCTCTTCCCTCACAGCCTCTTCACTTGTATGCAGGCAGGTCCTTGTTACCATCCACGCGAACCCACCTCTTTCGACTCCTGACATGCAGGCCATGCGTACCAACCATGTCTGCCCCCACTATCGTCTCGTGGCTATTGCATTGCCCCGACGTCGCGCCGTATGTGCATGAGCTCCGGATTGAGGGTCCTGTGGCTGGCGCATTCCCAAATCAGCACATTGGTGGTGAGGCAAGACGACCTTGAAGCACTCCTGCGCCTGCTCCATAACCTCAGGGACGTTGACATCAGTCTGGTCCTTCTCCGGTCTTTCCCTCCCGGAGCCTCTTTCCTGGTTCCCTTCAACACACCCCCTCAGGCGACTGACCATTGAGGAGTGCAAAGGCCATGCCGTCAATCCTGCTGATGTAGTCTCTGGGATCTTTCGGGTCTTTGCTTTACTCAGCACCATTGAGGTCCTTCGTATATGCGATATATCGATCTCCGAGACATCAATCGACGCGCACTCCGCCTACTGGACTCAGCTACAATCTCGTCTGCACGTACAGAAGTTCTCGGTAGAAAGCCGTGTCCTTAATGCCATTCTCTATGATATAAAGCTCGAGCCCATCATGCGACTTCTCGTGCGATACGTCCTCCACATCCCCTCGCCGTGTGGGCTTTGGCTCGAGTCTGGGGACCCTGCAGGTGGTGCTGCCCTCGACACTCTCTTGGGCGACCCACGCTTCCAATTGCGAGCCTTCGGCTCAACGCTTCCACGCTTGCAGAATATATGAATGTGATAAAGATAGAATGTAAGCCTACTAATCGAGGTCCATTACTTTCTCAACTTTTCATGGATATTGCAAGTCACAGAGCTGCCAACCTCGTGATGGCGTTTACCCGCACTGGGCGCCTCGAAGATCATCGAGCGAATCACCCTACGATTCGCCCCCGACCCAGACCCAAGGCTGAATCGGCTCGGGAAGACTATCATCGCCATGAGCACCGGCATCCTACGTTTTGCGCCGCCGAGTGTACTAGAGGTCGTCCTGCATGTCACCAGGGTCCCTCTCAGACCCATGCCGCACGAGAAGGCCGTGCGCTCAGTGTTGCATCGCCCTGACGGGCTGGACTGCAGTGAGCTTGACGATGCGCTTGACGCGTTGCCTCGTCTGAGGACGATAACTGTTCTTGTGGACGATGACGATGGCGAGCGCGGTAGATGCGTTGAGCCTCTGGTGTTCGGCTGGACAAGCCTTCTGCGAGACTGGACGGTAATCAAGCGAGCGGCGGAAGTACATGGCGTCCTTGGAGAAGGCGCTGCCTCGATCGTGAGTCGACGTGAGGCTCATGGTGGTACATGAGGATGCCAGTGAGAGCTTCTCTGGCTGCGCGCGCGCGCATCCTGATATCGTGTTTCCATCTGACTCGATGTCTGATGACTCCGATTACTGTGAGCGGCGGTGAGTGAAGGGGCAAATCGGCAACGGGATGGAAGAGTCTGTCGAGTTGGAGTGGGAGTGAATGTGTATGATACGGATACGCAATGGAGCAAGCCCAGTGGGGGCGCTACAAGTAGAGGGAGCGACGCGCGCTGCGAACGTGACCGCGGCGCGACGCGTGCAGGGAGCAGATCTGGCTTGGCGATCGTCCACCGTCGGCCAGTGCCAGCGCTCGTCGCTGCCTCAGCCGTCCTCGCCCTCGCTCTCGACCGCCCACTCTCGCCTCGCCCGTCCATCGTCCTCCCCTCTGCTACATAGATGCCGGTATACACCCCTGTCATATGAAGCTGGAGTCTGAGTCCCGCCATCGACAGCTGGCCAACACTCGCATCACTTCTCGGGGCTCTGGTCACCCTCTCTGACGATTTCCCGTTACGACTGATCAGGCCACATATCGCCGCCCGCCGTGATCGTCAACGTATATCTCAGGGTACCGGTGCGTTCAGCGTCCTGCGCTCACCGATCATTCTTCCAACTGCACCCTATAGAGCCTATTGTGCCCGGGGAACCCTTGCCCACGTCCTTTAACGTCTTCGCCGCCAGCAGGCCCAGACAAAGACCGCTGCCACATCTGAGATGGCCATTACGCCTGCGATGAACCGCTCCAAGCGCCTCACATTTGTATACTATTGCTCGGGACATGGTGAGTATGCTTGCAATGTCTTGTGTCTGAAGTGCTGGGACTCAACAACGCCGCCTTTGAACTCGTGTGCAGGATATGGCCACGCTACCCGTGTATCCGCTTTTGCACGCCATCTCCTCAGCCTCGAATCTCAACCTATCGTCCACATTGTATCTTCAGCACCCAGGCACGTTTTTGCCGACAGTATAGCACTAGGAGGTACGTCGCTGTCCTGTCTTCATCTTCTCACCACGGCCCTCTTCCCTACGTTGTCTTGCGCGATGTCATACACGCCGCGTGATGTATGTGTACGAGGATATCTGGTAGCCACCGCGCCCTTACTTCTCCTGTGCTTGAGTTGGAAGCACACGTTCCATCCGCCTTTGGGCGCGGACATGCTTTCGCGCACAGCGCTCGGGTTGTGGCTTGCAACCCCCGATACGACGCGCGTGTTTGTGCGGAAGGACAGCCTGGATAGAGCCGTTCTGTGTTTTCCGCGAGAGGGCGTTCCTTGTAAACGATACTCGAACAATGCTGACCCATTACCCAGCCTTGTATCGTAATGCCGACATAGATCCCGTAATCGTACAACCCCTTGCGTATGTCGCTCTTGTATGCGCCGCGCTTGGCTTCGCCTCATGATATCGGCCAGATACCGCGTCGATCGAAGGAAGAGCGTCGAGGTCCTGGAGAACTTCCTCGCGAAGAAGGATGTGAAGGTGGCGGACGAATCGCAATGGTTGCAAGCCGTCCGTGCGGATTGTGTCCTGAGCGATGCAGCGTTCTTGGGATGGTAAGCAATATACTTTCCTCCCCGCTCTTGACTTCAGGCGTTGACACTAGCCTACCTAGCCTCGCTGCTAACAAATCCGGGTTACCTTCAGTTCTGATCACGAACTTCTCCTTCGACTCCGTTTTTAGCTACCTGTCTACTGCTATGGTAGATGAGCCGCCCAAACCTGAGAATCCAGCAGCGGACGGGATGCTGTCCCCTCCGTCAGCGAAAGTGAAGGAAGATATCGAGCCGGACGTTCCGATTCCGGAAGCGGAGCTCGCTCCTCTGGTCGACCAGATCCTCTCGGGCTATCGCTGTGCAGATCTCCTGCTGAGGCTCCCGGGCACCATCCCACTACCATCGTTCGCCATTCAACCCGCCTTGCCGTCCCCAGACTGGGTTGACAACCAGACCAACAAATTCAAGCCCTTCATCCTCGAGCACCTCACGCAGCCTCCAACCTGTTACAAACTCCACCCGCAGGTCCCCTTCTCGCCCCAATACCCCCCTAAGCCCCTCGCGCGCCACGTTCACGACGCGCCCCTCCTCGTGCGCCCGCCCAGCGCGGACATCCACACGCCCGCAGGCAGGCGCCGCCTGCTCGATTCGATCGGCATCCCCACGCACCTGCAAGATCCCGCAAAGACCAAGATCCTCATCGTCTCCTTCGGCGGGCAGACGTTCCACAAGCCCGCGAGCAGGTCGCACAGCCGCACGCCTTCCAAGGCGGCGACCCCCACGAGCGTTCCGTCCACCGTCCCCGCGCAGTCCCCGAGCAGGACCGTGTTCCCCGCGGAGCCCACGCCCGTGCCCGCGTCTGCTTTTCAGGACTCGAGCAGCAGATTCGATACCGCGAACCCTGAGGTGAACCCGCAGGCCCTTTCAGACGCGCTGCAACGCGCACAAGCAGAGGCCGCGAGCCCGCCCTCGCGCGTGCCCTCCATGGTGGGACGTCCCCGACACCTGTCCCAGCTCCGCGTCGCGGGCGCTCCGCCTGTTGCGGTGCCGACCTCGCCGCGCTCATCGACGTCCTCTGTCTTTCAGCCATTCCTGCCCGAGAGCGTAAGCGCAAGCGCCGGCGTGCCCACGTTCCAGACCATCCCCCCCTCGCCGAACGTCGACGCGGCCGACGACGCCTTCGCGCACAAGCTCGCGCAGGCCGCGGCCGCCGAGGCGGTCCTCGCCGCCGCGCACGACCAGGCGGAGGACGTGCGCATCCTGCCCGACGGCTCCTGGATCGCGGTCGTGTGCGGGGTGCCGAAGGACTGGGGCCGCGAGGACGGCGAGGAGCTGCCCGAGCAGTTCTTCGTCGCGCCGCGGGACGTGTACATGCCGGACCTGACCGCGGCCGCGGACGTGCTGCTCGGGAAGCTCGGGTACGGGACCGTGGCGGAGTGCGTGGACGCGCGGACGCCGTTCGTGTACGTGCCGCGGCCGCTGTTCGTCGAGGAGCACGGGCTGCGGGTGTATCTGGCGCGGGAGGGCGTGGGCGTGAAGCTGGAGAGGGAGAAGTACGAGGTGGGGGAGTGGGCGGGGGCGGTCGAGGAGGCGTATGAGAGGGGGCGGGAGGAGAAGACGCGGAAGAGAGAGGAGGGGGAGACGGGGAGGAGGGCGGAGGAGGGGAGGGAGATGGCCGGGTATTTGGTGGATTGGGTAGGGAGGTGGCAGGCTGGGGTGGCTCAGGGGACCGGGCAATCGTGAGGGTCGACGGCGAACGGTCGATTGGATGTTGTATCGAGCGGATCGAATGGTGGACGCTGGGTTCATAGCCCTTGGCTCGGACACATCCTCATCGCATTTCGGACTCGAACTCGCAAGCCATACACTGATACCCGTCCTGTAGATCGACACCAGTGCGAACGTACAATACTCACATTCGTATACGTATTCAAGGACCTTCCCATTCTGCGGGCTATACGTGTATAACCATGTTGCAGAATGGTATTCTACGGACCACAGATCATACATCACACACGGCTACGCCTGCATGTGAGACGTAAGAGAATGAGCTGAACGTGTGCAAACGGTGACAAAAACTCACTACCATCCGGATAGGCTACCATCAACTTCAAGAGACCCCTCAAGTACGTCTGAGGAAAGGCCTTTTTGAGACATGCGATTGCTTCTTCGTGATCAGTGATTACAGCTTGTTTAATGACAGTCTCTTCCGACAAAGGGCTGAACGCTTCAAACACTCGCAATTCCTTAGTCTCGTAAGGCAGAGGAAATGGGTATGTATCATGTGGGAGGAGCGCCGTCACTACTCTTAGATGGCTCTTCGCGACGAGCGCGTCGTCCAATCCGCGCTCGTCGCCCAATCCTCTCCAGTCAACCGCGGGGTAATCGGGTGCGGACGGTTTCCGCATAGCGTTGTGTGCCGGAATCAAGCTGGGAAACTGGAGGGTGACTTCCGATAGCTGTGGTGGGGTTGCGCGGACAAGCTCTGTGTTGCAAGTGATGACGTACTCGTAGATATCGAAACCGGGAGCGGGCGGAAGCATCAAGAGGAAGTTGAAGAGCCGCAGGGAAAGCCGCTGGAGCGCTGTGGCTGCGCTTAGGGCAGTGGTCAAACTTATAACTGACGCAGGCAAGGTTGCAGCGGGGTCAGTCTCATGGGCCAGTGAAGTCAGTATCGAGAACTCACATTCTTTGTCATGTCCCCTGTCGAGATATGATTGCAGCACCGGCCTGAAGACATTGATTCCGAGGTCTTGTAACGGCGGCTGGGAGTCGCGGAGGAAATCCTGAAGCGCTATACTCTTCGGAATGTCTATGCAGTCTACCCAGAGGCTCCGCAGTGGGGGCCGGACAACAGGGGCACGCAGAAGGAACCCGACGGCGCGTTCGAACACGCTCACTGCCTCATCATCCGAACAAATGACGAGATTTCGCACTTGCAGACGATAGAAGATCACGTCTACAGGAGCCAATTGCGTGTTGGGCAGCAGCCAGGGCAAACGGGTGTGGACCAAGTAAAGAGACTCTATGCTCTTGAAAAGCGCGAAGACGCGGAAGATAGGGTCGATGACATTTGACGGCGAGATTTTCAATTCCTGGAGCGTTTCAATTCCTGGAGCGTGAGCTGCTTGATGCGGACAGAAAGCGAACGCAACGTGACTCCGCGCAGATGAACGTGCTGAATGTTTAGAAGCAGGCGCAGGATGGCGTCGAGGTCGTCATCGTCAACATATCCGGCACACGGGGCTCCTTGAGAGTCATGGAGAAGAATTGTGTGCACATAGGGCGCGACGCGAGGGCATCGCGATAGCCACGAGAGAAGAGCAGGAATGGATGCGCTTGGGTGTGAGGGTCTGCACCGCAAAACTCGAAAGAGATGCAGTCGGGTACATAGATGGTTGCCAAGTTGTACAGACAAGCGAGGATGATATCAAGGAAGATCCGTCATCATGGAGGTGGTCGATGATCCGATCCACCGTTTCACCCGGTAGCGGACGAGGCATGCTTGGCGTATAGGGATCGAACACCTTTCAGAAGGGGACCAGCGCAAGGTGCACTTTGAAAGCTAGCTCGTTGTGTTAGAGACTTAGCATGTTGACTGTGGGCAGCATACGTATGCGCTCCGCAAGACCAACCCAGAAGATTACCCACGGCCACATGGTTCGTCGGCAGCGGCGGACGTTCCCCACGATGAGCCTCAAAGTTCAAACGCGGTGTCATGGGACGTGGAGGGCTTTCATCTTGATCATACTATACTGGCGGTTCAAATGTATCTCTGGTTCATAGAACACGAACACGGTAAGTTCCTACAAAGACAACGGGCACGAGGAACAAGGGTGGCACCTTGCCGTATGCGCAAGGTTCGGTTGGTCCATCATGAGTGGCTATGCATCTGAGTCCAACGCGACCAGCATTTAGTGCCCAAAATATGTGAGCTGTCCTAGCGATACACTTGGAAAATGCGGAGGCGAGGCGAGGCAATATGTACATGGCGAAGGAAGAGAGAACATGGTCGACGAAAATGGACACATGCACATAGTAGACTAGCCTTCGGGGCCAAAACCCACCACAAAGTCACGCGTCGTATATACCCACACCTACGTGTGGTCAGTCAGATAGACATACAGTGCAAATCAGAGCCAGTGGAACACTCACTTCCATCCGGATAAGCCAGCATCATTTTCAGAATGTGTCTTGCGCACAACCGAGGGAGCCCCTTCCGGAGGTATTCGAGAGCTCCTACCCCGTCTGTGACGGCAGCTTGCTTGAAAACTGTTTCCTCGGGTAGAGGTGCGAACGGAGGATTCGACTGGGTGCTCCACCTCCTGACTTTCTCGTCAATGGCGGGAAAGGGGTAAGTTCCATGCGGAACGATTGCCGTATCGACTCGCAGATAGACTTTGCTCGCAAGCGCGCCATCCAGCTCGCTCCAATCCAGCAAGGATTTGTCTGTTGTCGAGGAGTGACTCTCGCGGAAGTCTTCCAGCGGGAGAAGATTGGGAAAATGGAGGGTGACCTCCTGAAGGCGAGGAGGGGCGGCATATATGAGGTCCGTGTTTCTAATAATGATCAATTGGTAGAAGTCCGTTTCCTTCACCGGAAGCATGCGATGGAAGTTAAAGAATCCTAACGTGAGATGTTGCAACCTCGCGGATGCGCCAAGGGCATTGCATAAATCCCGTTGTACTAGCCATGATATGAGCAGATATGTTCTCCTCTGCAATAACTCATGCCCGGCGGCCCACGGGCGGCCTGAAACTTACCTCCTTCTTGTCGTCCTCCAAACACCAGGTTGTACCATACCGCTTTGGCGATGTTGATAGCCAAGAGTTGGAGCTCCGACTGAGGGTCACGAAGTAGACCATGAAGCTCACAGATCCGTGGACACTCCGGGGTGTCCACCCACAGGCTCCTCAAGACAGGGTCTAAGCGAGCGCCTTTCAGGAGGAAACAACAGCTACGTCCGAACACCCATGGGTATTCACTGTGGATAACGAGTCGCTTCATGTTCAAGCGAGAGACCACTTGAGCGAGGTTTCGCATGTAGTCCATGCCTTCTCGACCCCAGAATACAGAAAAGCTTGGCAACGTTGCATCGACGATACGAAGAGTGTCGATGGCATCAAAAAGCGCAAAGATATGGAGGACAGTCATTGCGACGTCAAGAGGAATCATTGTAATGAGCCCCATCGACTGGATCGTGAGTTGCTTGATGCGCCTATTGGAAGGAGAGCGAGGGATCGTCTCGGGCTTGACAGAGCACAGGGCAACTCTCTAGAGATGGATATGCTGGACATTCGGAAGGAGGCTGAAGATAGCGGCGAAGTCGTCGAGTACAAGAGCGCATAAGGGAGGACTGGGGGAACGAGGTCCATGATTTCAATCGATATGGACGAGTTTGAGTTTGTGCACGTATGGAGCGACGTCGGGACATCCGTATAGCAAGGAGACTAATGCTGAGACGGACGTAGTTGGTGGTGCCATATCGCATACCACCCCTTGGAAGAGATGGAATCGAGAACGCGGTAGCCAGGTCTTGCACACTAGTGAGGTAGCTTTAAGAGAAGAGGCATCGTTGTACAAATGATCGATGATCCGGTCGACCAGTTCCCCCGGAAGAGGGCGAAACTTGCTAGCAAGGCTGCTGAAGTCGAGCGTCGGCTGATTGGCACCAACGGCGAGCAGCGTCTGTGACGCATCAGGGAGATCCACTTGGCCAATACCCACGGACACGAGACTGCGCGACCTTAACAAATGAATACGAGACGAGAATTCGGCCCAGGTCCTTCGCACTGGATGCAGACGGTATCGCGACTACAGTAGATTCAACGCGGCAACACAATCGGCTCTAGATTACCAGGAAATGCATAGTCAACAACGGCGAACAGTGAAGAACAGGGAACGCGGTACTGCCACGATGCGACTAACGAGCATCTCTGCCACCCGCCACGCACTCAACTCCACCTACACCAGCCCCCGCCCTGCCATCCTCACCGTGTCCAAGACGGCCCTCGCGACCTCCTCCCACAACCTCCCAACGACGTTCCCCTGCCCATCGACTCCGCGCAGCCGCCTCCGCACCGCGTCCACAGTGCTGCCGCTGCCGCTCCCTGCAGACGCAGGCGCCCCTGCCCCCGCGCGTCTCCGCCGGAGCCGGAGCACGAAAGAAACAAGCGGGACGACAACGAAGAGCACCGCATACAGCACCATCCGCGAGCGCGACGTGCCCTGGAGCAGGCTCCCGAGGGACGCGCGAACGAGCGCGAGCGTCGACGGGGGCCGCGCCGGGCTCTCCGCGATGGGCGGCCCGAAGGGCGTCCGCCGCACAACGGACGCGGAGGACCCAGCTGGAGTCGTCGAGTGCGAGCGAGAGCGTGATTTCGCGTTCACGGCTGGATTGGCGTGGCCGTTCGTGTGTCCGTGCCCGTTCGCGGGACGCCGCGTCTTGCCCGCCTTCGCGCGCTCGCGCTCACGCGAGCGGTCGGCGTTGTGCGGCGTTACGGTGCGGGAGGTCGCGGTGCTGGCGATGCTGGAGGAGGAAGCCGAGTGGGGTGGGGTGTAGGGGTGCAAAGTGTCGCCGGGTTTTGGAGTGGGGGTATGAGATGGGGTGAGCGGGGCTAGGCCAGAGACGCGGCCGTTTGTGGTGGGGGTGGCTGTGTGCGTCGAGGAGGAAGACGCGGAGGAGTCGGATTGCGCGGGGGAGGGCGAGCGGGACGGTGTAGAGGCGGATGAGGATGAGGGACTGGGCAGGGTGACTTGAACGCGGGAGGCGGTCGCTGCCTGAGCTCGGAGCTGGCGCAATGACTGTACATATTGCTGCGAAGTACAGATATATCAGTGTACCTGGAAAGTGCAAACAACATAGGAGCACACCTGACGGACATCGCCCGGAAGATCCCTCTCGTACGTGAGGAAGTCCTCAGCATACTCCCAGTCTTGTAGTCGCGGAAGCACGTGGAGGCAGTACAGCTCTAGCACCTTGGCGTATCCCTTCGGGTCATCCCCGTCTGTCTCCTGACCCTGCTTCGCGAGCCAGTCTTCTATCATCCCACGCCCCACCTCAGTGCTGTCGAGCTTAAGGCTAGCCAAGACGAGGGTGACAAGGATCTGTGCCGGGAGGAATGCAGATGAGGGTCGCTGGGCATGGTCACTTGGAGTGAAGAGTTGCAGGGACCGAGCGTGCAACGTCGTGATGAGAGACTCAGGAGACAGCGTGAGGTTCGCCTTGAGCGCAGACGGTAGATGCTCGGGGTCTTGGGAGGAGGGTGGAGACGAGAAGAGGGTAGTCTCAAACGTGATTCTGAGAATGTCCCATTTCCGCCGAGCAGATGCGAGCGCGTCGTTCTGAGTGCCGACGGAGGCAGGCGGGTGAATGAGAGCAAATGCAGAGGCAAGCAGAGAGTGTGTCAGTAAGATGTCGCGTTGAAGGAATGCTCGAGCGGCGCGGGGATAAAGAGAGCGGAGGGTGGTTGCTGTCGAAGATGAGGTGGCCGGTGCATGGTGAGAGGCTTTCAAGGGTATTACTGGGGAAGCCACGGTGGTCGCTGTTGCTGTGGGCATGCCTGCCGCAGGAGGGTCGCCAAGAGACAGATATGAGGCTAGCTCAGAGTATATGAAGCAGGTGAACGCAGCTGGAGCATGTCAAGGCCAGCGGCATTCCGACGGCCCCGGCAAGCCATTCGTCCCAGCGGCCGGTATTCACACGCTTCCTCCTCCCAATCAGGCAATTCCCGCCCTTCTTGTAGCGCTCGTGCTAGGCCTCCCGCATCATTAATTATTGCCTTCTGCGCTTGGCCACCGGCGACGGTGACCTCAGCGGTACATTATTCAATCTACCACATTCTCCCCACAACTCCACGTCCTTTGCGGATGACTGTTCTTTGTCCGCCACACAAACTTTGCAGAGGCCGAGGCGACGTAGAGGGTGGATCGCAATGAGGTCATACCTTCGTCTATCCTTGGTATGGTGGGCGAACTCAGCAGTACATATATTCCCCTTCGCTGCATTGTACTCTCCTACTCCTCCACTTGAATTCTATCACCCCACCTTCTCAATCCTTACCCTCACACAAAGCATTCTTACCACATCAACATGGCGATGGTCCTACAGGTGCGTCCACACTTCTCACTCAAGCTGTCTACTAACAACCTTGCCAAAGATGACAACTTTCCTCCAGCAATATCTATATGCTCAGGTTCATGAGGCTCCAAAATCCTCAGACGCCATCCGGCTAGGCATTCTTTCAACTGCCAGCATCAACTCAGCCGCCATCATCAATCCTGCAAAGAGCCATGGCGGTGTCATCGTGTCTGCCATCGCGTCGCGCGACCTCAAGCCTGCACAGGAGACCGCGAAGAAGTACGGCATACCCAAGGCCTATGGCTCTTACGAGGAACTCCTGAACGAGCCGGGTATCGACGCAGTCTATATTTCCTTGCCAAATGGAATGCACGGAGGTATGTACGGGATGAACATGTGTGCAGACACCGTATACTGTCTAACCGCGTGCAGAGTGGACCAAAAAGGCTCTCAACGCGGGGAAGCACGTTCTTCTCGAGAAGCCATTCACCGCCAACGCTGAAGAGGCCCGCGAAATCGTGAAGCTCGCCGTCGAAAAGAACCTCGTCCTTGTCGAGGCGTTCCACTGGCAGTTCCACGTGCGTCACAGCAAAATCCACCTGACGTATAATCACAGCCTGAAGCCTCTCCGTTCATAGCCTGCTGCCCACGCAGTGAAAGCGATCATCGACAGCGGCAAGTACGGCCAAGTGCTCCGGACCTCCGCGCGCATGACCTCGCCCGCGGGCAGCATCCCGCGCAGCGACATCCGCTGGGAGTACAACCTTGCGGGGGGCTCGCTGATGGACATGACGTACGTCGTCTCCTCGACGCGCTACTTCGTCGGGCCCGTCACGACCCCGCGCGAGGTCGCGCACGCGAAGGCGCGCCCGTCGCCGCACGACCCGAAGGTCGACGACGCAATGGAGGCCACGCTCCGGTTCGACGTGGAAGGGCGCATGGTCGAGAGCAAGATCTACAGCGACATGTGGCGCGCAAACGTGTTCGGGCTCATCCCGCGGATTTGGGAGGCGCCGAGCATCGAGATCGAGCTGGAGCATGCAACGATTTACTTCTACAAGTGCGTATGTAGCTTCGATGCGGAGAGTCCAATCCGGTTGACAGCCCGTGCAGCTTCATGATGCCTCACATCTACCACTACGTTACCATCTACGACAAGCGGACAAGAAAGACCACGACCGAGAAGCACTACAGTGGCGGACCAAAGTGGGGCACAAGGGGCGAGGCGTGGTGGAGCACCTACAGGTACATCCATTCGCTGTGATCGCCCTTTTCTGTCGAACCAGAGAGACTGAGCAAATCCATTGCAGGTATCAGCTGGAGGCGTTCGCGGACGCGGTCCGTGAACAGCAGCCGCCCCACTGGATTGAGCTCGGCGACAGCATCGCGCAGATGGAGACGATTGACATGGTCTACGAGAAATCGGGGTTGGGCAAGCGACAGCCCACGCAGCGGATGGTTTGAACTTTGGGGGGACAGCCCTTTTATTGTCAACATAGATGGACGGGCCGATTGAGCCTTCACTTCGAACTTCTTCTGACCGCAACATGTATTCGCACCATCCTGTACAGCTAGGAATGCAATGGACTTTCTACGGAACCGTGCGTTCAGGTGTCTTGCGGCACTTATACTACGTGGGAGTAGTACTGTGGTAATGATCGGCACTGCAAGGCATATCGTGATAGACTGTTCCCGGAAACAGCTCCCGCATGCCCACGCGCCAACTCTAAAAGCTTCTCGTAGGGATGATCTCATGGCCAATCTGTCCATTGCCGAGGCTTGCGAGCGATATAAAGGTTCAGCGGTGCCCAACGGAGAGCGGACCGTGTCCCTGCGTCCCCTCGACCCTTCGACAACATTCTGCAAACACCGCTAGCCCACACTGCACAGTGCAAGACCACGACTCCTCTGGTGTACTGTGAGTGGTACAATGCCGGCCTTCAACGTCATGTCTCAGCCTCAGATGTCATCTACGACACACATAATCAGGAAAACGTTGTCTGTATCTAGAACATGAAGCTAGCAGTAACAGGTTGCAACGGCTCAGTCGGCTCGCGCGTCGTCCTGGCTGCCCTGGAGCAGGGACACACCGTCGTCGGAATCGACTCGGCGCAGCTCCCTGACGTCCTCAAGAATCTCCCTGAGGACCAAGCACCACGGTTCAAATTCCACGAAGCGGACCTGCGGGACTACGACATCGCCACGGACTTGCTGCGGGGATGTGAAGGAATCGTCCACCTGGCCGCGATGAGGAACCCTGGAGACTACCATGTCGCAGCACACAACACGTAAGATTGCGATGCTACGTGAGCGGGGTCGATCGGTTTCGCTGAGGAGTAACGGGTGCCGCAGGAACGTCGTGCTCTCGTGGAACATCCTTCGAGCAGCAGCAGAGGTCTGTCGGGGTGGTAATGGCCACAAGGGGGGACCAGAACGCTGATGATGACCCCTGCCATCAGCTCGGGATCAACCGCGTCGCGCAGGCGTCCTCTGTGAACGTCATCCCTCTCGTCTGGACGGACCTCAAGGACTTTGAGTATTTCCCGCTTGACGAGGACCACCCGACGCGCGTGGACGAGCCGTACGGCCTCTCCAAACTGTATGTACCCCCCACACCTCTCCCGCATGCGAACGAGCTACTGATGCCTGGTCGTGCCACAAACCCGAGCAGCATCTGTGAGCTTCAGGCCGACACGATCGTCCGCCGTTATCCCTCTATACGCATTGCCAGCCTACGCCTGAGCTGGTCGCTCCCGCGACGAGAATACGCGCTACGCAGCGACCCCGAGCGGCGCAAGAATGACCTCTGGGGCTACGTCCAGGAGGATTCGGCCGCAGAGGCGTTCCTGCTTGCCGTGGCAGGGGAGAACGGGAAATGGAGCGGACATGAGCGGTTCTTTATCACGGCGTCGGACACAGCGAGCGATGTGCCGACGATGGAACTGTACGAGCGGTACTGGAAGAATGTGCCGATCAAGGAGGGGAAGGATTTGAGTGGGCGGAAGGGGTTCTTCGACTGTTCGAAGGCGGAGAGGTTGTTGGGGTGGGTACATAAGAACCCTGGGGAGTAGGCTTCAGAATGTTATGACGGATGGAGAAACGTTTGTAACTGTATAGACGGGTTAGATAGACTGCTATGCTGTAAGCATGGATTACGCACGTATTCTTCGTAGTGGTGGAGCACTTCTCGGAGCTGCTTGCGCGATATTTCTGCACTGTATAGGATTTCGTCGTCCGAGCACTTGCCATCAAAGTACTGGTGAATGCTGTAATGCGAAGCAAGATCAGTTTCCAGCTTCCTCACGACGGAGGGATAGCATGCTGACCGCTCGAAGCGCCTGACTATATGCGGCTCCTTTCCTTCTGACATTCCCGCAAGCCACCTCCTCTCGAGCGGCGTCGCGCGCGCAGGGTCGCTGATCATGGACGGGATGTTGTCGTTGCCGCCGTTCTGGTAGTACTCTTCCCACTTCGTCTCGTCCGCGCTGCTCGACAAGAACTCCTCATCGAGATCGTCGTGCTTCTCGCGCTCGTGCCGCTCTGTGTCTTCTTCCTCCCCGTCGCCCTCTTCGCGCGCCCCGTCCGCGGGCTTGCCATGCTCATCCGCCCCCCGCCGCGTCTGCTTCCGCATCGTTTTGGGCGACAGCGACACCCAGTATTCGACAGGGCTCGATTCCGACACAGTCTCCAAGTTCAGGCCCGCCTTCTCACCCGTGTCGTCTTCGCGCCCGAGGTCACGGCTGTTGCTCTCGCTGCCCCTCCGCCGACTAGCGCGGGTGCGACTGATACTGCGCGGGCGCGAGCGGGACCGCTTACGTGCAACGTGCTCCTCCCATCTCTGCCGGACGCGCTTTTTGAGCTCCTCGGTGGCGATGATGCGGATGCGGAGGTGGAGGCGGATGAGGAGATCGCGCTTGAGCATCCAGAGCACAACGTCGACGTAGAGGGGGATGTACTCCTTGGACTTCACGACGGTCGCGTAGAAATGGTTCGTGGTCTGCTTATGCGTCGCGGTGGAGATCATTGCGAGGAGTTTGGGGAGAGGCGGGACGTCTGCTTGGGCAAAGCGCTTTGAGAATTCCTCGGAGAGTGTCGCGAGCCTGGGTTGAAGTCAGTTACGCATGTAGCGGTCGTTGGTTTACGAGGTACATACGGCGAAGGGAACCTCTGAGGGACCGAGAACACCGTCTTCAGGCTGGGGTGAACGACGTCCACGATCTTTGCACGCCGGTGCAACACGAGCCAGCGCACAGCAGGATATACCTGCGACTCCAAGTGCCAGTCGAGCAAGCTCGCCATCTCCGCTAGGCTCAGCATCACTGAGGCCAAGTCGATGAACCTTATGAGCTGCTCCGCGAGCTCCCGCTCCTCGGGATGGAGCTGCGCCGCGCGTAGCTGCATATATAGCTGGTACCCCTGCTCGTCGTCTTCGTCGTCGATGCGCAGGAGGGCTTTCCAGGGCGTGAGCGCGGGCAGCCTCCACGCGAAGCTCATCTCAGGACCCCATGCGTTCGGCTCACTGTACTCGTCGGCAATGTCGCCCTCGCAATCGACGTCTTCGATGGCATGGAGGAGGGAGTCGAGGTATGGGGGCAGTTGTAGCTCGAGAGGGAGGTCGTTGAGGGTTACGCTGGCGATGGTATTATCCTTGATAGACTCATACAGCGTCTTCATAGCTGGTGCGATGGTAGATATTTTCAAGGCTTCGTACACGAAATCTGCATACGATTCTCCTGCGATCGCGATCAAATTCATGAGTGCACTTAAAGGCGAGCTACCCCGGAATACACACCTCGGTTTGCGAAGTCATCCCTGAGCGAGCTCAGCAGATCGCACTCGGTCTCCACGTATCTGCTGATGACCTGCTCCTGATACAGAACAGCAGTCACTTTAAACGCAATCTGTTCATATATGGTGTCGAAGTACTTCGCTATGTTTCCGGAAGCAGAGGAAGACGGGTCTGGGAGGTCCAAGACGATAACGAAGTGGAACGTCTGCATACCGCCAGAATCTGGTGGCAGAAGACGGCCGTTACGTCCTAAGCTACCGTCGTTCAGTTCCCCCCTTTCCATCCTCTCCGGCGTGAGGGTCTTTTCTTCGTTAGCTGGGGACTGTCCCTTCTTAGACCCACGTCCACGAGCAGCGGCCTTCGCCTTTTCCTGCTTGAACCTCCATCCACCGTCAGAATCCGCGCATACTGGATGCCCGATAAACGCGAGGTCGTCCACGATGAGCTCGAACTTCTGATGGCACATGGACCTTTGGGGACAGAGGACCTGCGCGAGGAATTCCGCAGAGAAGCCAAGGAGGTTGTCATATTCGTCACAGGGGCTCCCTAGTCCTTGGCCGAGGTGCGCGCCGTCATGGTTCGCCTTGTCGTCCTTGGAAGGCGACGCGCGCCGCGAGGTCGGGTGCGAGGCAGTAGGGTGGGTGAAGGATGCGGTCCTATCGCGGCGCGCACTGGGTCTCTCCCAGTAATACTCGGTCAGATCCTCGGGTGCAAGGGCAGTATCTAGCCATGACGGGTCCTCTGTGGGGTTGTCTGGGCTATTCGCGGCTCGCCACGGGTTGTCTGCAAACGCGCCGGGGAAGTCATTCGTCGGAAGGGGGCGCGCGAGGCGAGGAATCGGCTTGCACGAAGGCGGCCAGTGATAGACCAGATTAGATCCCTTCGCAGAGGACGACACAAGGAGAATGCATAGGAGAGTCTCGCTCATTGCGCTCAGCGAGCCATTGACGAGTGCAATTGGTAGAGTGTTTGGAGGCGAAGTGCCGGGAATACTCGCGACGAGACTCTGATTGCCACAATATGCCAGCGCCAGTGCGGGGACTTCGAGCAGCGCGCGCTCAACAGCGCGTGCGTTGCTCCCCGCCCTGTCCCCCATGCACACAATAGCGTTCCTCGATTCGTTTGATCTACGTCCTCCTCTGTATATGTGACTCGCATGCATAGCGGGTGTTCGGATTGAAGCTCGGATGACCGCCCCTAAAACGTTCCACACATGTCAAGGCAGCAACCACACCCACTAGCTACTACAGCATGCAAAACCGAATGCGCATGCACTCTGACAGTCGTCGTTCGCAAGGCGTGAACTACGTGAAGCTTCCTGCTGAAATTTAGGGCGACACGAGCGCTGTATATTGTAAGATGGACGTGCAGCGGTACATCCTCGCTCCTCCATGTAGGCTCTTCGACCCGTCGGTGTTCTTTTAAAAAGCGGACCATTGTCCACCGGAACCGCTCTTTTAACTGACAGCCATATAAGTATCTTCCAAGCAAAGTCTCAGCCATGAAGCTTTTAACTCCTCGGCAACGTACGATTTTGGCACAACATTAGAGGCTGAATCAATTTTAACACGACTTCGGGCAAAGGAACGATTGACTTCACCTCCACGAAAAGCTCGTTGTGTATATCTATTCGGAAGCATTCGAAACTACGGCTAGAGTTGGGCACATCGGTGGTATTCAACCTCACACATGCAGGACATCATGCAGCTCCCAGCGATGAAGAGCGTGGCGCGTTCCAATACCTCACCGTCGTCAATCTCGGCTCGGACAAGCTCTCTATTGACGACCTCTGGGTACATTTCACCATCCTGCCGCACTGAGGAAGACGATTCCTCACAAGACTACACAGCTTGGTTCCATTGATTAATGATGAGAAACTGAACCGGTGTGTTCCTCTGACCCGCAATCCCCACTCACGAACACGCAAGAGCATACACTAACCAGCTTGTGACCATTGACTCGACGCGTGGGGACGCTATCAATCATCTTCCTGTTACCAGCAACACTGCAAACGTTGAAGGTACTCTCGACAGGTGGCTGAACACGACCATCACGAATGGCACGTCCACCGCGCGAAACAGGGTGGGCTGGTGACATGTCAATCCAAACCCACGGTATCCCCGTGTCGACATTCGACTCGACCTCGTTTTCGTCCAGAACGCTCTCGACTCCCTCTCCAACCATTAGAACTTTGATGGACAACCTCCCTACGCTGGCTTCCCGTTCAACGAGCTCGGCATCGTTTTGTTCACTTGCCATCTGTACGCCCTCATTGGCCTCCGCCGACTGCCTCCGTTTCGGCATTTGCGGCCACAACTTCGAGGCTAACTCCATCCTCTACTACAGGTTCAAACTTGGCCTCCCTCTCTCTCTACACCAACACGACGCCGCCATCGCTGACCGCTGGTCTCAGCTGGCGGCAGGGCTCCAATCCGCTGCGATCCACCTGCTCTGGCAGCCCGACGTCGGGCTGGTCAAGGACAACGAGACGACCACGCTCGCGCCGCAAGACGGGAACACCTGGGCAGTGAAGTCGGGGCTTGTCACGGACGCATTGCAGATCGTCCTTGAACTTGAAGACTAAATGAGACGAAGCATGCTCTACAAGGTCCAGGATGAGCATATGAAGGCCCGGGTGATGTGAATGTATAGTGTAGCATTGCTGATATACAACTTATACTGACGAACTACTACATGCCTACTGCGCCTTCAGCTGCTTTAGGGCTACTTCAACATCTTCTTTAATGCGCTGCACGAAGTCCTCTGTATGTTTAGGCGCCCAGCCCAGCTCCTTCCTGATCCTGTCCGCCGTACAGCGCGCGTTGGCGAAGAATACACTCACTATGGCCTCGCTCCCGAAGTACTTCGTGCGCTCTTCCGCAGTGAACACATCTGGCTCAGCATCCGTGATCACGCCGAGTCCGACCAGGGCCTCTCCGATTAGCTTGATCGCTTCGTATGCACTATGCTCGCTGCTTTCGATGAAGAAGTAGCCTTCACGCCCGTGTGAGATCCGCGCAGGATCGTAGAGGGCGGCGTCCAACACGCGTACGTACACGTCCGCGTCTAGACATGACCAGACGTCAACAGCTGAATTCTGCGAATCGGGCACAGATACGCACTGTCGTCAATATGCACGTATGGCCATATGTTCGCGCCCTTCCCAACGATGCCCGGGCGTCCCCTCCGAGTAATGACCTCGACGAACATCGGCACGATGATAGTGTGCGTGTGGGCGATCGGCTTGGCACCGTCGAAAAGTGGGCCTTTGGGACGTCCGTAGATAATTCCCGGGACAACAATGTACGTCGTCGCATATCCTTCGATGTCCGCTGAATTCACGAGCAAGTCGACTTCATGGTGGAAGGCAGTTGAGGGGATTTTCTCAATCGAAGCGACGTCGAGGTCGGAGGTTATCGAGGATGATGCGTACTCGCCACGCGCATTGTCAATCAGGAGTCCGGTGCCAGACTACAGACGAGGAGGGGATTCAGCGTCGAGTCGTGCAATGGGCAGCCGAATGCCTTACGGTATGGATGAGAATGGGCTTCTTGCCTGTCTTCTCAAATCTCCTCTTCAGACCGGAAATTATAGCTTTCGTCGCCTCTACATCGTCTGCGTCTGCCTGTGCCGTTGCGTGGATGTAAAACTATGGCACGCTTGCACGCACGGATCTGCCAGACCTCACCTGCTGGAAAACAACATCGGCCTTCTCCACGTTCTCGGTCAGGAAGGCGTGGTCCTGGAGGGATCCGATGATGGTCTTAATGCCCAGTGCACTCTCGATCGCCTTCGCCTTCGCTTCAGATCGGACAAGGGCGGTGATCTCGAAAGTGTCCGCCTTCGGATGGGCAAGGATGGCCTGGAGGGCAGTGCCGCCAATGTATCCTACGAGAGACAGTGGCAATGATCAACAACACATTCGGAGATGTCATCGCCCTCGAAAATTAACTATTGCTCGTACCCGTAGCTCCAATGTAAAATATAGCGATTTTAGAAGACATCTCGGATTACCGGTTGTGAGCTTCTAGTCGGGTGCAATTGGGATGGGCTGTGGGTCGGGCAGCGGATGTTTGGGGCCCTCCAGACTCCTCGCCCAAGCAGCTCTTTATAGCTCACGGAGGCGACATAGACTCCCATCTGCTTGGACCAGTGTGAACGATAATGCGACTGCTGACTGAGCCGGATTCAGCATGAGAAGAGTAGAAGACGACGGTGACACTAGGCCAACTTCCGTTTGTATCGGATTCTTGCGACACCTCGGGAAATGGGTCTGCATAAGCGAGAAGACAGCATTACATAAGTAGGTCATATTGATCAGCTTTGCGCACGTCGACGTATTAGTCAGGACATCCTTCGGTCATGTTCCGTTGACCATCGACCAGGTCAGCGGGAGCTAATCAAATCTACAGTAGATTGGTTATTCCAGTGGCAGTGTCCTAAGGATAGGCCGTTTCAGCATGTGCATAACCAGCACGTACACCAGAGGCCTCGGACTCGAATAGACGGGGTGATTGAGTGGATGCTAATGATTGACTTATGACGCACACGAAGCGACTCAAGCGAGTAGCGAACTTGTGCCAACTGTAAATTGTTTGATTCTGCTCCCAACGCCTGTTGTAGGCATCGTCCGCTTGGTAAGTATGACGCTCCCGAGCCTACTGCTTCTTCGCTAATGCCTCGAGCTCTGGCTTGACACTCGCAAGCATGTCCTGGGTCGTATACTTTGGCTTCCAGCCGAGCGCTCGCCCACGATCAGCGCGGCAGCGGGAGTTTGTGCCGCTGAACCATCCCGCCTCCTCACTCCCCCAGTACTTCGCCAACTCCTCGGCTGTGAACGACGTCGGTTCCGCGTTGTCCGTGAGCCCGAGTTCAACCATGGCCTTCCCAACAGCCCTGGAAATGTCGATCCAATGGTGCTCGCCGTTCTCGCCGAAGTAGAAGCCCTCCCAGCCGTGGCCCGTCTTGTCTGGGTCGCTGATGATGTTGTCGAAGAGCACTATGTAAAGCTCGGCAACTATAAGACAGTCAGAGAGTGGGTCAGACAATGATATTTAGATCAGCGCGCATGCATGGTGACTTACTGTCGTCTATGTGAACGCTGGGCCACCAGGCCAAGCCCTTTCCGACAACTCCAGCACGCTTGCGGTCGAGAGAAGCACGGATGATGCCCGGAATCTGCTGCGAATGCGGGTTGGAGACGCCAGCCTTGACCAGGGGGTGACTAGCAATGCCGTAGATCGTCGAGGGCAGAACGATGTGGGTACGCGCGAAGCCCTTCTCGTCGGCATCTACTACACGCAAGTCGACGTTGCGATGCACAGCGGTCGGTGGGATAGACTTGATTTGGTCGACGTTGATGTCGCTGTAGATGGTGTCGGTGGCGTACTCGCCACGCGCGTTGTCGGTGAGGACACCAGTTCCGGACTAGGGCAACCAATCAGGAGTGCAATGACCTTAACAATGCCACGGGACATGGACCTACGGTGTGAATGAGAATGGGCAAGTCGCCGACTTTGCTGTGCCTCTTCCTAAGACCATTTAAGATAGCCTGAATAAGAGGCTCATCGTCCGCATCGGCCTAAAAACAACAATTGCTCGTGGACATGGCCGTCGCCAGAAATACCTCAGCACTTACGAGATGAAACACAACATGGCTGTTTTCGACAAGGCTCTCGATCTTGTCGAGTTCGGCATGGGTTCCAACTATGGCGTTGACATCGAACTTGTCCTTGAGTATCTTGGCCTTCTCTGGACTGCGCACGATGACGGTGATATCGAAAGTGTTGGCACTGGGATGGCTTAGGAGACGAGCGAGGACGGCGCCTCCAATGTAGCCTGCGGATGGAGGTCAGGAAGGGCGAGGGAAGCTGATGTCAGCGCAGCCATCGTACCTGTAGCACCAGTCAGAAAGATGGGCGTCTTGGACGTTGACATTTGCAATGTTTGAGGCTTTGAGCTGTTCGAAGTACGTGGAGAGACAACGCAGATTCTCGGAGGGGGCACGGACGATATGTACGCCTGCAGGATATTCTTCGCTGCTTTGATTTGTAATCTAGCAAACCCTCTCCGAGCACTAGGCTCATCGTTGCATGAATCGACGTCATGCATCGAATTCGAACCTGGTGGCAATTTGAGCATTCAACTCAATCTTCCTGTACAGCCGCGGCCCGTGTCTCAGCTACATGCTATCGCATAATCTAGACAGTTGAGAGACATGGATGACTCCAGTGTTTTCCAGACGTGACGCGATCACGGACGTGTTCACGCGTCTGCACTGACCTTTTCAAGTTGTACTAGTTCCATCACGACGCATGGTCGTCACGTACCTGCCAGCTCGTGTTCACCTTGCTCGCATCGCTCAAAAACGCCCCACATTTCAGCATCGATCAGTCATGTCAGCACAGAAAGGACCGTGGTGTAATCATCTCCATGGCCTATCGCAGCAGTCCGACGTAATGGTTGAGATCGACGGCTTGGCGAACACGACCGCGACAAGATGCCTGCCAAGTAGTTTGGAACGCTGAAGAGAGAGCCTCTCCTGACCTTCCTGGAAGTGTTGGAAAGGCGCATGCACTCATCGACGAGGCTCTCAAATATTAGTTTACCGACCTCGTCATGGAACACCCGCCTTGCTACGCTCATGAGACAGGAGTACCCGCCGTACGGGAATCACTCAACATGGCTAGGAAAGTGCTCCTTGTTCTCGAAACCACGCTGAAAGTTGAAATTCGCCTGGATCAAGGTTGTGATACCATTGAGGCATTCATGAACCTCCACACTCACCATCCCTGGTGCCGGTGAGCACACTAAGATCTTGGAACGAGAATACGCACTTTCTTGATCTGGATTGTATGTCATGGAATGGAGGATGCAGAGCTAAACTCATGTCTCTGCTGAGCGCACTGTCTCCAATGGTGTCCTCGGGGATTATTTGCTACCCCGCTGACAAAGGCTCGAAGGATACCCGTCCAACAGAAGCACGCTGAGCCCTTGTCAGCGTTTGCCACCACGCCCTACTGTTGCGCATATCCCTCGTTGATGCCCTCCGCTGTATACCATTCCATGCTGTATGCATCCTCGGCAATGACCGCGCTTCATATATCCGGAGCTCATGCCATGCAGGGTCCACTTTCACGCAAGCCATCCTTGTCATCGAGAGTTGAGGCTCCCCAGGTACGATCATACCATCACATAACGGAGCGGCCAAGGATAGTGGGAGAGCCTTGAGCCAGCAGTCATCGTGTTGTCTACGGTGCATTGCGCACCCAAAGCAGTGTCCGGTACACAATACAACGGTACATGTCGACCGTGACTAGTTGCCAATGGCGAGCGCCGTAAGAACAATCATGCCTTTTCAGTCTCTAGGTGATCGTGATTCAACTTCTCATGGGCAGCGGCACACTGAAGCACATCGTGCGCATCAACCTCGTCTCCGAAGAGCTCGGCCATTTGCTCGAGCGTTAGCCCTGCGTGCGTGCGCAAGTCCCGCCTCGTTAGAACCACCGCGAGGTCTGGAGAGGGGAAAATGGTACCTTTGGTTTCCGGGAAGAACAGCCCAATGATGATGAAGTCGATTGCATTCAGCACGATGAACACGAGATAATACCTCCACGATATGTTGGTGATCGCGATATTGGAGACCTAAGCACAGATTGTGTCATCATGCCACTCGCCGTTCGAGACAAGCGATGAACGCACCTGAGAGAATAGCACGTTGAACGCCCAGTTCGCGCAGGTCGCCACACTGGTCCCGATGGACCGCGTCCTGGTCGGGAACACCTCAGAGGCGAGCACCCAGCTGACGGGCCCGAAGCTCAGCGAGAAGAATATGCTCGTCAGGAAGATCATCGCGATGCCTGCACGTTGTGCAGCAAGGTTGGTGGACTCGTCGGGCGGGAAGGACGCGACGATAGCTGTGAGCACCGAATACGTGACCACGAAGCTGCCCGCTCCAAACATGAGCGGCTTCTTACGTCCGACGGTGTCCAAGATCAAGGTGATGAAGCTGTTGCAGAATGTGTATGAGCATGGACATAGCTCTGACGCGGACAGGAATGATGGCTACGCACAAGAAGTTGGTGATCGGTCCCACAGCACCATAGATCCCCTGCACAAGCAAAGACTGGCCCGCGCTCAAGCCCAGCGCGCGGTACATCGACGGCCCAAAGTAGTTGATCACGTTGATCCCAGAGAACTGTCCGAAGACTTGCACGCCCACCGCGACGAACGTACGGCGGAGCATGCCGCGGGTCGCCCATAGGTCGGTGATCGAGCGCGAGCGCACGAGCACCTCGGCCTTGATCGTCTCGCGCATCTCCGCGAACTCGACGTCGGCCTCCTCCTGTGCGGAGGCACTGCTGCCGTGCAGCGTATGCACGACCCTGCGCGCTTCATCGTCGCGGTCGTGTTCGAGGAGCCAGCGCGGGGACTGAGGCATGAAAAAGCTGCCAAGGAGGAGCAGGGCGGCGGGAGCGAGCTATAGGCGGATAATAAGACGCGGCTCGAGGGGCACTAGGGAAGAGTGGGAGGAACTATACCTGGAGCCCGAGAGGCAACCGCCACTGAACGTTTCCTTTGAGAAACTGGCAGCCATACCCGACCCAGTTGGCCACAATGAAACCGATGCCGATCATTTGTTGTGTCAAACCGACGATAAATCCACGGTACTTTGGTGGCGCAATCTCCGTCTAATCATTCTTATGAGAACGGCGATATGTCCTCGACACGAGAATGGCACTGACATTATATAACGGTACGGTCATCGACAGCACGCTGGAATGTTATTAATTACACGTCGTAGCGGCGCGCACTATAGAGGATGCTTACCCAATGGCAAATCCAGCGACAATTCGTCCGATTAACATGCATGCGAAGTTGTTCGCTCCGGATTGCATCGCACAACCCCAGAGAGCAATTATTACGCCGAGCTGGTGAATACTATGTCAGAATAACACCTGGTTCGAGGAGTATGGAGACGTCACCTGTACTGTCCGTATACGCCCGAATTTGTCATTTGTCCTACATACGAGCCTCAGCCTCAGGGATATAGGGAGAATCGGGGGGGACCCACCATCCTGCAGTTGCTGCACCAAAGAAGCAGCCACCTAACGTCCATATAGGTCAGCATTGTTGCCACGGTGAACATGGGTGATGGAGCAAAGGCTCACCGGTGAATGTTGATACCACTGCTCCTGACAAGCTGTCATAGTTTTTTGGGTTGTTCACGAATGACTTGAACGCAGGCAATGTTATGACAGAGGAGATGATTCCACTGTATGACGCCTCATTCATTTCAGCCATAGCGAAGAAGCTGGCATGTGTCCGTACCTGTCATAGCTACAGAACAGGTAACCGACAAGAGTATTGATCAGCCTCGGTCGAAGTGCATCAGCAGACAGTCGCGTAGACTCACCCAAACAGGAAGGATCCTGTATGTAAGCAGCACAAAGAGTCCGTTAGCTTCCTTTCCTTAGAAGGACTCGAGATTTAGATGCACCGATTGCGCAGAAAATCGCGAGAGAGATGTTATACACTTGTCCCATAATGTCCAAGCCCAGTTCTTCGTGTCGTCAGACCTTCTGGTGTATGCTTCGCCGCTGCAGGACCACACCACTGGAGGTAAAGTCGTCCTTGCACGTCTCGCTGAATTCGCGGGGCCTTATATGAGACCAGGCGCGTGTCTCAGGACCGACTGTCCTGAGCGCAGCCGTCTGGCCCGGTGTACCCCCATGCTCACGGGTCTATTGCAATCTACTGTATCATCACGTTGGTCAGAGCCACGGGAAAAGGTCGGATACGTGCCGTCAGAGACAGTGCGGGAGCGAAATGTGGGCTGCCAGAGGGGTCATGAGACTGCTTCGGTTATTTGGAGGTTTGCGTTTCCTGCGCTGAAACGGCATCTCCCGTCGTGGCGGGCCGATCGGCACGCACAGCTCCAGGAACGTCGGTAGCATCGGCAGTATTTGTGTCTTGATAGCAGCGCTGTTTCGTCCACGACGTGCATCGGAACATGCTTCAGACAATGACTTCGTGGTAACCTTGTCGCCACCAGAATCGCAGGTGGAGATTTCGCCGTAGGTCGTCGCAATAATGCGTATTGCTGATGTGCACCGAATCTCATGTGTCCTGGAACCAGAACGCGTACGGGTACTGGCTCCAGCCTCCGATCCCCCTAGCTCTGGAGCTTGCGGCTGATCCTTATGACGAAGTGCTTATCGGAGCCAGGGAAAATGCTTCAGACGGGTAGGCGCTACGATGAGCAGGGCCTTCCCGGACGTGTTGGCAATAGTCGATGCATACATTCTGATACTATATGTTGGAAAGCCATTGGGCGGAGATTGGCAATTTGATTCGGTTGGCTCTCTCACAAGCTACCTTCGACTTTGTATTCATGGAAGGAACAGCTTGGAAAACAAGATTCAGGAAAGGCGTCACATAGGGCTGCGAAGTTTGCAAGAGCATGACGCATTCATATGGATACAACTAGGGTACACGTGTGTACGTACAGCTACAGAGCAACGTCATTGAACTACTTTGAACTACTAGATATTTAGAGAGATCGGATGTGGCGAAGACTGCTCGAAGCTGTTCGGCCAGAAGCATAGTACGATCAACCCTGTCAACGGGTATAAGTTACCGCATCCTCAGTGTCATATCCATCTTCTCTTCTCCCATGACGATTGAGGTAGTCCACCGGCATCATCTTGCCCCCGGACCACTCGTCGCGGCCCCCTTCGCTGCGAGGGACATGGGTTCTGCTCCCGGTATGGTGGGTACGATGATCACGATGATCTAGGTGGTCGTCCGGGTTGGCCACTTGCAAGCTTCTCCGTTGGCGCTTCTGCTTCATCCTAGCTCGCTGCTGCTCACGTTCCCGCTCGCGCTCGCGCTGCTGCGCGACTTGCACTTGTAGCTGGTGCTTCTCCGCGGTCGACGCCCAGCTCCCGTTCACGCTGACGCTCTCACTGCCCGTATCACTGCCGTAGCCGAGCTCAGGCCCGTAGACGTCAGGTTCCGCGGGGGTTCCAAGCTCACGGCGCTTCTCCCGCCTGGCACGCATACGTGCGAGGCTGCGGCGGCGATCACGCATCCACGCCTCCTCTTCATCTTGGGTCAGGCTGAGACCGTCGGGGCCTGCACCCGGTGTCGTGGCCGCGCGATTATAGCCAGCAGCTCTGAGGACCTCGCGGATCGGAGCGTGAGAACGCGTGGTGGTCATTCGGTGGGCATACGTGCAGTTAAAACTGAGGCGGATATTGATCATGAGCTCCCTCACGCGTGCAGCGTTGAACGAGGCTTACCCTGGACCCAGTACGAACTCTCCACCGAGCTGCGTGGAGTCGCCACCCCTCTCCCATACGGGCATGCCGACCCTGAGCGCATTGCGCACAACCATAGCGATGCCACCTATGAGGCCGTGTCGGACGTACTCGCCCTTCTCTGCGTCGGGTCCCGGATTGTTCGTCCGGAGGGTCATGCCTAACGCCGCGTACAGACGCAGTGTCGGATCAGTGTACAGCGGGAAAGGCGTGCGGAAGATGTCTGCGGAAGTTTCCATGTCAGTATGACGTCGTGGGGATGAGCGAGGGCATCTCACTTCTGTACGACTTGATCATCCCGGGAGAACCGTTGCCGATGATGACCAAATCAACGCCAGCGCGTTTCAATGCCTCAGAGTTCACGTTCCGTGAGATCGAGTACATATAGTCCTGGCACGACGCACACCTTCCCAACGAATAAGCTATTGCTAATATCAACGAAGACCCTGCGCGGAACGACGTACCAGAAGTGCCGGATGAAGATGACGATCGTCTTCCTCTCTTTAATGAGCTCCCCAAAAGGAACCCGCAGCCCGTTCTGCGCGATGACGGTCAGCGCGGACGCCTTCTGGATCTGATCCTTGGTGAGACCCGCGTGCTCGTCAAACGTCACTACCGTCGGGTCCTCTGTCTTCGCCCGATGGGGCCTCCTCGAGTTCGTTGCCGTCCGCGTCCTCAACGTCCTCATCTCCGGCTCCGACGACATCTCATGACTGGTCCTCGCCCTATGCTGAGTGATACCAGCTCCGCGGTAGGGGTGGGAGAACGTTGGTGATGACATATTGGAGAGGGGCAGGGGGGCAGGGGTAGACTCGACCGAGGTCGCGTACGGCGGGGACGTCGTGGTGCTCTCCATGCTCATCGCTCCATTTGTATTGGCACGTTCCTGTTTGCGGTCGCGTTCGCGTTCATATTCGTTCTCAGCCGAAGACGGCGGGGAAGTGAACGAGCGCGTCTGCTGATAATCGTGTCCATGAGAAGAGTATGACGACGGCGGGGGAGGTGGCAGCGGAGCGGCGCGGCCGAATGCCTGCTGAGTTGACGGGGTCCCTACCTGCATAGGCGGGGACTGGGCGCGGTGAGGGAGTGGTGATTGCGCGCGGGAAGAGACGATGAACGGCTGCGGGGACTGTGCGCGCGTGTGCGCGGGAGGCGGCGGCTGAGGCTGAGAGCGAGCAACGCTAGGTGTCTGCGGGGACTGAGCGCGCTCAGCTGCGGAAGCAGATGCGGGTGCGGGCGCAGGATGCGGAGGGGAAGGCGACACGGGCCGGAATGGAAGTGTGTGTGACATTGTCTGAACAGCAAGGCCTTGACCTTGACTCTGTCCGGTGCGCCGTTGACGCAAGGAATTGTACGGAGTTCCAGTCTGTGCAACCTTTGTTCGCGAGCGCGTCGTCCCGGAAGACATGGCGGGCGGCTGCGGCGCAGGCTGAGGCTCTGGCGGCGGTGATGGCGAAACTGCCCGCACCTGCGCGACCGGCAGGTAACCAGCGGGAGCCGCCCGCTCTTGACGGTCGTCCGATGAACGACGCTCTTCACTCTTCCGCGGCGGGTTATTGTACGGGCTGCGCGGGCGGGCGGGACCTGTAGTCGGTGGTGGCGAGGTTTCTTCACGACGCTCAACAACATCGTGCAAGGGGGGCGCTCGGGCGACAGGAAGCGCTGTAGGCGCTGGCGGTGGTGGCGGAGGTTGGGGCAGGGGCGGTTGTGGGAGAGGTGTAGGAAAATCAGCGTCCATCCTGCGGGGAGGCGACAGGGGGAGCGGTGCCGGTGAGGGAGGCTCGAGCTCGTCTGGGGGCGCGGGAAGCGGCGACTCCGGGTAGCGACGCGGGGGCAGCGGGGAGGGAGCACGGCGCGGCGGTGCGGGAGGCGAGGGTACTCTCCGCGGTGCAATATCCGCGCGCACGGGTGGGAGAGACACGGAGATCGAGGGGACGTTTAAATGAGCGGAAATAGGCGACGGCGAAACAAGGGGCACCGAGGGCGGCGGCTGAGAGACATGAGATACGGTGGACGTGGTAGACGTCGGCCGTGCTAGGAGCGAGTTCGCCAACAGCGGTGGAGACGGCGAAGCTTCTTCTGGCTGCTGTTCTGCTGACCCATCGAATCGCGTGTGTCGCATGAGGATGACCTCGTCCATCTCCATCGCCGCAGGAGCATGGCCACTGATGAAGACCGTCTGAGGACGCACGATAGTGGCATTTCTAGTGACTTCGAGCGCCCGGTCTTCGATGGGGGTCACACCGTGTGTGGGCGCAAGCTGTGTCTCCCGTCGGCGTTCATACTCAGCCCCGGACGCGGGGACGGGGACGCGACTTGTCCTAGAGGCCTCCCTGGGAGGCGTGGGAAGACGAGTGTCCTTCCGGATCGGGGGTAACGGTGTATCCTTCGGAGGTAGCGGTGTGAGCTCCAGCGCCTGGGCGAGAGTCTGTGGGCGCTGAACAGGTTCCAGTGGCGGAGGTGGAGGGGATTGGGGAGGTCGTGGAGGTGCTAGACTCGTGGGTGACGGTGCATCGTACTCATCTCCAGGATCCGCGACCAGTGTGCTTGTCATGCTCACGTTCTCCCCAAGTGAAGCGGGGGAGGCAGAGGCTCCGAAGCTGACGTTGGGCAAAGGGGTGACACCCAGGCTGACATGGCTCAGGCTCTTTCTATGTGCCATCTTAGCCCGTTTCTGACTGTCTAAGTGATCACCGCTAACGCCGGGCGCGCGAACCACTTCCGGGATACTACTGCTAGCCGTAGCCATATTACTCACCTCTGCGCGAGCGGCTTGAATGCTCGCACCGTATGACGACTCGCGCAGTGGGAGTTTCTTCGTCCTCGTAGGTGGGGAAGGATCAGACGTCTTGCGACCGCGTGGGACCAGTGACGATCGGCGCAGTCTCTTCGTGATGCTGTCCCTCTGGACCCTGAAGCCTATGCTACTACGGCGCCTGCTGTCGCGACTGAAGCTGGGCTCGGGTTCCGACTCGGAACGAGTGGGACGAGGACGAGGAGGGGGTACTGGGAGGGCGGGAGGCGAGTCAGTCTCCGACTTGCCTGACAGTATAGGATAGTCGGCCGTGCGAATTTGGGAAACCTCACGTTCCATGCGCCCGCCCGACTCCACAATAGCTTGTGCATTCTCGAACGTCGCGCGCTGTAACGAAGGAGGCAGCAGCCCGCTATCTTCCACGGCGCCCTTGGAGTCGATAGTGTGGGGCAGCTCGGGTAGGTAAATGTGGGGAGACAGAGACTCGGAGCGATCCCGTACGCTGACGCTGCTCGAGGTGAGCGTGTCGTCAGGAGTCATGGGGGGCGTTGTACCCGAATGGACCGACATTTGGACGCGCGAGTGGCCGTGTGAGTGGACCGTAGATGGAGGATGGGGCGCATCCATCTGGTGGTAGACATGCCCATGAGACTGACGATCATCATACACGTACTGGTTCTGTGACAGATGGATGGTCTGGTCGGGATGATGCGACGCCTCTGTTGTTGAACTCTCCCCTGTGGCGGGTCGTTCCAGCTCTTCGGGCTCATCCGTGAGTGGGGCTTGCGGCTGAACGGGAGGAAGGTAAGGCATGGTCTGAGAGCGTCTGCGGTAGTGATATTGTCGCTCGGTCAGCTTCTCTGAAGGGTAGTGATTGTGTTCCTGATGACGATGGTGCTTGAGGGACGACGAGACGTCTGCATCGGTGAAGTACGATTTGGAGTCCCTCGCAGGACGGGTCCTGGCACGTGGTGGACGGGGTGGGATAGAGACGTCCGAGTGATACCCGTCGCGAAATTGCTGTAGAGCCTCCGTGCTGCGCGAGGCGTGAATCACGGCTCGGGGAAGCGGAGGCAGCTCTGCGTGGAGTTGCGTGCTGAAACGATCGCTTTCTACGGTGCGTGGGGGCGTAGGAATCAACGAGGTATTCGAGGGATTGTAGTATGCATGATGGCCCTGAGACGAGTGAGCGCGGTCGCGTAGAACCTGGAGAGGGGCGAATGGATCAGCAGGGTTGGGAGGAGGGTACTTCGGAGAGTAGGGGAAAGCGGGAGGAGGCTTGCGCCTGATCCTGCTAGCTGAACGACCATCGTAAACAGAAGTCATTGCGTCCAGCGCTGGTCACCCGAGCACGGGTAGAGAGTCGTAGCTGTGGGCTCGGAGAGCAAGACAGTTGACTCTGCAGAAGGGTTGGCATACCTTTATGTAAACGGGGTCTGCTCGTGTCGACGGCGCGGACGACTCATCAGCGATGCCCGCGGTACGCTCCACGCTCGCATTGGCAGTTTGCAACGCAGCGTCCGCATTGCATGTCTATATGAGCTGCTTCGCAAAGCTCCGCTTCTGGGCCCTCTCACGCGCTTCATCCGCTAGAACCGATCTTCTAGCAAATCCTGAGACTAGATGAGAGAGTTTGAGATGATGACCATCGCTCGCAAACATATCCACATCAGTCGGCCTTACAATGTCTGAACACAGTAGCGACGGGCGTGTTGAGGGCCGAGTGCACGTTGCCCGGAGTAGCTCGAATAGGTCATCCGTCAGTGGCGCTCGTACAAGCGCCCACCTACCTCAAGCGGGACCGGCGCGCACCTCAGCGTGCTCATTGACCACGATGTCCTCACCCTCAAAGCCCTTCGATATCCCCAGCCCACGACAGCAGAATGTGCAGAATGTAGCAAGCACCCCGCCCACTTTTGGCACACCCAATCTCGGTACTTCTGCCTCCCCTAGTCCACGCTTCCTCAGGGCTCAGTACACCGGGGCGACTCCTCCACCTAACGTCCCGCCCAGATCCACTGGCACCCCGATAGGCACCCCAAGGCCACCGTCTAACTTCCTTCCATCTGCTGCGGGAGAATCTTCCTCTTACAGTTCCAGAGGCTTTGCTAGCGATGTCGGCGCTCGTCCTGCCGTTGGAGCCGCAGGGTCTCACGTCGACAATCCCTTCGACGACTTGACAGACGAGGAGAAGGCTAGAATTCTCAGGAAACATCTTGTTTCCAGGGAGGAGCGTCATAACAATGGCGCAGGCCTTTCAGACCAAGCAGCTGGCAGCTCGTCCCGTCCCGACTCTGTTTCGGGCAACTTGTCGAACCGTTCTTCAGTCTCCCAGTTCCGCCCACAGCGGGAAGACACCGAGCCATTCCCAGTTCCGTATGATGCACCAGGAGCCGATATAACGTGAGTCATACCTACCGCGAGTGTGTCTGTTTGTACTGCTTCCCGCACTCAGTATTGGATCCCTTGGTGCTGACCTCTTGTCCCAGGCATAACATCTACAAATGGCAGGCTGATAAGAGGCGCCAGGCTGCTCGTCCTCGCTCCGCTTCATATGCTGGATCCACTCACACGGAGCCTCCCCATCCGGCTTTTGAGCACATACACGAACCAGGAGGTTTTCGCCGTACATATGTCGTGATGAACGATCCCGAACGTGCCGTCGACCCTCCAATGGTGCGGAATTTCATCGAGTTCCTTTACATCTTCGGTCACTTCGTAAGTCTTGTATCTTGCCGCAATTCCTGGCATTACATTGATCCGCATCGAAAAGGCTGGTGAAGATCTTGAGGAGATTGAGGAGGAAGACGAGTTGGTAGATGAGATCCCTAGCGCCGAAGCAGCGCCATCGTTCAACGGCACTCCTTCATACGGCACTAGCGATCTGCTACCCTCTTCCGTTGTCGATACAACGCAGATATCCGCCGCTCATAAGGCGAGCGAGCGTTCACCTTTGCTACAACGGTCGCAGACCTCCCGCTCTCGCTCAAGGAGGCGCTTGTCGAGTGTTGGGCCACACGGAGATGCTACAGTAACGGATGCGGTTCTCATGGTACGTAGCCTCTTGCGAGCTCTTTCCATGACTCGGATTGACCGTTCCTGCAGTTGTTGAAGTCTTTTGTTGGCACTGGTATTCTCTTCCTCGGCAAAGCGTGAGTTCTCATGCGGTCAACTTTGAGGCAGCGTCTCACTGCCCCTATAGGTTCTTCAACGGTGGCATACTATTTTCGAGCGCCGTCCTAACGTTCATCGCCCTGATTTCCCTTTACTCGTTCCTGCTGCTCGTCAAGACGAAGTTCGTGGTCACTGGAAGTTTCGGAGGTAAGCTGCCGTCTTGACTCAAGCTTCGGACCAGTGTTGACATCCTCGCAAGATATCGGCGGGGCTCTCTACGGACCTTGGATGCGTTATGCGATCCTTTCATCTATCGTTGTATCTCAGCTCGGATTCGTCTCGGCATACATCATCTTCGTCTCGGAGAACCTCCAGTCCTTCGTCTTGGGTATCACCAACTGTGCTAAGCTCCTCGGCATCCAATACTTCATCCTCCTGCAGATGGTCATCTTCCTACCGCTCGCGCTCATTCGCAACCTTGCGAAGCTCAGCACGACCGCGCTTGTGGCCGATGCTTTTATCCTTGCCGGACTCATCTACATCTTCGGAAGTGAAGCTGCTATTATGGCTCGCAACGGTCATGCTAAGGTCGAACTCTTTAACTCCAAAGACTGGCCGCTCCTGATTGGGTAAGTGCCAGGGTTCATTATGACAGGCAGCTTCGCGTGTTGAAGGGTGCCATTTAGGACTGCTGTCTTCTCCTTCGAAGGTATTGGTTTGGTACGTTCAGTCACACTGCGGATCTGTTCCGAATATGCGCTCATCCCGCCACAGGTCATTCCGATCACCGATGCAATGAGAGAGCCCCGCGAATTCCCCAAGGTGCTGACAGGCGTGATGCTGTTCTTGATGGGTTAGCACTACACCAACAATATGACTTGACGGCGATGCTTATACGTTCATCTAGTTTTGTTCTGCGGCGGAGGAGTCATGTCGTACTTGACCTTTGGTGCTGACGTCCAGACCGTGGTCATCGTCAATCTCGACACTACCAGCAAGCTCACACAAGCGGTAAGTACATCTTACTGTCTTTCGCCTCAGACAAGCACTCATGTCGCCGCTACAACAATAAAGGTCCAGTTCCTCTACTCGCTGGCGATCCTGCTGTCGGTCCCCCTGCAGCTCTTCCCGGCCGTCCGCATCATGGAAAACGGCATCTTCGAGCGCAGTGGCAAGCAAAGTGTGCTCGTCAAGTGGCAGAAGAACTTCTTCCGGTTCTGCTGCGTCGTGTTCTGTGCCGCTCTCAGCTACTTCGGCGCCGCCGATCTGGACAAGTTCGTCTCGTTCGTCGGCAGTTTCGCCTGGTGCGTCGCCCGGTCCATACAGTCTTTGATATTCCAGCACTTCTAACGCGTCGCGTGCTGACGCAGCGTACCGCTTTGTTACGTTTACCCGCCCATGTTGCACTACAAGGCGTGCGCGCGAACGCGCAGGCAGAAGATGGCGGATATTGCGCTCATGATCTTCGGAACGGCCGCGGCCATCTATACCACGGTTCAGACTGTTCGGGTACGTTTACGCCATCAATGAATGAATGCCCGTCTCAGAAGTTGCTGACCTTCCGATGTAGCTTATGGTGGAACCCGCCCCAGCGGAACCTCCTGTTGTCGGACAGTGCGGTCGCTCTCCTGAGGATCCTCTCCGCGGCCTCCGTTTCTAGATGATCGACGTCTATGCTTTGTTGGCGGTAATCGCTTGGGGCGGGATGGACTCCTTTACTGAGATCTTCATCTTGGATACATCGCACCCGCAAACTTTCAAGACAAGATAGCCTTCTTTCTCTTGTTGTACCACAGTCTCTACCCCAACCTCGCCACATATACAATGCTCGTAGCATAGATCTCATTGGTATTAATGGTTCACATACTCGACACATCAATGTCATACGCATCATCATAGCTGCCTCTAAGCAATGCTAAGTTATTCCAGAGATTGGTGTGCGTCTCAAAACAATGCGTTGACTAGATAGCAGAAACACAGCATTAGACATCCATGCAGAACTCCATATGATATCCTCCAATTGATATATGGCGTAGCCCAGGGGCCCCGACTTTTAGCCCAACCTCGCCGATGCAGACCCCGCCACCTGGTCGTCATTCTGCTCGTTCCTCTCCCGTATCCGTTTCTCCTCCCTGACACACGAAACCCACGCAAACCACATCATCGTGCGCAATTGTAAGACGTCTTCCTTCCACGCCTTCACATGGTTCTGCTCGCGGAACTCGCGGGTGAGGACCTCGCACCGCTCCACGTTCTCTGGGCTGACAAAGTCGCAGGCGACCTTGATACAGTCTGCAAGGTTGCACACCTGCGAAAGGGCTGATCAGTCTCCGATCTCTCTACCCGCCGGGACGAGAAAGCATGGGATGGTAGTGTAGTAGCAGGCACTCAAGACGAACCTGGTGCGCGCACCCAGCAGGGATGAAGACCGCCTCGCCAGGCTTTTGATAGATGCGGTGGCTCACGACCCCGAAGTCCCTATAGAGCTCTTGCCGGAGCGACGAGTCGAGGTAGAACCGCTGCGCGTGGATGGGGTCGTTGTGGAGCTCCCCGCCGAACTTCTTGTACAGGAACGCGCGCAGCTTGGGCGTGTCCGCAGCCTTGTAGATGTCCCAGGCGGCGCACCCGGGGCGGCCGTCCGGCGCCTGCGAGGCATAGGTCATGATGTTGATAGCGTCAGCCATGTCCATGTGCAGCCGGGTGGAGCCCTTGCTGCCTTGGGACTCGAATGAGCCCATCGCGTTGTACATCTTTGGACCTGGACGACACGAGAGCGGTAGATGAGCGAGGGTTGGTGAATATATGGGTAAGAAATGGGGCAGGGACGACTCACCGAGGTCGGGCCTAATCGTGTTGCTCGGGAAGTGCGACGCGATGTTGAGTACGCCGTCGCGCCGTACATAGTCGGGCACGGGGGTCGCTTGGGCGAAATCGTCGTACAGTTCAGGGAACGTACTTTTGAAGTCGGCCGAGGGCGGCCAGTCCTGGATGTGAATCAGTCCGTTCGTGAGCTCGGAGACGATAAGTAGCTGAGGTTCTTGAGCCTCGCACCTTCAGCTTCCAATAGCCACGTCGATGCTCGTAGTTGCCGAATCGTGAGAAGAACTGGGAAACGCTGACCTCTTTGCATCTCTCGGATTGGCACTCAACTATCGTGCACCGCTCTGCACCATAGTGGCTGCTGAAGTATTCAGTTGTCCACTGGATACGGAATTTTGGGAGAAGTCCAGTCACGATGATCGGGTCGCCGCGGCTCCATAGCCGTTGGAACGCCTCTTCTGTCAATTCCGTGCAAGGAAGAGTGGAAGTGTCATGCGAAGGGATAGTTCTTTCGCTCAGGACGGTCGTTGTGGTTGGCGGCTCGGGCCCGTTAGAGGAAGAAGGCACCGGTAGGGCAGGAGCCTCCGTTGGCTCGGGAATGACAGACGGGGAGACACCGGAAATGGGTCGTTCTATCGAGGCAGAAGGCCCTGGTGCTAGCGTAGCTTCAGTCTCCGGCTCCGTACACTGTGACAGTCGCCCTGTTTCAACATGGGAAGTCTGCAACAGTGCCTCCATGTCCTCGATCGCCTGATTAAGCTCCATTTCGTAGAAGCGGGAGACTGGAGAGAGGTCTGTGGGCTGGTGCTGATTACGCCTTGTGCAGGGGAGAAAGTAAGGACTGCGCTGAGCGCTCCTCTCTCGCTGCCGCGACGCTGTGACGTCGGCCAAGTCTGGCTCTGGTGTTCGCTTATCGGCCACCTCAGTGATATACGCGTAACAATCAATGCAGGCCTCGCGGCCACATATGCGGCACATCCAACTGCTTGAGAATATGGAAGTCATGCACGCATCTGTCGAGTGCGTGTTATACTTCGCAAAACAGGGAGTCAGGCGCGGCGTCACATACCACATGTCGCCCTAACTCCAGTCTCGCGGGGCCGGCGGATCACGTTAGGTAGTTGCATGTGCTGCTTCTCCTGCTTCATGACGGGGAGGAGAGCTTTCGCGACTGTGAGCTAAAAAGGCATCACCAACCGGATCGACTGCCGGACGGCGAGAAGGCCTACCTTCACGCGGTCTATATGCCCTAGCCCGAGGGTTGTGTTCCACTCGCTTGGAGAGACCAGAGTCGGCGCAGCATGCGCTTGACCCTCTCCAAAGGTCGTACCTATAACTTTCCGATTTTTGTCTCTCAATAGGTACCGAAGGTTTTGGAATCGACAAGTCTCCCCGCTTGCTTTGCGAATGCATGCCGTGCAGCGGGGAAACTCTTGCAAATGGCTAGCGAGACATTTGTGGACTTGCAGTTCCAGGAAGAAAACTCCCGCCGTGTTGTGAGTGCCATCGGTAGCGTCGTCCGCTACGATTCTCACAACACCTAGGGATGACGTTGAAGGGACACGGTCATCGGCGGAGGTTGATACTGATACTGTGGTGCAAGCTAAACGACCAACGTATCGACAAGTCACCAAGGCATCGCATGATAGAGCGGGACATACTGACCTGCGAATGCACGTTCGTTCGATACCGAAGCCCTAGCCCTCTTTGCCTTCGAATCCACTTGCAGGTTTCCGTCCAGGTCTGGGCCTCTCTTCATCGCTATAATCACCGTGTCTGTGATAAGATAAGGGCTGTGGCGGACCGTATGCGTCAACTGGGCCAATCGCTGAGCGACGGCGTCGTCGTGGCTCAAGCGGATACGTGGTACGAAGACGATGGTAACAGTATCAGTCACTTCGACGCCTAGGCGGAATGACCAAAGGCTCCGTTGAACTTTGTTTGCCAGAGCTTCGAATTACTTAATGTTCACGTGTTAGACGCGCCTTCACCTCCGTGGGAGGATTCCTCTCATCAAGCCGTGGCAATGCTCGCATGTGGATAGAGTCAACAAGACCGAGCAAATCTCCCGTACAGCAACGGACATGGAAGGGCATTGGAGGTTAATAGGGAACATCTTCTAGTTCAACATTTGATGGCGGTGACTCATTCGGGGTACCGGGGACTAGTACTGCTAGTGGTACGTGGGCGCTCGTTCTACTTGATCTGGACTCCGGAACCGTCTATGCACGCTAAACTCGGGCAGGACGGAAAACGATGGTATTGGGCGCGCGCTACGGAAGCTGCGCGGGACCACCGAGTCCGTGTCGCCACCGCTCTCTCGCGCGACCGGTGGGCCGAGCTCAAGCCGGCGGAAGGCGAATGTACCTGATACATGAGACGTAGCTAAGCGAAACCAAAAATGGGGTAGCGGAAGGGCGGGTGCAAAAACGAAAGCTCGAGGAGCGCGAGCTCCCGAAGGGCGAGGGAACGAGGATCCTGGGCTGCGAGCCCTTAACCTATATACTACTAGAGACAAAGCAGATGTAAAGCGGCGAGGGGGTGGCACGAGTTACGCTGTCATAGACCCTGGACAATAATCATTGTCCAAAACATCATGAGCCAAGCTACGGACATACCCAATCAAAGCCACACAAGACAAGGAACTGCCCCTCACGGATGTCTTCTCTGGTAGTAACTCGAGTTGGCACGCCCAAGTCTCCCCCCAGTTCTCGAAAGAGCTGGTACGGAACCGTAGGCATATCCTTTCATCTCGCCGTTTCCGTGATGGTCTTGCTCTATCAGCTCGAGGTTCCATACCTGACCGGAAAATCAGCTACCAGACACAGTTCTGCTCACTTAAGGCGGCGTACAAGGTTGCCTTAAGCGCTGGGCAATGTAGCACACGCGTGCCCTTCTTTTATTATTATTATTATTATTATTTTCTTGTCTTATACCAAACATAGCTACAGGGTACGGTAGGTATGTAAGTAAGCGTGTTATCCGAGATTGTTTGACATTTCCACCCAGCGCGTCACTTAAGACTTGCACCAGCGTGCTCGGACCACGACCGAAGTCAGCGTGTGGAGTAAGGACCCGCACCTACCCACTCACACCATATCTGCCAACGGCGACCCGGAGTCGCCGTCCCCATCCGTCCGGCCTAAAAGATGCTATTGCTAGATCTACGACATGAAGCCTAGCCGGGAATCAACTTGAGCACCGAATCGAGATGTTTCTCGGCGGCACCGGTAGGGGATTTAGTACTCTCGAGCCGAAGACAGGGGACTGCCCTGCTTCGCTACGGTCCGGCCGGTGACCCCTGCAGGTCTTATAGGTTGTTCACCATGCCGAATCAGGGGAGTTATCTTAATCCGCTTTCCCGTACCCGGACACGTGGTTCGCTGATGCCATCAGGCGCGGATCCCCAATCGTGTCTGATCGGCA